CACCTGTCACGGAGATGTTCCAGGAGACACGGTTCGAATTGGATCTTAGCGCTCTCGCGGAAAACGCGAGCGACGAAAACGCGCCGTGTTCTTCATCGACGACGAATTTATCGGCAGAAATGTAAAAATGGTTTCGCAACGATGATTAATTTTACGATGTCCGGCGGCAGCAAGCAAATCGTTTCGCCTTCGATTTTGTTGTTGTTGTTGTTGAGTGTTCTGCATAATTTTCCGTCAAAATAGCCGTGAAATATTCATCGAATATCGCTATTCTCTGGGAATCTCATCTTCGACTTTGAACTCAATACGAAATATAAATCGCGCGCGCACGATTAGTCCTTGTCGCGAAGCTCGCCCACGTGTTTAACGATCGAATTTCACGGTCATTCATACGCACTTTCCTGACGTCCTCGCTCCTGTTCTTCTCTATACGCCTCCGATCGTGCACTCATCGCGACTCGTTTTTCTCCTCGGAACATCATGCGCCGCGCTCATAAAACCGAGCGCGTGGATGCGCGGGCGCTCGTTCCTTTTTTTCACCCGCGTCTCTCTCGTTATATTTGCTTTCATCTCCATCTCGCGCGCGCGTCTCTTTTTACGCAATTCATTAGATGCACGACCTTCGCGCTCTCGTCCTTCGATTGCGAAAGATCTCGCCTCTTTTCCCAAAGGACTCGCGCGCACAATGGCGTCTTTTATGGATTCGACGCGCTTGTCGTTGTCGGATGTATCGCGCGCTCGCTGTTTTTTTCTTTCTCGCTCTCTCATTGAGGAGTTCGAATGTGCGCGGCAGCGAGATAGACCCAAGCGAATTGGTTTCGTTATATATATATATATAAGTTGTGTGCTAATACTCGTTGATTGTGGGAACCGAAATGCCTTTCCTCATTCTAATGAAATCATTTTCGGGTGAACGGGAGCGAAGCGAGCGTACCGCTTGTTCGCACTAATGTGCGTGAATTTGAAGAGAAGAAAAGAAAAACGGGTTTTCCGTTATGTAAGCGTTATAATGTAACGCAAACAACTATTGCATTTTACGAGACGACAAGCCGTAAAGCTCAACTTAGGCCACGCTCGCGTGAACGTGCGAACGTTTAATCTGGTTTTACGCGGATTGTATCGTTAAAATGTCGAGCGACAGCCGAAGAATGCATCGAGCAATTTCACCCTTGCGTCGCTCCGACGCGACGTTGTAAAGCAGAAATTAAAATATTCGCGTGAGCGCTCTGCAAAATGTTGCATTCGACGAAAAAAAAAAGAAAGAAAAACGAATAGGTCGTATCGTAAATGGCACTTGGCGCAAAGAAGTAGCATAAACACGAATAAAGGTATTGAGAAATATTGGCATTAATAGCGTTTTAAAGAGATCGCACGGGCGTCGTTCAATAAACATTGGCGAAGCCTACGCGCACCGATTTATTCCAATTGAAATCCAAAGTTATTCTTGTTATAAAGGTAGCGACCGTCAATTATGAAGGAGTATGTATTTTAAGACAAGCTGCTTCTTAAATCAACAGCCAGTCGCGCCTCCTCCGAGCGCTCAAGTGAGGTAATAGAGAGAGAGAGAGAGAGAGAGAGAGAGGGAGAAAACAAGCTGAGCGTCGGGTGGACGGCAAGGAAAACTTGGCCGATCGCAAATGATATCGCGAAGTCGGTTAATCAGCGAATAGTCCGTGCGGCAGCGTGCCCCAGTCGATAAGCCGACTCGCAGTCCGACGCGCGGATAATAGGCGAGAGGAAGAGCGAGCGCTGCGACGGCGATCGCGCGGTCCGCATCTCCCGACCATTAAATCAATTACCGAGATTGCGCTCGTGGCCCCCAAACAAAAGAGATAGAGTCGTTCGCGCGCCGAACCGTAATAAAGTGCGATTCGATCTGGCGAGGGGCTCGCGCTCTGCGCGGCAATTAAAGGCCACGGCATTAATGAGAGTAACGAGCCTCCGCCCAAGGACGCGCTTCTGCCTTTGTGGCCTGACGCACTGCGGCGAGCCGGAGATAAGCTTATGGCGCGCGGCTGGCGTTTTTCATTCGCTTTCCTTTTTCGGGATCGCGCGGCGCGCTCTTTTAAATAGTTGACAGTTTTAAGATGCAGATTATCTTTCTCGGCGGTCGCAGTAAATTCGATGCTTTCGCCCCGGCCGACCGGCGCGTCGCAGTTATTTAGAAGTTTCGCGGGTAGCTCGTTAAATTCGCTTAGCGGTCTAGCGCTGAGTATTTCATTTTTTTCTTTTCTTACGCGGCGACGCGAAGTGTTTTATGGAGCCGACTGGTCCCGAGGCACATTGGTAAGCTGAATTTCCGCCGCCGATTCTTACGAAGATTTCCATTTCGCGCCAAAGTCCAGCGCCAGCGGTAGGGCGTCTACCAAACTCGCCTGTATCATCCAACAACGCGAGAATGCAGCGCAAAGGGTGTTGTTACTCGCGCGAGCAACAACGTCGTCTAGCACGGTAGTCCAATAAAAGCCCCGTCCGCATTCTGTCTCTGTCTCGCTCTCGGAGAGGGAAGGAGAATCACCTTTATTCGACGTCGCCGCAACGGAGTTCCGAAATTGATGACTTGGCGCGGCGACGCGCTCGCTCTCTGACAGTCGGATTCCCGGGCGCAGCCTCGGGCGGTCGACGCGCTTTACAACGTCCACCCACGCGAGACAATGACGAAGTGCGCGTAAGGTCGAAGACGGCAAGGAGAGGACGAGGCGGACGCGGCCGGTATAATTGCCGCGCTTTTACGAGAGTCGCGCACGGCGAGAGCCGATTTGTCGGCACGGACGGGCCATGGGAGGTCGCCCTCGGGTTTCATCGATTGCCGATACGCATAATGTGCCCGTACGCCTGCCCTTTTTCTTCCATATGCTCGCCGTTCGCAACGCGCCCTGGCTGGCGAAACAAAAGCGCGAGACGCGGCGTTTTCGTGGTATTCTTGTACTTGAGATCCCGACGAGAGATAAAAATACTCTTATTGAAATTTTCCAGCATCGCGGTACTTGTCGATTCATTCAAATTTTCATTTTCACGTGATTTTTCGCGCGACGGACGTATAAACATCAGATGTAAACAATGTTACTTGCAGATCCACATTGTATCCAAGCTCGATATAGGCGGCTACGAGCTGTTGCGATCTCATTGTAAACATGTCGATCAACGCGTACAATTTGGTATGGGCGTTTGACTTGGGCATATAATATGTAGTATCGCGCAGCTAATAACTATTTCTTTTTTGCTATCAAAGGGTTTCAGGTCAAAGGAGACATCGTATTCTCAGCGTCGAGATTCCATTCGGACACTATAACATCTTTCTGAGGAAGAAGACCAGTGAAATCACACATACTCCAAGGTACACTGTCTCGAGCTCGATGCAACTGAACAATGCGACGCGATCTTTCTCATGGTGCGCGAATTCGAAGTGTGCGCACACACTCGCGTGGAGTGCGATATAATAACGCGACAGGCAAGCTCTTCCCTCCCGAATTAATTGCTTTCACGTTTCAGGCTGAGCGACCGGCATTGAAGTGGACGCGCGCTAATGTTAACTATGTTGCTCGAAAAGAGCTGATATTCTATTCGTTCCGCGATAATAAAGGCTTTCATCGTCATATATTACGGTGCACAATCGCAAGTGAAACACGCGCGCTTCGATCAGTCAATACGTATTATGCTCAGGGTACGACGTCAACTTTCACGTTGACGTCGTACCCTCTCAATGAAAATCGCGGGAAATAAGAGAAGAAAAAAAAACGAGGATCGCGCTCGTGGCTTTCATCGATGCAACGACCATGCTGGCGGGGTCTTAATGAGAGAAAGTATCAAATCGACCGGGCAATTTCGTGATGCAGCCGCGGGGTGAACATGTCGTCGTCGTGTCTTTTTGGATAAGCCGATATCTTTTCCGTGATTTTTAGCTCTCCGCAGTTTTGATTGACGTCAACGTTAATTGGGATCATCCTAATCGAGGATTCGCAGCAACTATACAATAGAATTGGAGTAGGGGGGGGGGGACTCGTGCCGAGAAGGAAAGGTCTACGTGTAATATGTAATATGTAAATTGGCGCGGCTTAACGATCGCAAGACGTATGTTAAGCGGATGCAAATTTCTCGAACGATCTCGTTTCGCTCGTTGAAGAGCCGCGCAACAATGTGATCGAGAGAGCTTAATTAGCTCGGTGAGCGATCGTTCCGTTGATCGACGAGGAGAGAGATAGAAATAGAGAGAGAGAGCGAGAGAGAGAGAGAGAGAGAGAGAGAGAGAGAGAGAGAGAGAGAGAGAGAGAGAGAGCTTCCTTTCGAAAATTGGTGTCGATAAATTTACACTCGCGGCTGTTGCGATGGACGTGCAGCGCATTTGTCCACTCTGGCGTCGCCCAGATTAACGTCTCGAGGTCAGGATGTGAACAATGGCACGAATCTGTCAAGCTACGTACGCACATTTTTCATAAAGATCTGCGAGGCAGCTTACTGCGACCGATTTCCGTGGCGGAGAACAGCGACCGAGGTGTAACTCTGTGCTACGCGGCTCCGAAGAACCGCGTGGAAGACGACGGGAAGGAGGCCGTCGTTAGAATTAGGTGTTTATGCAAAGCAGTATCGCCGAGCGACCTCGTCATTAGACTCTCTCAAGCAGGTCGTTGATCCGAGCGATTGGCGATATTTAACGAGAATAAATCGCCGCCCCCGCGCGTCTATGTAACACGCGTGCTGTCGTACGTTGAACTCGATAAGCGCGAGAAGGTGTAACGTCGTCGTCACCGCTGCCGCTATTTATGCGTCGATAGCTGCTGGGACGGGCAAGAACGGTTGCAAAAGTCGATGACGGATGGGCTCGCAAGGATGGGCGCCTCTAGGAAGATAGCGGCTTTTGCAGGGGACGGGCCGCGTGATGCATGGCCTGCCGCGCGCCGCCTTTTTTGTCGCGTTACTCCGCGACCGTTTATATCGCGAGGCGCTGCGTATGAAAATGAGCGAGTACCAAGTGTGCCCAGGTAGTCGTTCTTTATTTCGCAAGATGCCACGACACGCTGCCCATCGGCTTTCGAGGAGAGCAGAGTGGATAGTCGAGCGACCAACGTATAAAACACTTACTTTATTTCGACACGCAAACATTTAAGTTTCCTTTCGGCCTTTTCTGAATCGACAACAACAGTCTCGAGCATAAAAATACAAAAGAAACAAAAGGATATGCACTCAACGTAAGCACAATTGATGTAATAAATGAAAATAATACTGCACGTTGGGGAAGTATTGTGAAAAAATCATAACACAATGGGTAGTACAGATGGTAATCGTGAGGTTTTCAAGATAAGCTTATAATTTGGCTTTTAAGAGAACGACGGCAAGATTTCGGTCTCGATGGCGGTGAGTAATTCGGCGAGGTTTTCCTTGGCTGGCAGTCCGACCATTTTCAAGCTCTCGGTCCACAAGCGAGCTGCGTCCTCTTTGTTCTCCGCGTGAGAGCCTGGCGTTGCAACTGCGCATTCTCTGTTTCGGCGTATCAAACAAACTCAAGTGAGATATACGACCAAGAAAAACAGTCCGCCTGTCGATCGTACAGCTAAGACCGCGCGAACAAAAAATGCACTTACGATCGTAAAGCGGAACGAAGTGATGGTCTGCGCTGACGATACGACGTTCGATCGGGCGCACGATTCTAGGTCGGCATCAGCTGATAATAAATCGAAGGCTCGCCGATATCGTGGCTGCGCTACTTACGAGCGATTCGCGCAACAATGAAAGCCGAGGCTAAAGCGGCGATATGGATGCGGCGATCAGCCGCTCGCCAAATTAATGACCAATCCGCGCGCCCCAAAGAGAGCCCCGCAGCCTCGAGAGCAAAGAGTGATATACTGACTTGTAATAGAGTCCCGTCTCGCCTGCCGCAGCCTCGTCAGTGGCGCAGTGGACGCTGGTCTGCGCCCCGAGTTCCGGCGTTTTGATGAAGAACTTGATCAATGACAATGCCGTCCGCGCACCTGGGAACGCCGTCTTGTTCAAGTGACGCCCCAAGTCCGACGATATTACGCCGGGATGCAGCGAGTACGTCGTTATTCCTTGTATCTCCGCCTCTGCTTGAGACACACGATTATTTTGCGGTGATAACGGCGCCTTTTCATTCACGATTCTTTTTAGTCTTAGTGGAAAATAATGCGAGCTAGTTGACACGCCTTGCTTTTGTTTTGATATTATTGATCACGTGGCAAATAATAGTAAAAGAAAATGTATGTCATAGTCAATTGATTTTCTGATAAATAGTTCAGTTCGCCAATTGATTTGTTTTGTTTCGAAAGAAATTCAATATAATATGTTAAATTTAGGATCGATATTAAGTTTAAAATTTCACAAGCATGAAAATATATATCCACCGAATATATCTTGTCCTTGTTAGCATCGTAGCATAGGAAAAAATTGTATGAACGATGAAGACGATCAAGCTTTGATCAGCCATCTGACAAATAATTAAAAAAAAATACGTAAACTTTCCATAAAAATTAATAAAAACTATAATATAATTTTGTTTTGCATTTACTGAAACCAGTCAGATCAATAAATATCATTAATTAATGATATCCATAAACGTGAACTCGTTTCCCTGCCATCTCGTTGCAAAATATATAACCACGGAAAATCATGACTATCGACCCACAGGTTTAACGTAGGCGTGTTATTTAACTGCTCACTACTCTATTTATTTTATAAAATCAGCCTGTTATGATTCACCTTTCAACTTTCTAGTGAGTTCCTTGGTAAACAATATATTGGCTAATTTGGACTGCTCGTAAACTGCCAGAGGCACGTATCCCTTGTCGAAATTCAGGTCATCGAAGTGCATCCTCCCACCTGGCAAAATTCCAAAGTGTCAGTCATAAGGTGGTCCAGCTCGCGAGCTCAATCAATCAAACTCACGATTGTGTGCCAAGGAAGAGACATTGATGATCCTGCAGCCTGGTGCCGAAGCTTTGATCTTTGGGAGTAACAGCAGCGTGAGCAAAAAGTGTCCGAGGTGATTACTCTGAAATTGCATTTCATAACCGTCTTCGGTCTTCTCTTGCGGACACATCATCACACCGGCATTGTTGATCAACAGGTGGATTTGCGATTCTGAATTCGCTAGCTCCTTCGCGCATTCTCGCACGCTTGCCAAACTTGCGAGATTGAGCTTGCAGACGACAACCTCACCCGGTTCACCTTGGAATTGTTCTCTTTCGGGCCTATAATAACACAAATATATCGTTTTCGATGGACACGTGCAGGAAAAAGACGTTAAAATTTATATTTTTTCATATTTAAAAAAGGAAAATGTTGATAAAATTATCTTGTCTCGTATGTGCTTTGATAAGCGAGGTAGCAGCTAAATTTTGTATTATTGAAATTATCTTTATCGAAAAACAATGTTATAAAATCGTCGTTCTTGACCTCGATGTGTACCATTAAGGAATTAACGGTTAAATAGTTAATTAAGACACTGAAAAGTCAGAAAGTTATATCGTTTGTTTTATATTCATCAAATATAGAATAATAAATCATAAAGACACTTTCGGTAGATCGATAAAGGAACGTTCGTACAGGAATGTTCGTTTCAATCTCACCAAATCTCTACCAACAATTATAAAATAAATTTTAAAAAATTACCAATTTGAACAGCACACTTAGCTGCTTAAGCAGTGTCGAGAACAACAATTTTGTAAAATTACATTGTCTTCTCAAAGTTAAAAATTAATCTTATGTAACTATTTTCAGGGTGCCTAACAACGAGTAATTATTTCAACACTTTTTCCCTGTGGCTGAGTTTACAACTTTTTTATACATTGTTCTTTTAGGTCGTTGCGTAAATAGCTTTTTGCAATTGACCGACCCAATAGGATAATGAACGAAAATCATGATTTTTTACATTTCATAATTTTCTGAGCGGATTCATTCCAACACATAAGATTATATGGTTTATAATGTTAAATGGTTTTCAAGAATACAAATGTCGCATAGCTATATTGAATAAGTAAAATATAACCGGGAAAAATAATTCGAAAATATAATAACATTATTGAAATTAAAGTACTTGTTCATTGAAATTTGTTTAAATTATTCAAAGCAAGTAAATTAAATTTGAGTTTTTGCATTTCCTTAAGCTATAGTCTTTACTCCGCATAGGAGTAAATACAATTATTTTCATGGGCAAAGTCCTCATAATTTATCTGTCCACTTCCTGTTTTTGAAAGTATTATTTTCGCCTATAACGATTGGAGGGCTTCACTACAGTTATATACGAGACACACGTTTCAAACATTTTTTCTAAGCGTGACTAATACAGGCACATATTTGTAATAGTTATGATTTACGTACCTGGACGGCGGGACTTTCTTGATTTCTTCGGCAGCTTCATTTGCTTTATCGAGGTTCCGACACGCTAATATCACTCTAGCACCTGCAAAAAAGGAGTCATCAATCAGATATACTGTGACGTCGGAAAAAATGACACATTTAATTACAATGTTTTTAATCTGCACTCTTGTGCACTAAAACCAGGACCACCGTTGACTTGTTACGAAAGGACCGAAAAGCCCGACGGCACAAGTTGTAGAGTATAATTTTTCCTTGTAGATGTAGCTCTAACCCAGGCACTTGCAGAGCCAACATAGTGTGGAATTTCGAAACTGGTGTGACTTTTACAAAAAAGAGGAAAATTGTAATATTGATAAAAAGAAACTTTTTTTATAGACTTTTATATAGAGAGATTGTTGATTCTTCTATAACAGAGTTTTGCACGAATATTTACAAATATTGAAAAGTGAGGGACTTCCCTCCGAAAATCGTACAACACGAAATTAGACGAAAATCGAAGTACGAATGTGATAGATACCACTTCGAGAATTGTGAAATCGAAATATAGTGTTAGAAACTCCCTTCGGAAATTACAAAAACTGACGTTCAATCGACGAGATCATCTTGCCGCAATTGGTTCAATAATCATAACAAACTTTTGAATTATGCGTAGCGGAAAGAAGATTGATTCATAAGTCAGAAATGAGATCGACTGTAAAATGTGTGGACAGGCACTTTCTCGAGAGAAGATAATTTGAGCATACAATGCTGATTAAAATTGCCAATTTAATCCATGAAATTGAGATTTTATATTTTTAATTTATATTAATTAAATAAAGCTTATTAAATAAATCTTTTGTGAAATAAGTTACACGATATCAATTTCATTTATATATAAAAGACTTACATGGAAAGAACATATATTTACTAAATGTAAATAGTTGGGTTTAAAGGGGGGGGGGGGATATACTGGTTCATTGAAACAAAATCAGAGCTGTCAATTGAAAACAAACTGTTACTATACAAAGCTGTACTCAAACCAATCTGGACGTATGGCATTCAACTATGGGATGCTGCTTACACAAGTATCGAAATCCTAGAAAGTTTTCAATCGAAAGTCCTACGCAATATAGAACGGGTCCCATGATTCGTACCAAATAAAATTATCCGAAATGATTTACAGATACCTACAGTCAAAGACTAATGAATGCTCAAATAAATTAATATAATTATTTCAATCTTACTATAAAACAGACAGTATACTCACTGGAGTATACTGCTGTTTATTATATATATACGCGCGCGCACGTGTGTGTGTGTGTGTGTGTGTCTAATAGCAACAACATTTGCTTATTGTCTCAATACGTGAGACAGATTGTAAATAAACTTGGAGTAATAATAAAAAAAGAATTTATATATACTGACTTTCATTCAGAAATATAATTTTATAAAAACATTTTACAAATTTTTCATAATTATCTTTCTCACTCTGGAATTCTTAATCATATGCATTCTTGTCTTATCTAAATATGTTGATTCATTCTATAGTCTCTCCTCTCGCTTAGTCATCGACTTCAGAAATTCTTAATATTTGGATCTTTATTAAGTTTGTTTTTATTTAAAAGTTCTCATCATATATATTTAAAATAAGAAATATAAAAATTTATCCAAATATTCGGACCCCGTAACAAAACACGTCGGAATATTGTAGAAAAAAATGCAAGTCATTGCTTGGCATTGAACAGTCGCTTATCGAGAAGATTACTCTTTTCCGACTTACTATATTTCTATATGCAATATTTTGCTATGAAAAAAATAACAATAAGCTTCTTACAAAGAATGACCTTAATAAATTTTAATTACGAATTTCCTTTATGCAACTTATATATGCCAGTTAAAAGACTATAAATTTATGTAAGAACAATTTAAGAAAAAAATACTGCTTCTTTATGAATCCTACGTATATTGTCTGTACTTTTTGAGCATAAGTAAGGTAGCCAACGATGAAGTAAGACGAAAAATAATACTTTTTATATGATACAAAGAATAAAAATAATTGTGGATTGAAATTAAATGAATTTAGATACACAATATTATTAACTTTGCTTTTAAAAAAAGGTATCGTGGCTTAGTGCAGATGATTTTTTTTCAGCGATCAAAAATCAGAATTAAAAAGAAAATATGATATTATGTCCTTTTACAGAATAACTTCGACGTGGAAATGAAAAAAGTGTGTACATGCTAAGTTTAAAATGAATCCGCAAGTACTTTGAAGTTTCTAGCTTGTAAGTGAACTTTAGACAAAAATTTATTAATTATTTACCTCGCCTGTAAAGATCACGAGCAGTTTCCTTGCCAATGCCAGTATTTGCACCGGTGATAACAACAGTTTTTCCAATTAGGCGCGCTTTGCTCTTGCAAGTGCTGCTGAAAAACCACATTCTTTCCAAATGCGTTCACGCGTGTATTTTAATACCTGTTAGAACAAAAAACAAGACAAGCGTAATGCAAAAGCTTGCGTTCGAAGGGAGCAACGCGTTGCTCTACTTCGCAAAATCGTAAAAATGTGTTCGGCTCGCTAATCAATCAAAGCAAATAATCGTAGTCAAGGGATATGATTCGCTGACTGGATCACGTGCAGAGAACTCACTTGAAATTTCGATGTACAATAAAAAGGCGGCGCGCACTTGAAATTCGAATGAAGAGACGAGCGATACGCCTACGCTTCAAAGTTATGTATACATATTGACTTCCTAACCTCAATCGTTAATTGTCTTGCGCAGGTGTGCGTACGGCTCCCTTACTTGGATGTGATCATCAAGCGAGACTCATTGGCAAAATGACAATTCGATTGCTGGGACACGTAGACCACTCGTTGCACACTTCAACAGCGCAGTGTAGCTTTGAACGGATGATCTAGGTGTAACTGTTAACTCGCGTACGCTTGTCGTAAAGTCCGTGCGAACGGATGGATGGGAAATGGCTATGAGTGTACATAAGTATATGTGGCTGGGACAAGAGGAACGCATTGTGATGTGTCAGAGCCGACTGTCCCTGTTTGTGGAGTCATGAATGCACATAGTATATATACTTATGACTTAGTTTGATGCATACCTTTAACAGTTCTGATCTCGCTCTAAGCTATATAATGATAATACGTGCTTTCTCTTTTTAATCAGATGTGTAATGTAACTATACAAGATTAGTCAAGAAAGAAAAAAAGCCGACTTCAAGAATTTTTGCAGTCACGAGCAGGATGATGCTTCAGTCAAGTCAATAATGAAGCGGGACTATTTCGAATTAGATCACCCCCATTAAAAAAATTAACCAATCTAGAAATATGCGCGAACGTAAAAAACAATAATTCAGATCAAACACAACAGCTTCTTTCTTTTTGAAGTTTGAATTTTCTTTTTGATCAATCACAATTCTTTCTTTATTTAACTATAGTGTAGTGTCATCAAGTGCGCTTCACGCGCTCGTCTCTTGCTTGAATTCAGTAATATTCAGTTTTATGCTTGAATCAAATCAACATTATTATTATAGACGAAATAAACAAATTCTAAAATACACTATACATACATGAAATAATTCTATGCTTTGAAACGCTTACCATACGTCGATATGTGTGTGTGTGTGTGTGTGTGTGTGTGTGTGTGTGTGTGTGTGTGTGTGTGTGTGTGTGTGTGTGTGTGTGTGTGTGTGTGTGTGTGTGTCACATCCAATCATCCAGTATTTCTCGATAACAATTATTTCAAATCTAATAAAGTAACAGATTTTTAGATGTTTAACTATATAGGTAATGGGAAGCGCACAATGTTAGTTTTTATTTTTTCAAATAAATAGTATTGTCAGCTGCGCTTAACAATGTAATTTTCTTCATTTTTTAACATAAATATTAGTATATGGTTTCAAGCTTTTTCTAAGGTATCTCCATATCAACAGATTATGTTATTTTAACAATTTTTTTTCAATTTCTCATCCGTGACCATTCGTAGACTTTGTTTACTTTTGTAAATTCATTTCTAAAAAATTTTTTCAATAAATTATCGGTACCGAGTGCACCGAAATCAATTTTCAGAATTTCACGTGAAATATCGATTTATAATTCTCTTCATTGTCGATGATAATTATTCAAAGTTAAACTTTACAATAAAGATATTCAATAAATTTATAAAAATATGTAATTAGAGTGGCCGTTGAGAGAACGTGGGCGTTATTGTCTTTTGAATGCCTACAAATTATTATACTTCTTTTTATTCTTTTAATTTGATCGAGTATTAATCGATGTAAAATGTCTCGGTCTATTATTTAGTGCCGATTTGCTCATAACAATGTTCCATGTGACTACATTTAGCCAATCAGATGATAAATAAATGACTTCACTCAGCAAGCTATCACATTTTTTATATAGGGATAAAATATATATAGGATCAAACACGCTTTGCGCGGTCTTATCTTTCTTTTTTATTGCTTATTGTTATGTTCATTAACATATTCAACATAAATTACTGTTTTTAAAGATGAATTTTTCAATCACAGTAAAAAAATGTGTATTAGTGAAACAGTTCCACATATTCCAAATGATTTATCATATCGAAAACTGCAATAAATAATCTTTTAGTTCTTTTCAACAATATAGGGCAAATTATTAAAGATTCATCCTATTTTTTGAATGAAGATTGCGACGTTACAACAATCAGATTGTAGATTAATAATAGAAAATAATTAGAACGATTTCAACCTCTTGTTTTTAGGCAACGATTTATTCGCTGTTAGTTTCACAAAATGAATGTTAAAAAATAACGCCTGAGCCTACTTTTTTTTACTTTTGTTATCTTCAAAATGACCTATATCAATGATGATAAATTAAATTTTTATTACTACAATCTCAAATTGAAACCTCATATACACGCTCATTTGCCGCCACATAATAGTACATCACGTGACCGTGTCTCAGCCAATTAGATCACGAATAAAATGTTTCAACATGGCATCCACCACTTTTTTTATAAAGGGAAGAAGATTATTAAAAAAAAATAATTTTCTAGTTCGCAAACCACTAATATTCTACTAATTCAAATATTATTGACACATGATTTCATTGGATGTATTGATGTAGTAATTGCATTTAATTGCTTGCCATTGAAAATTATATGGCGGACGAATGACACATTCGAATGACCACGGTCGTAAAACACCCACTGACTTGCAAGTTTGTCGTGTAAATTAAAAAAAGAAGGAAAAACTATAATTTTCATTCTTTTAGAAGGTGGTAGTTATGATAGCGTAGATAATGGTAAGCGATAAAAGATGCATTAAAAGCCAAAGCAAAAAACGTCTACATGATTTACTTATTTATCGTTAACAATTCTATAATAGGTCAACCGCAAAATACGAAGATGAAACTGATAGACTTTGAGAAAAGGTGTCGGTCGATATCTTAAATGTGATAATGTATTTATAGTATCTGCACCATCTGGAGAGACCGAATGTGTGCATATCATAATTGTATCCCCTACGACGAGAAACTGCACGTCACAAGGACCTGTTTCATTTGATATCATTTATTACTTAGTATTTCTTTTTATTTACTTAATCGCTTGTACGAGAATTTGTGGATCATTGGTGAAATTATGTTCATGGAATTCATGTAAGTATATGTAATACAAATGTAGTTGGAAAATTTGAAAAATTGGTGTCTATGCTGGCTCAGAGCAAGTCGCACGCATAACGCAAATCAAACGTGTGAAAGTTTTTTAGAAACACCAAATACAAAAAAATTGCAAAATAATTCTTTGAGCCGGAAAAATATTATACGAACACTATAGATACGTAACTTTTAGGTTGTATTGCCATGAAAATAATACCGAAAAATAGAAAATATTGTTGGATTTAGGAAATATTTACAATATCCAATCAATTTTCTTTCTATCAGTCTAAAGGATAAACTTAAAAGATCAACGAGGTTCCGTAGAAGATACTAACTACTGATGTTTACAGCGCGTAGACAGTCTTCGGAGTGAATGACCAAAGACTGCTCTCATACTTAAAAGTCCCATGAAAATTATCAAAAGCTTTACAATTTTTTTGTTCACATTTAAACAAGTCATTAGTCGTTATTTACTCTATTTCCTGATAAAATCGCGTGATTTTTGGAAGACTTTCAGACTTTTCAAAACAGTTGTTTATATAAGTCTAGGACTTTTTCTTGTAAAGGCACTTTTCGTGAGATTCAACGTAGCATTATATTTATAAGATATTTTTAATATATATTTTATAATGTTCAAGCTTGATATGACTAGCACATTCGGTAAAAAGTTAGGTTTTCATACAACCGGACCTCAATCCTTCAAATAGCGAAATCTTGAAAATCATTAAAATTTTGAACAAATTTGTCCTTATACACACATTGCCGTGCAGCTGTTTTCTTTTTTTTTATGCGCATTTTGTGACTAAAGACAAGATTATAAGCATTGATGAAGATTTAATCCGTAACGTAGTGAATTATAGCAAAATCATATTGTTTATACGACTTGAATAATACACGCTTAAATAATGAAAACTGGTGTAAAAACATGTTAGCAAAACTATCTCAGAAGTCCTAAAAATGTATAAAAATTGTAACTATCGATAATTATGCGTAATTCTCAATCTGTCGGTTGTTTTAAAATATCGCTCAGCCCGTAATACTTATAAATAGCTCACAGGAAATACAGTTAAATAAAACTTGGCGGATTCAAATGGAAACGGTAAGAGTAAAGTCAGCATTAAAGCGAAATGACGTGTAATCCCTGGAAAATTCAAAGTCAGTCAAGTCGTCGTCGCGTTTATTATCTCTCTCTCCGATCAGCCCGAAAGACGTGGTCTGTCTCGCAGGCACTTTGTAATTCAATTCTCTCTCACTTTCCACAAGACACTGTCCGACATCTCCGCGTGTCGAACTTGTTATTGAAGAACGTTGTCAGCGGCGAGCTGGCAGTCGACCGTTGCAAAATCATCCACATTAGCAAAATTCTCATTTTTATCTTTCCTTTTCCTTTGTTCGATAGCGACGAAAAATCTTTCCAAGACTTCACTTTGGAATAACTGTGCTCCGGTTATATCTAACTTCTTACCAAATGTGCTAGCCATGGTAAGCTTTAGCAAAGAGCGCAATGGCCACACAGCCAAACTTCCACAGGTGATCGCGCGGCGCGCAGTGCGCGTCGTGACATCGCGCAGAAGAGTGGTCGATTCGGTCGACTCGACGGCGATCCCCTTTTAAACGCCATTTCCTTCCCTCGTACTTTCATAAACCAGCCAAACGAGTATTCGAGAATGCATCAGTGACGTTGCAAAGCCACGTGCTCGTCGTTATGTTGAGTTTGAGAAGAGTCTGGTTGTTGAAGGATCGAGCGGCTTGTCAATTTTCTGACGCGAGCGGAGTCAAGTCGTTTGATGAAATTCCAGGACCGAAAGGATTGCCGCTGGTCGGGACACTTTATCAATATCTACCCTTTATTGGTAAGAGAATAGAATCTAAATTAATATCACGCGGCTGTTACCAATGTAAAATTTAAAAAAAAATAACATTGTATATCAGGCGAATACGATTTCAAAAAGCTTCACAAAAATGGCATGTCAAAGTACGAGAAATATGGACCACTGGTACGCGAGGATATTGTCCAAGGTCAATCGACTGTTTGGGTATTTAGACCCGAAGATATTGCCGAAGTGTTCAAAGCTGACGTAGGTCGTTATCCAGAACGACGAAGTCATCGGGCATTGCACAAGTATCGAGCTGATCGGCCACAGATTTATAAGAATGGGGGTCTTTTACCCACGTAATGTCATTTTTTTTCCTACTATTTTATATATTCTTGTAAATTTTCGTTTTAATATGTGAAATGGAAACCCTTTGTGTTTTTCTTTATTACAGAAACGGAGTCGAATGGTGGAAGCTACGAAAAGAATTTCAGAAAGCTCTAAGCAAGCCGCAAAACGTCACTAATTACATAGAAGATACGGATGAAGCAATGATTAATTTCGTAGGAATATGCGAAAAAAACGCGACGGAAGATACGCTATCGATGCTTTCGCGACTGTTTTTACAATGTGAGTAAAACCGATGATCACTGACGAATGTACAAATCTGAATATTGTTTAAGAAGAGCATTGACTTTCAGTACTTTTCCTGTTGACCTTCGATAAAAAGATCAATCCGTTTTCCAAGGAAGAAATGAAATCGGATTCGATGAGCACCAAATTAATCGATGCAGCTTACAAGACAAACAGCGCGATATTGGCGTTAGATAACGGACCACAATTTTGGCGATACTTCAATACTCCTCTGTACAAGAAGCTATGCAAAGCCGAAGAATATAAAGAAGAGTACCTTTATTCTATTTTTATTCGCGTTTCATAGAATATTTTATTAATAAATAATGATATTTCCTGTCTTTCCGTAAAGAATAGCAATAAAACTAGTTGGGGAAAAAATGGAATCTCTAAGAGACGTAGAAGAGAAAAGTGCCAAGTCTTTGTTGGAGCAATATTTGCTCAACCCTGAATTAGACTACAAAGACATTGTTGCCTTTGCAAGTGATATGCTCCTTGCTGCAATCGATACTGTAAGCTTAACAAATCCGAGCAATGATTTTAGGAAAAAAATTATTATTCCCTTTCTTTATACAGACTACGTACAGTACCTCCTTCGCGTTATATCACTTAGCTAGAAACTCGGAAGCACAAGAAAAACTATACGCCGAAACATCTAAGCTTCTGGTCAAAGAAATCGATAGCATTACAGCAGACACGCTGAGGGAAGCGACTTATACCAAAGCTGTCATCAAAGAGACTTTTAGGATGAATCCAGTGTCTGTCGGTGTAGGTCGTATATTGCAAGAGGACGTTGTTTTAAGTGGTTATCAAGTTCGCAAAGGCGTTAGTATTAACGCTTAAGAAAAAAGATAATCTCAATAATAAAAGAAATAGATTTCTGAAAATAACTTGTTTTCAGACAAATGTCGTTACACAAAATCAAATATCTTGCCGACTACCATGCTATTTTGAAAAACCAGATGATTTCATACCAGAACGTTGGCTGAAAGAAATTGGGACAAAGGAAAAACCTTCGATTCATCCATATTTAGTTTTGCCTTTTGGTCATGGACCTCGTTCTTGCATTGCGCGGCGATTAGCAGAGCAAAATATGCAAATGTTACTTTTACGAGTAAGTAATACGTGTTTAAGTGTTAAATTAAATTGTAATAGATTGCATAAATTCATCAATTAATTTAACCTTTAGATGTGTCGCCACCTGAAATTCGAATGGAAAGGTGGTGAACTCGATGTGATTACAGTGCCAATAAACAAACCAGACGGCCCTATCAAAATCCACTATCAACGTCGTTGAAAAATCAAAATACACATATACACACATCTTTAAGTTCTTTAAAAACATTTGTATTTCTCATTAAAACGTACAAATTAAATTTTCTTAACTTAAGCCTCGTTTCTCAATCAATCTGACTTATTATCGTGTAACAGAAAATCACTCTAATTATAAGCCATATACTTGGGCGTTGCGGAGAACTTAGCGTACGACTTGATAACCTTGGTGACGGCCTCGAGGAAGTCCTTCTCGGTAGCAACCTTACGTCTAGCACGAATAGCAAACATGCCAGCTTCAGTGCAGACCGAATGAATCTCTGCACCAGTACTGTTGGGACAAAGACGGGCCAACAATTCAAACCTGATATCACGCTCAATGCTCATTGGACGTGCGTGAATCTTGAAAATATGCGTACGACCTTCCAAATCTGGAAGACCAAATTCGATCTTACGGTCAAGACGACCAGGTCGCATAAGAGCTGGGTCAAGAGTGTCTGGTCTATTCGTTGCCATGAGTACTTTGATGTTTCCTCTTGGGTCAAAACTAAAAAACACGTTCAGTTTTATTCAAGTTTTAAATAGTAAATTACTTACAACCAAGAATTAAGTCTAACTCACCCATCAAGCTGATTGATAAGTTCCAACATAGTTCTTTGAACCTCGTTGTCACCCCCAGCTCCATCGTCGAACCGAGCACCACCAATAGCGTCAATTTCGTCAAAGAATATGAGGCAAGCTTTCTTGCTACGAGCCATTTCAAATAGCTCTCTTACCATTCTAGCACCCTACGTGATTAAAAAATTTGTTTGAGAAATTGCAAATTCAAAACTATGATAATGAAAAGATGAATGCTTACTTCTCCAACATATTTTTGTACTAATTCTGAACCAATAACACGAATAAAGCAAGCATCTGTTCTGTTTGCAACTGCCCTTGCACACAATGTTTTTCCAGTTCCTGGAGGTCCAAACAATAGCACTCCTTTTGGTGGCTCGATACCCAAATTTACAAATTTCTCAGGCTGAAAAAAACAACTGTTTTTTAATAAAAAGAAACTCAGTTAGAAATAATCAAAGTTTAAAAACTTACATGCAGTAGTGGAGTTTCCACAACCTCTCTTAACTTTTCAATTTGATCTTTGCACCCACCAACATCACTGTAAGTTACATCAGGTTTCTCTTCCACTTGCATCATAGTGACAGTAGGATCAATTTTTGGTGGGAGAGGTATATGAATCTGATACTTGTTACGGTCCACACCAACTCTCATACCTTCTTCAATGTCGGTGGGTGCAACAGAATCTGCAAGATCAACCACAAACTTGGCAAATTGTTTGACATTGATAATGTATTTAGGATCATCCGAGTCTGCATTGATGATTTTTGTGCATCGAGCAACTTGCAAAGGCTGCTCATTCTGAAGAGTTTGTTTATCTGCTGCAAGATCCCAAAGGGCTGGTGGTGCCAATCCAGTATCAGACTCCTTAATTCCAGCAAGCTCATTGACCTGCTTTATGATAGTTTGTATATCCTCTTCGACTGCTTTTATGCTTTTTGTGTATTGACCTTGTCCCTAGAAATTGATTTAGAATATTGCATTTAAAATTAATTAAAGTCTTGATTTAGAATTCAAAACTGACTCTAAATGCTTACGTATGTTTTTAATAGCGCGATATCACCTTCATCGAGAGCTAATTAAAAGGAAATTTATTTAAAATGCAAGATAACTGCAAGACGTCAAAAATATCATACAGGAAATTAGGAATACTCACGTTTGATGTCTTTTTCTTCTTTATCTTCGTCGGACTTGACTTTTCGCATATCATCTCCAAGATGATCTGGCATTTTTGCTATCTTTTGATATGATATGAAAAATTATACTAAAGCAATAAATAGGCAAAATTTTCCAATAGAACTTTAAATCTCTAACAGGTTATGTTTCCCGTAGTCGATTACAAGCGAAAATGTATCTCCATTTGTATAGTGGCACTCCTGGCGGACATTCTGAGCAAATTATCAATTTTAATTTTAATTTATTAATCAATTAAGATTATATACAGTGATATTATTCTATAGAAAAATATGTGTCTTTTATAGGTTTGTTGAAGCTACATAAATATTCGTACACATTCAAGCTTTAATATTCGATTATCAGGTCTAGAAATTAACAAGAATTCTGTAATATTCTGTGATAATAATTATTTTAATATAATCAGCTATTCAAAATATCTTTATCTAATAATTATAATTTTTATACAGATGCTTCTAAATCGAATTCTAATAGTTTTGCTATTTTATCTTCTGATTGAGAATCAGATTTAATAATCCAAAAACGTCTATTTTTAATGCAGAAGCTTATGCTATCAAATTTACAATTCAATTTTGTATTGATAATAATTGTACACCCTCTGCTATTTACACTGATTCTTTAAGTATATTATTAGCCTTAAAGTCAAATCCATGGATTGTAAAGATTCATCCTTTTTATGTTTATAAATCAAAAAACTATTATTTATAATTGATTCCAACAATATAAAAATTAATTTAGTGTGGATTTTAAGCAATGAAAAAGTAGATCTTTTAGTAAAAAATGCATGCAAATCAACAGAACATCTTAAATCAAGTTTAAAATTACCATACACTGACTTCTATCAATGTCAATGAAATTTGCATCGATGGTTTTTTTCAATTTTTAAATAATTTTCGCTGCAATACAGGTCATTATTATTTCTCTAATTTTTATAAGAAAATGCTAAGACCTTCGTTTAATAACCAGTGAATTGTAAATTACTGTAATTTTCAAAGAAATTATATATTGTCACCATTAATCGTCTCAGATCGAACCATTATTCGCTTGCATTCAGTATGTATAGAAAAAACATCGTTAAATCCAGTAAATGCCCTCATTGTCTTTTTGAAGATGAAGATATATATATAATTATAGAATATATAGAATCATATATATATATATAGAATTATATATAGAATTATCCTAGATTTATCATTCAAAGAAAGACGTTATTGAAATGTCTTGAAAAAATTAAGATTACTCAACCTTGTTTTATTGAAAATTTTTTAAAATGATCCTAATAATAATTATTGCAAACTGATATTTAACTTTTTACAATTTTGTTCACTAACCATTTAATTTTTTTATGTTATAGGCTATATATCCTATCACCTTATATTTATTCTGCAATATCCTTATTCTAACCTTTACTCCATTTCTCTATCTTTTCCTTTTTCTCTTTTTATTTTCCTTTCCTTTCTGCCCTTTCAAGTGTAATTTGGTAAGGAAAGTAAGAGAAAAAGTCTTACTCCAAAAAATTCATTTTTCCGCCATCCAAACATATGGTTATGGTTTAAGTCAAGCTGTAATGTGACAGCAGATAAAGCCAAGGTTTGAAGAAGAATTAAGAAGAAGAATAGAAGCACTTCAACTTCAACACTTGTCTTGTCATAGCCACCGTTGATGCGCTTGTCGCTCTGATCGCTCATTCGAAAGGCTGTTTACCTATAACCTACATGAGCTGGCGGTTGTATATGAAGGTTGTATAGGAGAAAAATTATAACTAACAAAGTGGCAAAAAGGTAAATGTACACATACGTTGATAAGTTTTGAAATAAGTTTTATATTAATATAATTGGATTTTAGACTTAAAGTTATATTACATATCATTATTGATATTAATAATTTTTACACAAAACTCACACAGTAAAAATTATAAAATTTAAATTGTTGATTACTTAATAAATTGGGATATTTCGTTACAGGATATAATTTTGTTTGATCATGGGTTAAGATAAGGCCAAAGAAATATTGATAGTAAAGGTTTTACTGTTTCAACATAGTAATTGATTGGAGGTTAGCATTTTCAAGATACATCACATATAATTTAATTGTAGGACTAGGAAAGAATTATACTTTTAATTGTATCATAAAAAAACTACCAAAATGGATCAAATGCTTCCAAGTCCTGGCTTTAGTATACCAAGTATTGGTACACCTCTTCATCAACCAGATGAAGACCAACAAATTTTACCTAATGCACTCCATCAGCAACAGGAATCGCAGCAACAAACGTTCCAATTGCAACAGCAAATATCAATGAGTCCAATGTCTGCAAGTTTAATGATGCAAACTCCACAGAAACAAATGCACACATATGCAATGAATCAGCCGTTTGCTACTCCACACAGCATGATGCAGCCTCAGACTCCTGTAAGTTTACTTGTTATTTCGAATATAATTTCATATATTAATGGACATATTTCTTTTGCAGCAAAATATTATGTCTCCTCTTGTACAGCCATCAAGTCAAATTGCTCCATCTTCAATAGGACCATCTACACCTGGTCCTTTGACTCCAATGACGCCATCTTCTGCAGATCCTGGTATTCTTCCACAATTACAGTAAGTATTTATTCATTCTTATGGAATATAACTAACAAGAAAATTTAGTTTTATTAAATTTTTTTATTTATTTTGTTTATTTAAGGAATATAGTGGCTACGGTGAACTTAACTTGCAAACTAGACTTAAAAAAAATAGCTTTACATGCAAGAAATGCTGAGTACAATCCTAAACGTTTTGCTGCTGTAATTATGCGAATAAGAGAACCAAGAACAACTGCTCTAATATTCAGCAGTGGAAAAATGGTGTGTACTGGTGCAAGAAGTGAAGAAGATTCTCGACTGGCTGCTCGTAAATATGCGAGAATCATTCAGAAACTTGGTTTTCCAGTAAGAAATAAATAGTTCATAAGTGTTTGTTGAAAATTAGTTTTATCAAAACATTTAACGTACGCTTTTCAGGCTAAATTTCTTGACTTCAAAATACAAAATATGGTCGGCAGTTGCGACGTAAAGTTTCCAATTAGGTTAGAAGGTTTAGTCTTAACACATGGTCAGTTCTCATCATATGAGCCTGAATTATTTCCTGGCCTCATTTACCGAATGGTGAAGCCTCGTATTGTACTTCTTATTTTCGTTTCTGGAAAAGTGGTGTTGACTGGTGAGTAAAACCGTTTTGAATATTACATCTGAATCATCAAAGTTAAGTTAATAAATTAATTTATCATTCCAGGAGCGAAAGTGCGTCAAGAAATATATGAAGCATTTGATAATATTTATCCTATTCTGAAGAGCTTCAAAAAGCAGTGATATACATTTTTTACATATAAGTTCCTTCAAACTATTTTCACAGGATTTGTATTTCTTTGTGTATGAATTGAAATATCTCCAATTATTTTTTTTTAGATTTTTTACTGTAACGTTTGTATAACGTCGAATTTGAATCAGTTTTGTATAATGATTGCTCTTCCTTATGAAATGCAAACTCCCTATTTCCACGCAAAGGAAATTGACGACATTCGAAACGCTAGTCTTTTAACGATTTGTACAATAAAGAAGTGTCAAATAGCACATTCTAGATTATAACGATCAGCTTATTAGGGATAGGTTTCGAATTTTCTTGAAACTTAGTATAAATGTTGCCTATATGGTAGTTTACTTTAGTATGAATTAGATTATTATAATACTTCTATCAAAATTTATAAACAAATAAAACTTTATAACGAAAAATTTTCAAAAATGTATATCCCTACGACGTCCGATAAGTCGGCAAGTTCGGTAGCAGCACCGATTCAGCGCCGACACGCGGTCTAACAGGCGTCGTAGGGCCTGTGAACGTCCACTATTATAGCTCACTGCGTCGCATCTAATGATCACTCGATAAATTTGAAAACGGATTCTTAAAGAAAAAACGTCAAAGAATTGAATAAAAATAGAAGTATTGAAATAAAAATAACACTTTTTGAGATATGGCCAATTGTTTCAAAAAAATGTTAATAACTTTTGAAAAAATTGATATTAAAGTATTGTTCGCTTAATATATTCGAAGTACATCCTTTTACGCGTAATTAAAAAAAATTCGTTTCGATAACTTAAATGGTTGCGGAGATATAAATTTTTGAAAATTTTTCGTTATAAAGTTTTGGTAGCTTATAAATGTTGATAAAAGTATTTTAATAATCTAATAATTCATACTAAAGTAAACTACCATATAGGCAACATTTATACTAAGTTTCAAGAAAATTCGAAACCTATTTTGGATAAGCTGATCGTCATAATCTTTAATGTGTCAGAATGGAAATTTCTTAGAACTTGAAATACGTTTTTCAGATATACTATATGATATACATAAAACTTATTTTATTGATAATTAGTATTTTGATCTAATTAATACAAGCACAATTATTTTTTTGTGCATTTATTTGAAAATTTCACAAAATTAAGTGAAATTGTACAATGGATTTTTATTTGTAATGTAGGTATTTACCTATTATTGACTGGCTTTTTAGTTAAGTAACAGTCTTATTGTTATCTAAATATATACGTATTAAATAATAAATTTCACTACTTTAACGAATTTTCTTTGCACATACGAGTGATGTTCAGCATTCGTCTTCTCGCTACAAGAAATGAATGCAAATTTTTGGTTTTGAGTAAAATAAGAAAATAAAAGCTATTTTTATAAATTTACCGATTCGTCTTCATCGAGTCCAATCATTATCTCCTTTAATGTTTTCCTGATGTGCCGTCGTAGAGCCGCGAGTGTCTCCTTATCGGTATCCGTCGGTAGCTTATGGAAAATATATTGCAACGCGGAGGACATGTTATCCGGCGCTTTCAATTTATTGATCAAGGATTGAATAACGTGTCCTGTTGTGTCCAGGATGCCTACGCTAGTGCATAAATCGTTTATCCTCTCGCGGACTTGTTCATTGATTATGAAATTTAGCGGGACTTCCATCGTTGCTGCGTCATACCTATAACAACCGTAATTTCGTGTTTAAAAACTGCGAATTCAGAATAAAAATTATGAACGAATAACTTGTAATTTTAATCTACCGGTAAATCAAATCACTAAGACTTTTCGTTATAGTATCTTGACTTGAAACTTCAGCTGTTTCCTCTCCTTCATGTGAAATATCGATGATTTCACTAATATTTTTCTCGATATCTTCCTGGCAACAACCAGCTCGTTTCAAATTCTCGGCGATTTCAGTCAACATTTTTTCAATCGTCGCCCTCGTATTCGTTTCATCTACTGTAGCTACTTGCGACAGTAAATGCCTTATCTACAATAATATGAAAACTTAATATTTGGTATCAATAAAGGATACAAACTGAAGAATTACCGCGATTATTTTTTTATAATAATCAACGTCCTCCGTTAACAATTCTCTAGCCTCATTACTAGTAGAAGCATCGTCCTCGTGTTTTCGATGTTTGGCTCCTTGCTTTTCAGCTCTGTCGAATAACGTTAGCGTTGGTTTGTACTTCCCCATGCAAGTTTTTGATTTCAGCTGGTCGAGTGGGACTAAATTTTTTGTTTTGTTAGTGAGACTTATGATATCCATGTAAAGCCATTCTTTTTCTTTTTCTTGATTTCTCAGCAAGGTCTTGAGTTTGGTCAAATCGGCTTCGTATTGCGATTCAAGCTTTGTTATTTCTTCCTAAGATTGCGAATTAAGTACTGCTGTAATTTTTGTAAACAAAGAGACTGCACTGCACATCTTACCTCTGACATGAGTTTTGTGTCTAAATTTTTGCGTAGTTTGAATAACTCTTCCTCCAGAACCGTAAGGAAATTGATTTTCTCCGTGTTTTCTTGTATCAAATCTTTCAACACTTGCAATTGCTGCTTGTATTCGACTTTGATGCCTTAAAAAACAAAAATAAATAAAAATCAACACGCGCAGGCACGCGGGTCTACGTAGATTCTCACTTTTGATTTTCCTGTCGTAGAATTTGATCAGCGAGCCAGTGTTCGCTTTGATGTCATAAATCAATCTACGCAAAACGGCCTCGTACAGAGTAACCAGCGACACTTGCTGACCAAACTTGTGCTGCATTTCCTCTTTAATCTGCTGTTTCAAAGCTTCCAGCTCCTTTCTCACTGCCTCGCACTCCAGTTTCATTGTATGAAGATTCGACTTATCACTCCTGAAAAGAATCGCGTTTCCGACGGATCAGTCGCGAAATCATCGTTCCGCACGTACGGTGTTTTCGCGTTACTTGTGCCTCGCCAATTGATCCGCTGTTTCTTGCTGTAGCTCGCCTACTCTCGCGTACAGCTGCGACAATTTGTCTTTGTCGAACACTATGCAGTTCTGTATTTTCTCAGCTTTGTCCTCCTCCGTGAAACACTGTAACTGGTGCAGTTTCAGCACGACCGTCACGTCGATGTCATTTAGCTGTCTCTGTTTCTCTCTCTGGAAATTGCAGGCGATCGTTAAACCGACCATTTTGGCGGCATTTTACGATCACGGAAAACCCACCAACAAAGCTTGCAGTTGCTCCGTATCGGTTTTCAATTCGCTCTCAATCGTTTCCAAAGCTTTACGCTGCGAATCCAGCTCCTGCTGCAAGTTTTCAATGGTCTTCTGATGGTCCTTGATTCTGTGCTCCAGGTCATAGCGCTTGCTGCGAACGGCGAAAGCTTCTTCGTAGAGATCACGATCGCATCCGTCGGGACAATTGTTCTCGTCCAGTGGCAGTACGTTCATGTCGTGGCTGTCGGCGTCGCTGCCTTGATCGTCGACACTGTCGTCCTCGGAATCACTGTCCGCCGATGACGATTCGGACGACGATTCTTTTGGCGTTGCGTGCAAATGTCATCGTTAAAATTCAAGAATGGCACCTGCCGAGAATCAGAATATTTTACCGTCGTCCCTTTTCGAAGGCTTCCATTTCTTTTTGCAAATGCGTTTGAGAAAACTAAAGAATTTGTCTTCCTTGATGGAATTCAAATATCGCGCCTGAGCTTCCTTGATTCTCTCTTGCAGCCTGCGGATGGTCGCGTTTCTCTCGTCCACTCTGTCGGTTAGTTTTTGCATCTGAAAATTGAAGTCAGCCAGAGACACCTTTTCAAACGACCAATACGCCTACCCACTTTATTTCTGACGACGTTTTTCGCGTTCGCTCTGTCGTTAACTTTAGACGACAGTTGATTCTCCGCGCCTTCGAATCTTTTCAAAACCATCAGCTCTTGATGCATCGTCAGAAGAAACAAGTCCGTGTAAACGCTTTCGTGAACGATGTCGAGTCTCCGTTTCTCCATCTCGTCGAGCTCCTCGTCGAAGGAGGCGTAGCTCCTCTCGATGTGCTCCAAAATCCGATCTTGCTCGTGGCTCTTTCTCGCGGCCCGCATCCTCTTCATTTCGCGCTCTGAAATCGGCAGCGGGGCGAGGGGCCAGCCGCCAACTCATAATGTAAATCCGCGACCAAGTAGCGTAATGAACGGGCGGGCGATCCGATGAGACGTCGGCGGCGCCTACCAATTTTGCTGTCGCCATTGTCGGCTTGCTCGGCGGCGGCCAGCGCATCCGGCGGCACGGTGATCCGAATCTGGCGAGCCTCCTCGTACGCGGACACGTGTCGGTGCGGCGCGCGCTTGAATCGCGTCTCGTCCAACAATAGCGCCTCGTACTCTTCGTCGAACTCGTCCACTTGGAGCTCCAGCAGCACCGATTGTTTGCGGCGTTTTGTCTGCTTGACGCGCTCCGCCATTGACGTGTAGTCCTCCATCTGGTTAATTAGCGGCGGGGAAGCGCGTCGAACAGAATAGCGGGAAGGGGGAACGGGGCTTCGAGATGTATTAATTGGAACGTACTTCCAGATTCCTTTCGGGGAACTCCAGCTCGTAATCGAAGTTCGGCGCCTCGGGCGCTGGCTTTGTCCACTGCTCGGGCAGCTCGGCGTGGATGTTCTTCAGTCGCTTGGTCAGGCCCTCCACCTCGGTCCGCAGCGCGACTTTACGAGCGCGCAGCTCGCGCAGCTTGCCGTTGAATTCCTCGCGGCGAAAGTGTATCTGTCGAGTAATAACGTCGCGCCGATAAGCGCACGAGCTGCGATCGCGCGACAGCGGCCGTAGCAACCTTCCGTCGGCAGTGGATTATCTGGCTGTGCTTGCTCGCGACGCTCGGCCGACTCGCGCTTCCGTCCGAACTCAAGGCGGTTTTCAGCTTGCAGTCGCCGATGGTGTTCCTCGCGTGCTCGACGGCCGCCTCGTCCTCGGGATCGACGGCCGTGGGATCGGGTTTTCGCGATTGCAGCGCCTTCCACTGAAAGCAGAAAGCGAGGGACACGCGCACGTTTTCACCGCCTCTCGCCGCGGGGCCAACGCGCTCGTGCACGTACTTCCTGCTGCTGCTCCTCGAGCTTGGCTTTGAGCGCGCGATACTTCTTCAGCATCTGATTGATCTCCTCGCCGAGCTGGCACTGCACCGTTTTGGGGCTCAAGCCCTTCAGGAAACTTTCCATGGCTTGGATCTCGGCTCCTTCCCCCGTCGCGTCGTCCTTGTCGTCGTCTGAATCTGAATCTTGTGCAGTCCTGCGGAATAGAAACGAGGACGGAGAGCCGTGTAAATTTTTCTCGGCGGTTCGCGAGCGAGACAGAGATGGAAAAACCTCGTTGATTCGTTCAAGGAAGGGCTCGGTTGAGTGCTCATCCCGGTTGGCTCGCCTTCTTGGCAGAGGTCGGTTAATTTTTTTGATGGGTCGTCCCGCTCGACGGCGTAGTCGCCCGTCAGTTTTAATTCGCGCAAAGAGTGCACCATTGTGTCTGGCTTTCTGCATAATTTCAGAGAGAAATTCAAATTTCGTGCTTTGCCTAGCTCCAGCAGCGTCATATCGATATGGATTGTTTTATCCTTTGTTTTATGCGCACAGTATTCTCCTCACGGCGAACGGCAAGCAGGTGATCGGCTCGACGAAATGGCCCATCAGCTTTTTCAGTCGAAGCTCGCACTTCTCGAGATCGTACGCCAACTTTTTGCGCACCACGTCCATTTCGGCGTCTAACTGGTCGTTCAGGTCTTTCGTTATTCTCGGATCGAGTTCCAACTCTTCTTCGGTCAGTCTTTGCGATGCTGGCAATTCGCTGTTTCTGATTTTTACGAGCGGTCAATCGAAGCGTTAGTTACTCGTTGGTTGGTCGACAGGCCGATACCTCTTTAAAATCGAATTGTATTCCTCGGTCAATTCTCGCAGTGCAGCAAGCGTCTTTTCCTTTTCAGCTTTAGCTTGAGCCATTATTCGATCTTCCTCGGCCTTCACGATCATTTGCTCCAAACTCGGATGATCCGGTTCCTCGATGTCCGCTACTCCAGGTACAAACTGAATCAGAGATGTCAGTGACACATTTCCCAAGCGTAAAACTGAAAAGAAAATCAAAGATAACGCTCGCCGTCTTACTTCAGCCGTGAACTTCTTCTCGGGGACTCGCACTTGTGGAGCAGGCAGCGCGTCGTTGACAAAGAAGGAAAAAATGTTGCCGTCGTAGCCGCAGGTGAGCAGCATCCTGCGGTCATAGCTCAGTCGCATGCTCGATATGCGTCCGTTGAAGCAATCGTGCATCGGCAAGATCCAGTAATCGGAGAGGTCCGCCTCGTCGCGCGGGTCGAGCCTGCAGACACGAATCTCCCCGCGCTCCATCCCGAGCACAACGTACTTGCGATCGTTGCTGCGAGCAACACGAAAGAGACAAAGTTCAATCTATCGCCGCGAAGAGTGCGCACGGGGATTATTGATAGCCGTACTAGAATAGGCAGCATTGAATCTCTTGATCCCCGCAGTCGGCGACTAAATGACTGGCCACATGCTTGGTTTCTTTGTCAATCTCGGGAATGGAATATTCGTACGTGTATCCGGCGTCATAGCCGGCCATCGATAATAAAAGCGTGTCCCTCGTGGTGTAAAAGCCAGCGAGCACGCGGTTTGGAACATCTGGTATGTAGATTTCGGGCAACGCTGGCTCCTCTTCCAACTCGGACTCTTTGCAACGCGAGGGGTCCAATAATGAAATTTCATCCGCGCTAATTGGACACATCGTTACGCGTGTTATTTACCAAGGAATACTTGCTCGTCGATTTCCAAATTCGGATTGGCTTCGAGTAACCTCTGCAACTCTTCCTTCTTTTCGGCGATTTTTTCTTGCCTTAGCCGCTCGTTTTCTTGGCGCGCCTGCTCGCGAATGATCGACGACTTGACGGATTCGAATTTGAACGCTGTCGGCTTGCATTCGCTCAGCTTGTACGAGATTTTGGTGTAAGGTTGCGGTCGTTGCGGTAGCTCCACTTGCACGCAGTCGCCCTCCAGACAGCCCAAAAATATCGTCGACAACTGCAACGCGTCGCACCTTTGATACGATTGCTCGCTTCTTCTCCCTTCCCGCGAACTTACGTGGTTCGGCTTCCAAGTCATGAACGTCACGCACGAGGGAACTTGCACGTATCCGATTGGAACTAAGTTAGGGTGCGATTCGTCGATTTGAATGTGAAATGCGAAAATCGACGAGTCCTCGCTCGCGGTAACCAACAAACTACGCAGAGAAAACAAAAGCGCCAGACATTTCTCTTATCGCTTGTGCGCGAAAGACGCCGATGAAAATGCCAAATGTACCTGTGATCCGAGTTAATCGTCATGCGATTGATCGACGCTGTGTGTGGCTTCAGAGCTTGCACGATTGTAACGAGCTTATTGTCGATATCAACGTTCACCATTCGAACGACTCCACTGTCGAACGCGCAAATTAGCGTCGACCCGCTGGGCTCCACCTTCAAACAAAAATCAGACGGCAAGCTCGACAAAAATAAAAAGAGGAATATGCATATATTCAAGCGTGTTTGTAAAAGGGGCTTACGGAGCAGGCTAACCAGATAATACAGCGGCCGGCATCGAGAAACTCGTAGGCCAAATTCAATTGCCTCGCGTGATAATTGTAAATGTGCATGCAGCCGTCCGCCCCGATGGTCGCGGCGAATGGACCCCAATCAGCGACGTCCATATCCATGACCGGTCCAGCGTGGCACGTTAGTAGTCTCAGCGATGGCTTCGGCGTTGGCATGATCGACAAGTCTATCAGCCATATCCCCCCGTTTCCGTCCTTTCAATCGAGTGTACATATACGTTTTCTCGTATCGGCGGCGGTCATCGGCGAGTAGGCAGGCAAGTAGCGAGAGGTTTACCTGGGCGAACCACGAATTGTCGTCGACGTCGTCGGGATGCCGCTTAAGAATCTGCATAAGCATTGCGCGCCTCGGTGACTCCTCATCGTCGGCCTGAGAGCCGATTCTAAACTCGTAAATGGGCTCGACCTCGACGAAATTGCTTTCTTCCGTGGGCTCCGCCTGGTCGATCGTCTCGTAAAACCAGAAGTTTATCAGGCCGTCGCTGCCTGCGCTCGTCACGTACGTCCAGTCAATTGGAAAAGTCAGCCACACGTCGACGCGCGTGGCTGTTGCTTTTTTTCTTTTCTTTCGCATTTACCTACTGATATGAGCTCCCCGTTGACGTACTCGAATTGCGATATGTAGCTCGAGTGACAGGGTCGCCGGTTCTTTCTGCACACCTCGATCTTTATCAGACCCTCGTCCCACACTAGTATGTTGCCCCATTCGCAGCCGGATATTACCTACGTGTTTGATTGAACGCGCTGGCTTTGTATTAGCGGAATATTCGATTTTACACGCCTTCATGGGTTTCACAAAGACGTTTGCTTCGCGCGCGAACGACTGAACTGCTTATCTATTTTTTTTTTCTTTTTTATTCTTTCTTTTGGCACGACTCAATTGCTAATATTTTGCAGAAAAAAATGTTATATTCGTAACTAAAATTAGAGAATATTTACCGAAAACTAAAATTTCAGCAATGAACACCCAGAAAATATTTACGATGCATGCGAAACAAGCGTCCGCCATTTATCCTCGTTACTCTATGACTTTTGCATTTGAAATTTACTGAAAGGGGGGCACTCAAACACTTTCGAGTATCGAAGCTTCTTGAACGCGCAACTCGATTATTTTGTATCTGCTAATCGAATACATTTGAAAGCAGATCGTTACTTTTTCATCGGGCATCTGGTAGACGCCAACGATATCCGAAATCTCCGTTTTGCCAAAGCGACCAAGCTCGCCTTGCAGCTTCAGTCCAGTAAACGTCTTAGCCATTTTCCAAACTTTGATGTGCCCGCAGCCGCATGAAGTCATGTGGTCGGGCATCGTCTCCGAGAACGTCACGTTGTAAACGTCCTGACCGTGACTTTTGCACTGCAATGCGATCTTGGAGCTTTGCCAGTCCCACACGGTGATAAGGTAGTCTGGATTGCCACCTTGGGACACCAGTTGCAGGCCGTTTGGGCTACAAAATATTTGGTTGATTCGAGTATCGCGCAGTGCAGTTGCTCTCGAGGCTATGGTCGACATCGATCTACCTGTAACGCAAGTGCGAGTACGAGCGCGTGGTACCCTTGCGCAGGACCGTCACTATTTCCATGCTCGGCCACTCGTAGATAATGATTGGCGGATCTAGTCCGTTTTCGCCGACAGCGATGTGATTGAACTTTGGATTTTTCTATGTGAAACGATTTTCGTTGAGTAAAACGTCAAACTAGTCGGCCGAACATTAAAAAGAAGCGCCGGTGCGAATTCCGTAGTCGAGTTTTGTACAAAGCTTCCGGAGTTGAAAGCAAAACAAGAATTTCAATGATCAAAGCACGCACGGAAAGAAGAAACAGTAATCTCTGAATTAGTCTGCTCAATATTGACTCGGTGTTCCGCCCTCGCGCCCCGCAATCAGTCACGCGCAACAGACCCACCAAACGAAGTTAGACCATGGCGCACGCGAATGAGAGATCGCATGAACAGAGAGCGAGCGAGAGAGAGAGAGAGAGAGAGAGAGTAATCTGCGCGCAGATTGAGTATGAAGTGCTGCAGAGCGCGTACTCGTGCGGGAGAGTGCGCAATTTGAATAGCGCGAGGCTAAAAAGAGACGCGCGGAGAGTAGACTCTCTGTCTCTCTCGGCATCGATTCGCCGACCATCTGCGCCCGAAAACCGCACTGACAATACGCATCCGTGAGATTTGCATTGTCCCTTTTCCTCGCTGCTTTCGTTTTTTGTTCGCCCCCACGTCCCCACAAAGTTGACATTGATACTAGGCGGGCGCGCGCGCGCGCGCGCGTGCGAGGGTAGAAACCCCTTTCAAGCGAGAATCTCACCCCCGCTGGCTGCGGCGACAATACGCTTTTTGCGCAGATTTGAGTTCCGAGAGATAAAAGCGTCGTCGTCGTCGTCGTCGTCGCCGTGGTAGTCGTCGACCTTATGTCGCGTCGCGCTCGCTTTAACGTCAATGGGCGACTTGGTTAATGCGTATATATGCGCGTGTGTACACCCACTGTGATGTGGCCAACTCCACCCCCGGTGGAGCAGCGGCGGAAGGTCAGCTCGCCACTCGACACGCTCAGGAAGTGGATTAGATTACCCGACGCGAAGATCAGCGTCTGGCTGTCGGCCGCGCAAAGGTTGAAACGCCTGCGGCAGTCGTAGCCGAATGAATAACTGGAAATTAGTTTGACCGTGAGCACTCGCTTTGCACCGATTCTTGCCGCGCGGAGCTGCCTACTCGAATTGTAAGAAATCCAGCGGGATTGTTCCGCCACTTGAGGTTCGTGGCTTCGAGATGAAGTCCTCCGAATGGTACGAGATAATCGAGGCTGGCCGCGTTCCCTCGTCTTCTTCCCCCTCGTTCTTGCCCCACCATTCCAATTCGTCTTCTTCGAATTGCCGGAAAAACAAAGATTTCTATCAACGATCGACGTTCGAGTAATTTGTCGGTTTATTAATTACCTCCTTCGTCCATTCTCAATGTTAGCTTATGAGTTAACTACTCGACCGAAGTCTGTGTTTCAAAACAACAAGCAGAAACCATTCGGTTTCTATAGAAACCTACGTCTGTTTCGTGAGCAGAGGATTATTTGGAGGGGAATCAAATAACTTGGTGCACCATTTGCATTTGTTAATTTAAAAATATATATTCTTCATAAATTGGTCTATCAATATCAGAAACTGTTACATTATTATTCCCTGGTCGACCCGCCAGTTTCCTGGAGAAATTTTACTAACTTCTCCTTCACTTTCGTGAATATATTTGTTGTAACGTTTTCTAAACATTTACTCACGTATTCTTCGGTAATACTATCGTATCCTTCTTGAGCTGTACATGCAATTTATAAATGATTATTTGCTTTTCCAATTAAACGATATCGTTACACATTTGCACAAATTGACTTACTTCTTATGGGCAAATGACCAAAGACTTCACATGCAGCAATAATGAAATCTTTGGTATTTTTTACTCCATAATTGGGTCTCCTCGCCCAAATGTATATTCGAATGTCGTCGAATTCTAACTTATCGGGATTACTTTTGGATCGTGTAATGTAGATGTTATGCGCTATTTCATTCAGTTGCAGGTAAGCAACTATTTTATAAGCATATGCTACAAAGTCATCAATGTTTTTCTCTTTGAAAGATAAAAATTTTATACAAAATCCTTTGGAAGGAAAATCTTCAATGATGCATAAATAATCCACAAGTATTCTCAAAGGCTAAACAATAATGTAAGAAATCAGCAGATAATAAAAAAATTTGATTGTCAAGAAACTTTGATTTTACCAACTTACAGCAGTTTCAAGAAACATTCTTTGATTCAGATAACAAAAGTGCCAGTGCAAATGATTTACAGATGCATTTGCACACAAACTATTGAATAATATTCTCATGTTCCTGTTGCAAGTTATAAATAATCATTAATTTTACATATTAATACAGTAACCAAATAACTGGTAGAATAAATATTTACACTGAATTACTCAATAAAAGTAATTCAATAGCTTTTTTGAAGCTGTAAAGTGTTGCCTGTTGAGGCAAACATTTGAAACGTTGAGGTAATAATAAAGAATGACTCCAAAGAATAGGACTAACATTGACACTAATGATATTATCACCATTCCCACTATCAATATCAAATAATACTTCTTTGTCCAATATTTTAGTAAAATTAAAACTATTGGGATCAAATGGTTTGAACATTGATGTTATTTCTTCAGGTTTTCTTCGGTTAGTTGCTCTATTAATATTCAACTGCAACGAGCAATATAAAGCTATAATTTGAAAATGTGTTACTTATTATTCTACTAGTTTTTCTACATACCTGAGCAAAAAATCCATATTTTCCTTCAAGAACTTTTTCCTCTAAATGTTCTACTGAATACCGTAAGATATTATCTTGTTCAAGCTTACTCCATCTCTCTTTAAAAACAATGTCAAACTTTGAATCTTCATTTTCACTACTAGTTACAAAGTGAAAATCTTTTTTATCATATTTAAAGTGCTCAATAGTGCTTATTGCCATTGTTGATCAATGTTTATTTACAAACAAAAACTGAACAACCCTAACCTTTAAATAAAATGTTAAATAATTTGAAGTTTTGAAAATACAAGTACAATATCACAGCATAATAGAACCTAATTACTATAATCTAATATATCACAGCTCTGAAAAAAGTACTTCCACGACAAATAAAAGTAATTAACACAGACTTCGCGTGATGCAATAAATCTACTGTGTCAAGTTCAAATGTGATTCAAGTTGCTTTATTTGTAGCAGACTATTACTTACATCACAATGGCTATAAAGCGCCAAGAAATTGAATGAGAATGAAAACGGAACGAAATGCAATGAAAAAATTAATGTGATAAAAATATATGTAGGAGAGTAATTCAAAAAATTTTTTTTTCATAAAAAACTTTTATTATAAAATTATGTTTCTCTTCATATCACCATGAACTTTTTATATAATAATATGCATTTTTTTACATTTGATAATATGCATTTTTTTACATTTGAGTGAGAGCCTTTTTTATTTGTATATCTAAGTTGGTGTCGCAATAATTGAGTAAATTCTATTAATTGAATTTGATGCAGTATGAATTCGTCGTAATTTATTACGTTTTCCAGGTACTCACAGATATTTATGAAAATATTATTTATATTGCCCAGAAGAATATTTAATTAATAGATAAGAGCGACGCAGTGGTGATTTTTAGTTTTCATTCTGTATTACATAAATATTCGAATTGATTGCTTTTCTTTTAATTTTTTATCACTATTTCTACTTTCTTTTAACAAAAAGAAACTCGACAACGTATACAAATAACTCAAGATAGACCGTTCATCAAAGTACGCTCAAAGAGCTACTTTATTTCTAGTAAATTTAAACAACACTTATCTGCCGATTGAGTAGTAATAGACTTCAAGAAGTCTCCAAACTTGGAGTCAAAATGAACGTCGTGCAAAAAATTGTTGTAAGAATAAATGTATATCCTTCTATGTTCTATGTAAAAATTATCCTTGCAAATTACCTTATACTACAATGTATAGTTATAACAATTTACTATCACATGGTACTTAAAATTAAAAACTTTCACGTAATCGTCAATATTCATAATCACCTTCAAAAAAATACGAAAATAAATCAAAGCGTCATTGAACAACAGTAAAGAAAGTCTATCTAGGCTAAAAGTAAAGGTACATTTACACAATAAATCGCTGTATGTACAATAATCCGTTTTTATATACTCGGATACAATCCATAATACGGCGTTCTAAATGGTTTCGAATTTATATTGTAAACGTCGGGTTCCGGAATAATAAATGGCTCGATCATATTGACCGACATTGCTTTCTGATCGTGAATATTCGCGATCATAAACTGACAGCTCGAAGGTTCAGCAGCAATGGTGTCATCGGCTATTATCTCGTCTTTTTTATCTTCTGTAAAAATCAGCAACTGTTCAGTCGGTGAGTTATTTTCACTTTGAGAGAGCACGGCATTATCCGCTAATTCCAAGGCGTCCGGATAATCATTCATATTTGTACTAGCTTGCATAGTTTTGCATTTCTTTGTGTGGGCATACAAAGATCCAGCATTGTTATACCTCTTCCCGCAAATTTTGCAGGAATAAGGTCTTTGCCCGGTATGAGTAAATGTGTGCTCGTTCAATGACGTTAATCTTCGGAAGGATTTTGAGCAGATCTGACACTGATATTTAGCTTCACCCGTGTGCATTGTCAAATGTCGAGCCAAAGTATTGGCTCGAGCGAAGGCTCTGTTACAATACTGACAGACGTATGGCTTTTCTCCCGAGTGAATTCTGAGGTGTAATTGCAGGTACGTGCTTTTTGTAAAAGCTCTTGAGCATACGTTGCAGACGTAAGGTTTGACGCCCGTATGAGTGCGCATGTGAGCTACTAACGACCCACGTTGAGCAAAACATTTGCTGCAAACCTCACATAAGTATCGCTTTTGTACATCTTTGTCTCGCTTATGCCGTTCCTCGTGATTCGCTAACGATTGGGTCTGAGCAAATGCTTTAGGACATATCGAACATTTATAAGGTCGATTCTTTTTGTCCTGAAAACAAATATTGAAATTATTATCATTGTAAATATTATCGATAATTAATAACAGATTTAAGTGCATTTCAAGTTACCTTCTTTCGACTAGATCCCGTATTTTCATCATCAGATTCATTTTCAGAATCTGATTTTCCAAATACCTCGTCTTTATGTTTTGATTGTTGATGCTCGCGCAATTTATCTGGCCTCGAAAAATCTTTATTACATATAGAGCAGTTGTGTTTGAGACCAGAATGAGTTAGCATGTGCCTCTTGAGGTTCCTGGTGGTAGCAACAAGCTTTCCACATTGCTTGCACTGAATACTGGAGTTTTCTTTATACATCTCATCCGTGTTTTTAGTAATATCGTCATTCTCCTCATCATCGTCATCATCGTCATCGTAATCATCATTAAAGTTTGTAATATTATTTTCAGATGTATTTTTATTTAGACTATTTTTACTTCCTATTCTGCATAAATTTTCTTTAAAATTATTTTCTAAACTTGCTTGCAAATCGAGATCAACACTGGTTGGTTGAGAAATATCTGTGCTGGACTTTACTCCTAAACTATCTGGATCAGATAGATGCTCAAATTCTTCTAAATCAGACGAATTATTCAAATTTACCAAATGAGGACCTACTTCAATATTTTTTGTTTGTAAGCTATTATTAGATCCTGAGTGCATATTAGATTTATCCGTAGTGAAATTATGATTATTCTTCAATAATATTTTATTTTGGTAATCTGGATGATTTTTCATGTGGAAACTGTAAGTTCTGTAATGAGTAAATTGTCTATAACAAATTTCACAAGAATAATTAACTTCATTAAGTTTGACAATCTGAGCTACTACATTTTCATTACTCTTATCATCATTTTTTTCTTGGTTATTTACTTTCGGCCACTTGACTTTAACTGCAATTTTATCTTTATCCACTTGCAAGCTGTGAATAGTGATATGATGGCTTTGTACACTGCCCATTGAGTTGAACTCTTCATTACACATACAACACAAGTACACTGTCTTTTTGTGAATTACTGCATGTTTTGCCAATAAATTTAAATTAGCAAAAGATTTTATACAATAATTACACTTATGACGCTTAGTCCTTAATATCAAAGGTTTGTCATCATCACTATGGTTTGATTTTTCTTGAAGAATTTGTGGTTGAAAGTTTTCAACAGTAGATTTTTCTAGAACATTACTTCTAATCTCATACTGATTTCCAAATGTTAGAATTACATCATTATCAGTACTAGGCCTAGAAATTTCATTATTTGTTTGGAGTGCATGATTTTCTATTTGACTTACTGCATTAACTGCACTATTTAATACAATCACATCTTCCTTTTTGTAAGTATCATTACTTAAATTACAATTATTTTCAATTTCAAATATAAATTGTCCATGATTGTTTGCACTGTGTTCATCTTGCATTGACATGCAAGAATTAAAATTTTTTTGATAGCAAGGTACTATAATATCTACATTACTCAGGCCTTCCATTGGTTTGACATTTGTTATATTTTGCCAGTCTTTAGAAGACTGTTTTAGTAATAATGCTTGACGGAGATCATGATCACTTTTTTCTACTTGACATTTGAAATTGTAGGATGTGTAGACCAGATTACGACAATTCATACAAATTAATGTAGGTAAACCATCATTTTCTTGAAGCTGAAAACAAAAAGAAAATAAAATCATTAAAAACTATAAATATGTCACAATATGGCATAGGGAAGCTCAAAACTTTTTAATGCCACTCTGATTAAGCATTATAAGGTCATTATAATGTTAAAGTAAATGCAGTAATGTGTATATTATATGGAAATTTCTATCATACGAAAGAGTTCATAACAAAATATAATTCTGGAAGACCAATTCTGACAAGTTCTTTCATTGTCTACCAAGATCACCTGAATCTGGTCTTAATCTCTAAGCTATCATATGGTGAGCTTAACGAAATTACGTGACAATTTATTACATAATTAAAAATAGAAATAAAATAGCAAATTAAATAACAAATGATAAATTATATAGTGCATGAAAAAAATAAGGATAATGGCATGAACACATTATACAAAAAATACAGTGAAATAGAAGTATTAAGAATTGAAAATAATCTTCTAAAACAATTATACAAATAATTGCAGAAAAAAATAAATTACAAAATAAACTGCTAATAAAAGGAAATCAAAATAATAATAATAATAGTATTAAACAAATAAACACGTATGCTGAAATGATTGCAATATCAAAACCAAAAAGTAAAAAAGTACCTACGCTGATAATTTAAAAAATTAATAAAAATGATACTACTAACTTAAAAAATACTGTAACTCACTACTTAACTAAAGACAAAACTATTCAAACAAAAAATTTACACTTTAATAAAGACATGGCAATAATAAATTGTATGAATGAGGAAAGCATTAACACAATAGTAAAGACACTAAGCAAAAAACCAACCAATAATTTCAAAATAGAAGAAGAACAAATATGAATACTAACGATGAAAGTTATAGGTATTGATAAAGATACAACCAGCAATGAAAAAGATATAAAAAATGACATTATCCAAAGAAACTTTAATAATATTGAGGATAAATGTAAAGTTTTACATGTATATACTAATAATGTATCAAAGTCACATGCAATAATTGAAGTTATATCAAATATCTATAAGCTAATAAAAGAAAATAAAAGCAGAGTATTTTTTGGTTATTAAAATTTTGGAGATTTGGATATAATAAATACTAATTCATGTCTAAAGAGCGTAAAATTTAATCATCTCAGTAGTAAAAAATGTACCAGTGAAGCTATAAGTATCAAATGTTCAGGAAATCACATAGCTGATCAGTGTTAAAATGAAAAGTTGAAGTTATAGAACAAATTATAACTTAAATCATAGTGCAAATGATAACGACAATTATGAAGTATTAAAATAAGATTAAAAGATAAAATTAAAAAGTTCATAGAAATGATAGACTATCTAACTCAGCATACGTATCAACAGCATTTTGGTAAGGTAGAGCGCACGAATAAGCCACAGAAGGTAACGCACAGAAATTCAAGAATTATGAGCAATTCATCAATCACTTTATTATGAATGAACAAATTATTGATCGTGTAATCAAATTTAATAATTAAACTGAAGATGATAATGAGATGATACTAAATATAACAAGTTTGAAAGTCAATTACAATATATTATTACTATTTATAAAAAGTATGAATATTCGTACACCTATTATTGTATGTATTGAATTTTGAAATGTTGAATATCAAGATTTCTTGAACATTCAGGGTTACAAAATGTATTATAGTAGTAAAATAAACAGATTGGATGGTGTAGTTGTTTATATAAGCACGCACATCACGAAAATAACTGAAATAATAGATACAAAAAAAAAGAAAGAAATTAATGCTGTTATTTCACTTGAAATTAAAAAATAAATATATCAATAGCCTATAGATCACTGTATACATAAAACAGAATTCTTAATGGATCTAAAGGAGTTAATTAAAAATAATAAAAAATATAAAAATAAGATGATAATAACAGGTGATTTCAATTGTGACATATTAAGTAATGAAATTGATGAATACTAGACCAAGCATTCCGGCAAATATTACCTGAACATGGCTATGTACCAGGTATTAACAATGTAATTAAACCCTCACAATCGATAATTAGAGTAAAGATTCGTGCATTGACAAATTTTTCCTAAAGCTCAACAAAATTTAATACAAAACATACTCATTCAAAACACCCTTCAATGATCATGACTTAATAATGTTGTCATTGAAAAGTATCAAAGAATCAGTTAGCCAGTAACAGAATAAAAAAATTGATTTTGAAAAGCTATATAACATTTTTAAAAAGGTAACCTGGTCTGAAATTGAAAATATAAACGATCTAAATAAATCAATAAATAACTTAATTGAGACATTAAAAAAGTACACACAGAAAGCAAAAGATAAAAATCAAAGCATTAAGTAATATACCATGCAACTGAGAAAAAATTGGATAACTAAAGTTCTCCTACTTTCATGTAGAAAAAAAGAAAAGTTATATAAAATATGAGGAAATTATCCAGATAACAGGATAAAGAAAGATAATTATAAAAATTATGTTACATTATTTAACAAAGAAATAAATAAAGTCAAGGAAGAATATGATAAAAACTTAATAAAAGAAAACACAAACAATAGTTGAAATTTATCGAGAATAATAACTAGCAAACTCGGTAAACAGAATAATAACAATAAGAATATAAATTACATAATAAATAGTAAGTACAAGATCACAGACCCCATTCTAATAGCTGAACACACAAACGAAATTTTTGGTAACATTGTCAAAAAGTTAAGCGAAAAAATAGTTAAACCTCAATATAAAATTATAAGAATGCCTCCAACGAAGAAAAAGATATATTTCTACTTCCTACAAACAAACAAGAAATTCTAGAAATAATAAATAAATGACAAATAAAAATAAAGATATTACCGGAAAGACTACAACTGTACTAAAATCACTTAAAAAGCATATAAGCACGCCACTAACAAAAATTGTAAGTGACTGCATTGAAAAAGAAAAATTAAAGAAAGCTGAAGTCATACCAATATACAAATCAAAAGAAAAATATTTGCCCACCAACTATAGACCGATCTTCTTGATTTCTAATATATAAAAAATATCTGAAAAATCAATTTATAAAAGATATAACACTTCATAGACAGTTGCAATCTGATCTCTAATAAACAATTTAGTTTCAGAAAAAAGAAATGAACTAAAGATGCCTTATACCATATGACCAACATAATATACAAACAACTTGATGTTAGTCAATTCATAACAATTATTTTTATTGATTTAGCTAAGGTCTTCAAACCGGTAGACCATAAAATATTATTAAGTAAATTATACAATTACGGTATTAGACGATATGCATATAACCATACGAATACATATCATATAACATACGAAGTTACTTAAATAACAGAAAACAGTGTAAAAACTAATAAGCTAATTAAAAATAGTGAGCATGGATGTTATACAAGAAACTATCCTTGGTTCTCTATTATTCATTATGTATATAAATGATATCCTAATCTCTATGTCAGAAAATACGGTATCATACGCAGATGCATAGCATACTGCTGTTATTACAACAGAAAAAAACTGGAAAAGGGTTAAAATAAAAACGAATCATTATCTAAATGAAATAAATATTTGACTTGCACTTATTAAAATGTCGCTTAATATATGGAAAACGAAATATATGGAATTTGGTGATACAATCACAAACATATCTAGAAATATGAATATAAATATACAAAGAAAAAGGATAAACAGAACTGAATCTACAAGATATCTGAGAATCATTTTTGATAGCCATATGAAATGGGATTATCACATAGACAACATATATAACATAACAAAATATTTTAGTTTTATTTTCTACAAGATACCAAGAAATATGCCCACTTAGATTCTTAAAATGATTTATTACACACTTTTTCATAGTGTTATTTCCTATGGTACCATTGCATGAAGAAGAACTTATGTTTGAAGAATAAAAATAATACATGATTTACAATCAAGCATACTATAATTAGTAAATAAAAATGATTTAATAATAGACAAAAACCCTTCTAACATTGATCAAATTTTCACCATATCTGCTATATCATTGTAATGAAATGTTATAAATCTATTTACACAAATCAAAGAAAACTAGAAAACATTGTATACAAATAGCAAGAAGATCATTAAAGATTAGCATTAAAAATAGCTACATAAGGGCTATAATGTATTATAATACATTTCCTAATAAATTTAAAGCAATAAAGAATTACACAAAGGTAGGAAAACTAAGATAAAAAAATAGATAAAAGAAAATTATTCATAAATTATTATAAAGTAATATTCTATTAATAAAATTTCTTGCAAACAAATAAAAAAAACAAAACAAATTTTCTATGAAATATACAAAAACATGAGTGTCAAGAATCTGCATCCTACTTTGGAAATCCAAGGGGATGTGACTTTTTCATATTCATTAATATTAGACATTAGAACAGACATATGTACAAATGGATACTGCAAACACTGTTACAAAATAAACCATCTTAGAATTTCAAATTACAATTTTCTGAAAATGTTAAAACAGTCAATTTAATCACAGATATCATTAAATCATTGAAATACTAATACAGACAAGCAACAAAAGAGCCTGGAAGCTTATGAAGGTTGCAACTTTTGCTTAAATCCCAAAACTATTAGGATTAGGCACACATTTCATAAGTGCATCAAACTTAAATTTTGAATTGAATAATATGAACAGAGAATCTTACAAACCTATTGAAACTGTATTTACCAAGATAGATAAAGTATCAGATTTTAACAATCTTAAGGCACTTTCTACAAAGGTAACGAGTGCCCCTGGAATGCCAATACTACAAACAGTTTTAGAATGACATATGGGAATATTAATTACTTTGAAAACAATAAAGCAGTACTATATTTTGATAGAAGTGGTAAAATGAATCAAATTTTCACCAACTCAGTTTAATCAAGAAAACAACAACCTAAGCATAAAGATGTAATAGTATTAAATGAAATAGTGTTGTATTTTTAATTGTAATTAAATACAGTAATATGAAAGAATGTTTCCCTATTAAGGAGTAACTTGTGCGGTTGGACTTACATGTCCAGCCAAACCAAATTCCATGGAAAGGAACAGATACATCATGAATAAGCATGCAGTTTCAATTGGATTCAATACCACAAGAATGATGCTCAGAATATGAAAATGATTTATTATACAAAAGTGTAATGTAAACTGCTAACTTGGTCAGTCTTACTATTGGTACCAAGGAGAGTGGTTTTAATTTTAGATTGAAATTTTTCCATTTAATTAATTAGTTTTTTTTTGTTATATATATGCCAGATCAGCGTACAGGAATTTATTCTTCTGCTAGGTTACACCGTACCTATTGTAAAGTATTATAAAATTTTGCTTAGGTGGATTGTACAGTACTCTGATTAATAAATAAATAAATTTCATTGCAATTTTCTACATTCATTTAATTTATTAACAAAGCCAGTAATTTATAGAAATCACAGAAATTTTTCTGCACTGCCATATTAAGATGTATGCTTTTTGAATGACTCAATATTGAACTAAATTAAAAGTAATTGAAAGGCTATCAAGTTAGACCAAAATTATCTCAAACAACAGTGCTCTTTTGAAGACAAACTTTTCCCCTTGTCATAGTCAATGGTTCAATTAATATTAGTTAATGGAAAAATAGAGTACAATTAGATTCATGTTACGCAGTCAAGTTCTCAATGAAGCTCATGTGGGTAACAATGAAAAAAGTGATCTATGCAGCACATTATGTATGTAAAAGCCTGTAGAGGTAATATTGATCGGTGAATAAGTTTTTTTATTTTACAGATAAAAAATATCTTGATGAATTAATTTTATTTTGATAATTTTCCTGAAATAATTTACATTTGGTCTTACTTATATTTATAAAGTTTAATTGGTAGGAATATGGAAATCAACTATTTAATTGAAGCTATATTAAATATTTTATTGCCATCCTCATATCATGAAGGCTATAAATAAAGTTTACTTTGGATAGTTTAATAGATACGTGATCAGATAGCAGAATAAGGAAGGCAATAATGTCCAAGAACTATTTAATTAAGAAGTTGTCATTTTAATATAAGAAATTAATGAAAATGTAAATGACGCAGGTATCAAGATTCTACCGCTTTCAACTTTTTTTTTTGCATTACTTCGACAGCACAGTCATCAAGAAAGAACGCAGGCTCATAAAAAAAACACCCCTAAATTGCGAAAAACAAAAGCACAGGCGTTCGCACCAGTTGCACATCATCAACAATGGTTCTAACCTGTACAGCAGCGAACGCCATGAGTTTCTGCGGTAAATCGGTATCAAAAAGGCCCCACTGTCTGACCTCGTCGGGGTTACACTTGCAGAGGCACAAGCGGCAGATATCTTCGTCGAGATCGACCTCGCAGATCTTAACCGTCTCCATCATCACTCACTCGTATCGCGGACCAGTCGCGAATGACAGCCCCCGCTACCGTATGCGTCGAGACTGCTGCTGCTGCTTGAGAAAGAGAGAGCGTGGCGGTACGGCGCGACACGGTCGCGCCGCCGTGGGGGAGGAAAACAACAATGTCAGCGCGCAGGCGCCGACGTATGTTTCGTGTGCAAGTGTGCTGCTATAGGTAAGCGATGCGATGTTTTAAAAATCGAGGTTTATGATAATAATTGCAGTGCATTTATAGGTTGCATAGTTCTGTATTCTCGGAAAGAATGGGAATATTGGGTCGTAAAAGTCCGATGCGCAGCAGTCATTGATGATTAACGCGAGGCGAGTAAGTATCTCCTTTTTTCTCTGCTTTTGCAAAGATAACACGTGTTTTTCATTTTAAATTTCTACGATTTTTTTTTATTTGCGCGCTCGTCGTCATCGATTCCCTCGTGTAACTATTACAAACAATACTGTCGTTGAAGCCGGAAACGATCGTTTTCGTGCTCCAATACAACTCGCGGCATATTTTTACACCGTATAATATAACAAGGTATTTGGAAATGCTGTCGTACGAGTAAATTGCGGTTGAAAAATTGAATCACGCCAAGGACTAGCGAGCAAGCCAAAGCTAAACGACTACCGGTGGGATATCACAAAAGTGTGTGTCGACGAGCTCGCGGGATTAGAGCGGCATCACAGCGTTCGCGCACAACGTTTTAATGAGCAACTCCATTTCCATCAAGTTCATTTTGGCCGTTTTAGCGATCTTCCCCTCGGGCAGCACGTCCGGCTCGTACTTGAGCAGCTGATACGCTTCCTCGAGCAGCCTCTTGGACTCCTGCAAATGCAACGTGGAGTTGAGATAATTCTGCAGGTAGGTCAGGTAGGTGGGAGTTATGTTGAGTTTGCGTGTCTCTGCCTGCAGTATGTTGAGCAGCTGCTCCTTGTCCCGGCGACGCCCGAATTCCGCCACCGCCGCGTGCATCTCGAACAGCAGCAGGCCCCTCACTCTATTCTCGGCTGTCGGGCAAAAAGAAAGGCGTCGATCAGGCGGCGTCCTCGGCAAGAAGCCCCCGAGAGCCACAGCTATACCCACACGGCACGATGGTCTTCATGAGCTCGTCGAGCTTCTTGCACAGTAGTATCTTCTCGCTGAGGAGCTCGGCGTCGAGGGCCGGCAATCCGCCCTCCTGCTGGCCGATGAGCTGCGCCAGCGCCAGTCTCGCGTCCGTCATGTAGAAGTGGTTTTCGTGGAGCCTGCCCGCGTGCGCCTTAAGGAAGTCGCGGCAGGCCGCAACGTCGTCTTTGGCGATCGAGGCCAGCTCTCTGCCGATGCGCTCGGTCAGCTCGTCGACCGCGCGCGACGACAGCGCGTTGTCGCAGCGGTCGCAGAGGTAGTCGCTGACCTCGGCGGCCAGGAACGTCCTCGGCAGCGCGTTGCCTCGGCAGTCGCTGCAACGGCGGGAAACGTCGCTCGATAATAATTTGCCGAGGCCAGGCTGGCTCGCGAGGCTGACGGCACCTTCGGTTGCACTTGAGGGCGTCGAACATGGTGCCGAGTTCAGTGGGGTCGGAGCACCGTTCGCATGCGCACTCGAAGAACTTGGTGCGCAGAAGGTAGTGCCTCCTGTTGGCGGTGCCCCACAGCGGGTCCGAGTAGCAAATGGTGATGTGCCCTCCTGCAAGCGTCGCGATCGCTGTACTGGCGCGCCGACGGCACGGGCAAAGCAGGTCGCGCCTACCTTTCTCGATGCCCAGGGCGGCGCGCACGATCAGGCCGGCGGAGTTGGTGAAGCTCTTGGCGCAGTTGGCCTTGCAGCTGTGCTCCAAGTAGGATGACGCATCGTACACTGCTATCTGCGAAGGCTCCGTTATTGGAACTTCATGGCCGTTGATCTAATTGCAAAACATTCGCTTCGAGCTGCCTGCCTTCTCTCTCTCTCTCGCTTTTTGCGATCGCGACCAATACGTAACACACGCGGCTTACGAGAAGTATGCCCGCGGCTCGGGCGATCTCCTCCTCGCTCGTGTCCTCGAGCTTGTCGAAGAAGCGCTTTATGAACTGCGTCACCTCGCCGGGGTCCCCGAAGCTCGGCTGCTCGTGGTGAGACGAGAGATTGGTGAATTTCTTGTAGGCCGCTGGATCGCTGTCGCGCAACGCCAAGGCTCTTATCACGCTCACACACTTGTAGGTGGGATGCGTTAGTCCGAAGCCGGATATAGACACCTGGAGAGTACAAGTCGTCGCGATAAGTAACGGTATTAGAATTTGGCGCAGCATCAATCGAAACTCAATGTCCGAAGTATACAGTTCCAGGTTAGGCCACAGGTGGACATCCGCGTGAAGCAATCATTGTGAAGACTGATGCTGTAGTTATACATACGTGCTACGTCGACCGTGAACATGTGCTTTTCTATAATGATTTTTAGGTCAATTATAACAGTAGTGACGAATTACACATGTCTAAACATTGGAGGCTCGCTCGGTAAATTGAAACCAACAATTGTGACGACGAGTACAGAAAAATTCTAAAAAATCTATACCTTCGAGCTCTTATATTTCTTCGTGAACTCGCACTCGTCGCCGTGCGAGGTGCAGCTCTGGCAGAGCGGCCAGCCACATTCCTCGCAAGGTCTGGCGATTTCCGACGTCAACGGCACACAGCATCCCAAGCACACCGGCACGCTGTCTTGCTGCGGACCTTGGACCAGCGGCTTCTCCTCTCTGATGACGATCTCGCCAGCCTCGATGCGTCGCACGGCCACGTAGTGCCGGCCGAGCTTCTCGTTTTCCACCAACTGCCCGGGTGTGCGACATTTTTCGCACGGAACGATTCATTATCAGTTAGCACGAATTGCCCTCGAGTGCGTCGCGTATGCGCAGTGACGCACGACGAGACAAACGACCAGCCATTGTATAATTTCAATTTATTCGCAAAGACTTTGGCGCTTCGTTACAACGTGCGAGATGCATCGGACGTTTGATTCGAACATTTATGAGCTTGCGCGTTCGTCTTTTCGCCGTATAAAATAGCTATTAATCGAAAAATTCGCGAGGCAAAACGACCAATTATTCACGATATCAATCGCGGTAAAAACGAAAGCAACAATAAACACATGGTATTGACCTGTTGAAATTACGTAACGACTGTTCCGACTGCATAGATACGTCGAATGATTTGTTGCAAAAATTGCGTAAATAAAAGTGGCGGAAGTCGACAATAGACACTCGTACCGGTCGATATCTATATATCGCTGGGACAAGAGAAACACTCGAAGGAGGCGGCGGTAAGTGCAACTGCTACGTGCGCGGGCAAAATCACCTTGTAGCACTTGCATTTCCGCCAGTGCTCTCTCCAATGTGCTTTCTGGTGCTCCTTGCCGCAGTAGTACACGCTTCTGCATCCACCACACTTGCGCTTGGCGGATACCTTGCAAACGGCGCAGACGTTCTGTTCGGTTTCCGGCTTCATGGTCTTCCTCCTTTTCACGAAGCCGAGGAGAGTGAGAGAGAGAGAGAGAGAGAGAGAGAGAAAGGCGTAGAAAAAAAGCTCTCCGGGGCAACGACTTGCAAACGACTGACGACGCGGCCGCCGGTTTTCACTGCGAGAAGCGTCCTCACCGAAGGTTTATTAATAGAAATGCCTCTCTGTCCGCGGCCACCTAGAGAGCATTGCTACTGTGCGCGTGCGTTTATCGCGGTAGCACGCGAGCACCGAGGCTTTGTTGATTATTTTTATCTGATTTCCATATTCGGCTGAGGTTCGACGATCACATCCGTTCGGCCAACGTTTGCTTTCGTAATCCATTCGAAAACTGGCTTTTCCGTGACCAGCGAAAAGGTTCATTTTCAATAAAAAAAGAAGAAAAAAAGAACGTGACGCTTGAGAATCTTGGTGTGGGAACAAAAATCAACCTCCAAAGATTATCTTACTTTCTGGAGTGCTCCGCTGAACGCGAACGTGCGCGCGGACAAGCGGTCGCGCAAGTTTCTCCAAGTTGTGAAATGACCCGGCGTGGTAAAGTGAACCGAACGATCGGGAGAAAAATCGCGCGTAGCTTTAATTATCTTTCAGCTATTTTGCTATTTCGCGTTACCACATTTTCCACGATATGCTCAGCTCGTTATGGTCTAACGTGGACTCGGGTGATTTTTTTGTGAATGCGTACGTGTTCGAAAATGTTGCATATCAATGGAATCTGCATTCGCTATGAACTGATTTTGCATGAACGTCGAAGCGAAAGCTGTGACACTTCTCTCCGCAGTAGGAGAGAACGTGCTTTCGCCGCATACGAAAGATTCACGTTGTTATCCTCTTTTCCGAGTGCAATGAAGACATAATAACAGTAATCTTTGCTGCATGGTCATTCGCTGCCCATAGATCGTTCCAATAATTGGAAGCTGCCTGCCGATACGCACGGCACTCGACTTCGAAATCACTCGCGGTCGACCAACTTAATGTAATTATCGCGACTCGTGAATTTTTAATCAAAAACGTTGCTTGCCAAGGTGAAAGTAGTTTTTTGAATTGGCGATACGCGTTGATTTCGCGGGCAGCGAGTTCGGCGATCAACACGTTCCAAGCACTTAGCGAGAATTAACGTATAAAAACGTGCACGCAACGCGTGCGAACCAGCTCATTGATTGCGCGCCTTTATTACCTTTTGCATTTTGCGTCCTTCGTTACACTTAACGATTGCAATACGGCGACGACAAAATGTGCACGTTTAACAAATAGACCGACGCGGAATCGTTGCTTGTGTGCGTTCGCACGTCGGATCATTGCGTTCCATGATCAAATTCGACGTCCAAAATCATCGAGACTTTCGTTCGATATTTTGGATTCGCAAGCACAACTGAAAGCAGCGATGCCTTGCCGGACATCTTGCCGCTGCTACACTCACGGATAATTTATCAGATATACTCGTCGTTACGCTCGCAACTCTGACGAAATAAAGCACTTGTTCGTTGACCTGCGTTTACTTTTTATTACATGCTTTCCGAGGTTCGAGTATTGGACATTCACTTCGAAATCTGAATGCTGTTCTTGAAAATGAAACCACGAGGTCTTTTACTTCGTTTTGCAATAGTTTTTTTCTTTCCATGAAAAAGTAACAAACGGCAAACAATTGCGCTTGCATGTTGTTCAAATCTGATGAAAAAAAAAATTTGAAAATTATTCTTCGGAAGCCGATCAAAAAGTGCTTGATACGTTCCCTTCGAATGTTTTGAAGCGTTAAAAGATGTTCGATCGATGTTTCTACATTGATTATCATTGGTTTTAGTACAGTTGTTTTGGTCTCATCAGATACTCCAATAATGACTAATCGCTTTTTTAGTAGCTGCTTTAATGCGCTGTTTAGAATAACAACCGAGGCCATCCTATCAGGCCCACAGTGGATTTGAAATGTAACGGTACATCGTCGACACACCAATTATCATAAATAAAATCATATTTATTGAAAAAGTTTCGAAATTTTAATAAAAGCAAAGCAAGGTATTGCTCATCTGATCACACATTCATATTCCTCGGATCAAAATATGTTAAAAAATATATTTTTATTTATTTTTAACTGGAAATTTAGAATCTGGCAATTTATTGAAACCCCGCAAGTATTTAATTAAACAATTAAAAAATAACAAATTTTATTGTTTTTTTTATATAATTTCGACATAGAATCCGAGCATAAACTTGCATTTCTTCGTCTTTAAAAATTCTAAATTTAAAATAACTGAACTTCAAACATTTATGATGAATTTCGTTGTTTTTTTCTATTATTTTAGGACTTTTATGAGCAAAAAAAGGGCGTATTCGTGACGGTGGTCCCGAGTTCTTTTTGATTCTGTACGTCAAGTACTGTATAAAAATGGCTCAAACAAGATCACGCTCTAGTTGGAAAATATTCCCCAGCGATGCCCGAGTTACAGTATTTTTGTAATGAAAGATTCCTCATACATAAACAATGTTTTAAAAAACAATTTATTAACTTTGAATCTGTACGTTGAAAGCAAAGAAATTTGAGCATTTTGAGAATATTTATCCAGCGCGCTTTTGGAAATATTTTTTCCAACGAAAATACATTTATTTCCGCTTGATATCGCCTTCGACAAGTCAAATTGCTATTCCAATACAAGTTGTCGACTTTATTCAAAAATTAATTCTCTATATCAGCCTAATTATCAAATATTATCCTGAGAACTGAAAAGTAAGAAAAAGAAGCCTTCAAAATATTTTTAAAATTTTCAATATTTATAGCGTAAAATTGTCCGGCCACCAAATTGACCGGTTTATTAGCTCTCATTGCCACAAAGAAAAGGTTTTTTCGTAATTTCGGTGGCAGCTCATACCATCTACTTTCGTAGAGAGCATCGACAACAGATTCCGATTGCCTCGATAAGTAGTCACTCGCATAACTGACCAAATAAAGTTGAAGCATCAGGACGAATAAGGCAAATATCAGCCTTATAACGTCAGCAATCAATCTGTTTTTTAATGCCATCAGTATACGAAGACCTGCAATCAATAACGCGTACAGAAGCTTATCAGAAATATGACTATACTGGCAATAAATTACAGACAATTGACTTACCCAGCATCAAGTTCATGCCGGCATTGCAAAACAGTTGTATCACCAACATTCCCGAAGTAGCGATTTCTAAAGATTTAGCTAGATCCAGTATTCGCACGTGCTTTTGAATGAATTTCAAGATTTTTTCTTGCGACTCCGTCGAGCATACAGCAGCAACGTCGGTTTCTCGTAAATTTTGTTTGATTAGCTCGATTTGCCCGCACAGATGCATCAGTAAGCTGAATAAAACGATGTCGCAACCTACATTGCCGTTTGCTGTGATGAATATCATGATACTTTCGTATACATAGAACAATCCATAAATCTCATCCCTGTAATGCCCAAACAGGCAGCCACTTTTTACTGGTAGTTCTCTCGTTACGGCCATTTCCGTTGTGATACTATCAAGTATAGAAAGCAAAGAAAATATAAGGCTTGAAAAAAATACCTTGGTAAATCAGAATTTCGTGAATTAACCTGCTGTTGACGAGAGTTTCATTCGTAGAGATCGGCGGTAAGAAAAATGGCAGAGTACCAATTATGATGAGCGTATTAGACACGTAAGAGAAGCCTATTTGTAATTTAAATACCAGTCGTCCGGTTTTGGCAAAAGATCTCATGATAGTTCGATCACTGTCATGTTCTACAGATGACCAGTCGTTCATCGCAGAAATGAAAACTGTGCGTAGCTTATTCATGTGCACACGGAAAGTTACAATTTTGGAAATGGCCATGACAGCGCAAACCGACATCATGACGTAATCGACAACGTCGCTCGCTGTTCCGCAATTCAAGTAAGCCGGTGTCACTTGAACGCATATGAGCCATAACTGTATTTGTAACAATTAAAAACAAAAACGATTGTTCGTTAAATGTCTGAAATGGTCAAGGCCTTTGATACAGAGATAAAAGAGGAAAAAAAAGAGTGTCGTTACGACGTAACGGGTCACCTGTGTCAAGAAAGAAAACACCAATCGGAAGTGTGAAAATGCCGAGTCGTAGTCGAGTGGCCAAATGCCCAGAGGCCAGCAAATGAACTTGTTGAACCGCAGGGCTAACTTTGAGTCTTTGGTCCAAGTCGGTCTCGACTCTCGTGCGCTCATGCTTGCTCTGCGGGGCGGACGAGGGCGCGCCACAATGGAAAAAGAAACGCGGCCGAGCCGTCGGAGACATTTTCGGATGTGCGCTCACATATTCACGACGCGGCTAATTCCACGGTGACCACCGCGCAGCCTGCACTTTGATGGGCGTGAACGAGCGGCGCGTGCTCGTTATCCTATCGAGCGAACGCGCACTCTTTACTTACGACGCGACGCGAGAGTAGCCGAGCCCGCGGCGCCCGAGTGCATCTGGAATGCGCATAACAAAGAGGGTGTAGTTTCAGCTGTGTCTGCAAAAGTTTTGCGCGATACCTGTCTATTATCCACGTGGCTGTTGTTTGGAAAGGGGAAAGGAGCAATACGACGAACCTCGAATCGATGACGCAAGTTGTAACTGCAGAAGAAAAGAAGCTCGCAGCTCGATGTACACAAAGGGAAAGAGGAATAGGGGAGTTCGCCAAATGCGAATGTATTTTTTATTATCAATTAAATGTCATTCGCAATGAATGGTAGATTTTTTAATACGGGCAAAAATAAAAATAAGAATTGGTATTTAGGCAAATTTTATCGCACAATCGAAAGTTCAATCTGAATCGTTCCGAAGGCGAACTGTATTCGTTTGAGCGTTTGGTACTACATCCATGAGAATCTGAATACGTTCTCTGACATTTTTTTCAGTTTCGTAGCGGTTGGAAGAAGCATGAGCTACAACTGTGAAACTTTCATCATCATCGAGTATTAATCTTAATGGTCCATTCTTCCATTGAAAATCTGGCTGCACACTTGGCCTCTGCCGTGCAACATTTCCATAATATCTAGATTCTCATTTGTCTCAGGTAAGTATACTTTTATCATTGACGAACGGCCATCGTTATGCCTTTTTATTTCCGTACGATAGCACGTTGATTGTCTAGCGAATTCGTTCTTCAGCTACCCAAAAGTCATAGGATCTCTGGGTAGTCATAACAGCTACGCGCGATGCAGTTCATCCGCGATCGTTGGTTGTCTCGACATCTCAACCGCGTTTCACATTTTTTAGTGACATCACTTGAAGCACAGTTCATCCAACGGCTGTATATAATACTTCGACAATGATTACTCGTTACCGGCAATTACAATTTAGGTAAACCATAGGATGCCGCGAGATTTCCATCAATTTAAATCAGAAATTACTGATTTATACTGGCTTGATTAATGAATAGCTTTGCGAGTTATTCTGAAAAATAAATGTGAAATCAGCCATTTTTGTTGTTGTGAAAATTACTTGTATTAAAGGAATAATTTAATCGAGAGTTTTGTATTTAGATTTACTAATACAAATTTGGCAAAGTGTATATGGATTAGCGAATATACATGCTTGCTATTGTACGTTTGTCAGAACATTTTGCTGTGTGTAAAAGTTGTAAATTGAATTTCCCGACAATACACTTAATTTGCTTTTCTAAATAGGCACATTATGTAATTTATTGAGGATCGCTTTCATAATTCATAAAATGCTGTGACGCACTGTTAAATCGGTCGTTCATACAATACATGTGAGTTTGAAAGAAAAGTGCAAACAGCTGACAATCTACAGTGAAATAGTCTCTTTCATAGTTGTTTGAAACATTAAATGCTACAAGATAATAACGACAAAAACGATATATATTTATCATCACAAGATAATAAAGAGGAAATTGATAAATGACTAAATAATTATTTCGAGTACTCTACGGTTCTGATGTCCGCGCGCCTAAACTGAAGTGGAATCAATTTTAGTGAAATGACACTTATATGTTACGTGCACGTGATCCGATATGATCTATCAATCGGTGATCTACAAAGCCAACTAAAAGCAGAACACTAGAAAGAACAATGAATTAAAGACAATAACTCGTTCCGAGAATTGCTTTCAAGTTGACTATGTCGGTCTGTTAGCCTGAACTTGTAACAACAAAATAGTCTATCGATATAATTTGATAATTACATTGTTGAGCATTCATATTGTGCACTTATTATTATAACACAACAAATCTCATAATTACAAGAGTTAACATTTTTATATTTCAGTTATGTAATACTAGAGGTGAGCAAAATTAATTAATAAAACAAAGAGTTCGTATAATTAGCTAAACATTCAGTTGAATGTTTAATTAATAAATCAATAACACACACTTTACGTGTGCGTATGACGATCAAGATATACTTACGCATAATCGCATAAGCATAATGTCTTTCTTTCACGTTCTATTTTTCTTTTTTTGTTTACACGGAACTTCAACACTTTAATCTAAAGAATTGGTGCAATTACGTTGCTTTATCGAGTCATTCCAGCTCAATCGAAAATCTTAGAAGCATGACTTTGCTTTCAAGCCATTTATCCACGTCCGAAAAGTGACTCATTTTTAACTTATGAACTACACAAGAAATGGCGGATAGGAAAAATGAAAGCAAATGATAATTGTTTTTTCAACATAATTAATATGCTCTTTTTCAGTTAAGCAAACGTCAAAATTTTGGCGTTTCTATGAATAAACGTTAAAATAAATCTATAATACAAAGCAAAGCCGAAACATAGTTACTCGCGAACAATTTGCAAATACTTATATTGGCTTTCGCTGGCGCTTTCGCTGGCGCTTTCGCTGGTGCTTTCGAAGACGCTTTCGCTGGCGCTTTCGCTGGTGCTTTCGAAGACGCTTTCGAAGGCGCTTTCGGTAGGCTGTGGCTGATTTACAGTAGTCTTATTCTCATGATGCTGGAAGTATGACAAGTATTTGTCCTCGAGCTTTTCGATTTTGCTGATAAGCTTCTCGCTGGCAACGTACACGTCGTCGCTGATCTTGCTGGCTTTCTGCTTCAGTTTCTCGATTAGCTGCCCGGCTTTCTTTTGAGCATTGGCGATTTTCACTTTCAGCTTCTCTGACGTGGCGTCCAAGAATTTGCTCAATTTTTCCTTGGCAACGGCGAGCCTGGCTGTCAAGGCATCGACAAACGCTTCATGGTCGAAGGAACGATTGTCAAAGCGACTCCTGGCGTTAGCTTGAACCAACTGTTGAATATGATTTTTGAAGGGCTTAAATTTAGTAAACATTGGGTATTCAACGTCGCTCGTTCATTCGATATGTTAATTTTTTGTGCAAAGCAATTTTGCTAAACTGTAATGTGGCTACGGCAATATGAATTTCTCGTAATCTTATACATTTAGAAAGATAGAAAAGTAAAATAAGCCTCTTGCAGAGTACTCACGCAGGCAAAAGTGATGAAAGCGAAAATGGCAGCGTATTTCATGGTTAGGCTGATTGTTGCTGATTGAAACCTACAGAAGGTTTAAATAATCTCTACTCAACAACACCAGCTTTTATAGTTAAATTTTGTGATATCACGTGCGCTACGTACAATAATACAAGCCATTTAAAAATTACTCCTACCTCCCGCGAACACCTGCGTTGATTCATTGCTACGAATGTCTAACCATTCAAGAGTTTGCTTTGCTAGAAATCGCAAATCAACACTATGATTTAAATCGTGGCGAATGGTTCGTTAACAGTATTGTCGCTTTTATTTTATTATGTGTTTGCTGATTTTATTCATCGTGCATTTGTATTTGTACAATTTTACTCCTTTGTGCGTAGACGACCCAAGGCAATCTGACGTCATACAGTTTTTTGTGAAAACCAATAATTTTCATATTCAACATGACGTTCAGTTTGAAGAATTACTGAATTAAAAAAATCTTTTTTTATCTACACATGATAAAAATCCGAGGGTATTGAAATTGTACAATAAAGAGACAATGGTTAAATATTTTTTCACTAAATAAAAAGCGTCTGTGATAAATTTTAATCTTTGTTCAGTTCATCCATAAAAACGTTTCGAGCTATAATCCATCATATCAACAGTTATGAGTTTATATTAATTACATAATAGTTCAAAATTCGATAAAGTTACATTCATGTAAGTACTATTGATACATTAAAATAAATCGTAAATTAAAATTAAAAGGAAGAGACTGCGCTTGACATAATACAATTAAATTTGCATCGATTCATAATTCTAAGTAGATAAAATTGAATTTACTATCAGAAAGCGTTTGTCTGATGCAATGTCTGCAACAGAAATAGTAATGAAAGAGAAATCGAATAAGGAAATATTTCCATCAACTGCGCTGAACGTACATTGTAATTATTTAATTCTTTTCTGGCGCTCAAAATGATGGAAACAGTGTGGTTCCTGTGGAACCATTGCTGCTAATATTATTCTTTAGACGTGCGAGTATGCAGGAGAAATGAATGTTACCGCAGAAAAAAAATACATTCAGTAGACTCTTTCCTGTGCTAGATAACAAACTATTTCGCAGATGATACAGGAAAATTTTTCCTAGTCCGATTTTCTTAATTCTATACAAACAATATTAGTCGCGTTCTTCATTAGCTCAGCGTCAACAATGGTCTTTGATACGCATATATCTCTGCAGTTTAGTATCAAAATAATAAAATCCGGATGAAAGCATTATAAATTTCTTGCACACCTTGACCGTTAAGTTGTCGGTGAGTCAGCTCAAAATGAACTCTGAATGGCTGCGAATGGGTTTGATAATACTGTATTCGAATGCTTGTTGCAAGGCCAAACGGGAGATTGCGATATAGTCAATTTCACCTCTTCGAAGTTAGGGGTGTAATGGTCAATCAGTCTTACGAATTGTCGGACAGGCGCCACGCGAATCTGAAATACAGAGCGATACGGTGTAACTATGGTTAACTAGCTTGATGATTTGCATTTTTCATCAGCATTAATTTGGTGTAAAAGAACGAGTGGGTTTGATTATTTTGAAAAGACATACGTTTTTGACGCGAATCCGGAACAACAAGATTCGGAAGAAATTGCATTGACTCACCGATGTCATCGATCGATCGTTTATCGACTACAAAATTATTTTATTGCTCGAGAATATTATAAACAGTTTCGCTATCGCATCCAAATTCGAGTTCAATGGAAACCAAGGCAATGATAGCCGACACAAGAAGACTAGCCGGCATTAACGGAATTGTATTTATTTTTGCCGCTCAGTCATCCAATAACTCATCTATATAACTAAGGGGAAAACGAGCGAAAGAGAGATTACGTGAAGATTATCGATGTCAGTTAATAATATTATGCGTCACTCGGAAAGTTTCAACCGTCGTTTCCTGAAACTAATCTATTCGCCACTGACAATTTTTTCTAATATTTCCTCTCTTAATCCATTTTCTGGTTTTTCGTGTATTGCAATATTTTAAATAAAATCTTCGTCGTTTGTTTTACGATCAATCAAGAAAAGTAGCTTCGAGTGCAAAGAAATTATATAGCATTACGAGAACAGCTGAACATGTGAATATGAGAAGTAAAGCATTGGCTGTAAAAAAATGCCATTTGTTGTGAAATTTATTTACGCACTTTTTGTCATTTCGAAAACAGCGCAGAGCTCAGGTCAGCGCCAATCAGTTGTAGACCGGTCGAGCGTTAAAATTGTCGCGGCTGAAGCTTTGTAGAAGCAACCTATTCATCAAATACTGCATCAATGAGATTTTGCAAATCCTCTGGGTACAAATGATCGACAATACTTTCGACGACGGAATTATAATTGCTGGACGGTACATTGAAAATTCCGCAGATAATCTGAGAAGACTTGCCTTTCATTATGACAGTCTCGATGGCCTCTTGGATGCGTTTTTTCAGTAACACCCTGTAATAATTGAATTGGAGCTCTTTGGTGAACTTCAGGATTCGCAAGTAAGTACTCTGATCGCGCACGTGTTGCTCGAGCATTTCCTCGGGCCCGATGAGCAACTGGACCAGCGTGCAGGACCGATAGACCGTGACTTTGAGCTCGTGCTTGCTAGCCTCGTAGTAATCCTTGACTTGCTCGTCCGTCCGTGTCTTGTTGCGAATGGGCTCGGTGAGGGGAATGCCTCTGGCCTCTTGCAGGGCCAGATGCGCGATGATGGGTTCGACCAGGAAGAATCGCATGTCGTCGATTTTGTCGAAGATGGTCTTGCCCCGAATGCTGACCTGGGGGTCGGCGCCGCGCTCCAGAAGGATCTGAACGGACTTCAGGGCGGTTTCGCGATTGCCACCGCGGAAGGCCATGGCCCAGACCAGCGCCGTCTTGCCGGCAGGGTCCGCGGCGTCGATGTAGACCCCCTCGTCCAGCAGGAACTTGACCGCGTTCGCGTTGCCGTAGCGCGCGGCGATCATCAGGGGCGTCCTGCCCTGCTTGTTGCGCACGCTCGGGTCCCAGTTCAAGTCCTGCAGCAGCTCGATCACGCCCGGATTGATATTTACCGCGAGCAGATGCACCAGAGTGTTCTCGTTGAGGTCCACCTCGACGAGCGCGTGCATGTGGACAATGGAGTTGAGCAGCCACTCGACCGCTGACTTGGTGCCGTACCACAGCACGCTGTAAATGTCGGGCCAGTCACCTTGGTCGCGACATAAGCCCGCTCCGTGGATGATCAGCAGCTTCAGAATCTGCAGTCGCTGGTCCTCCAGATGATGGATGGACATTCCCTGGCGGTAGAGACACGCCAGCGGTGTATGTCCGTACACGTTCAGGGCGTTGATGTTGACGGGCCGGAAGAGCAGCAGATGCACGTTCACCACGTCGGCGCAGGTGACGGCTATGTGAAGCGGAGTCTCGCCCAGGTTGTTGGGCATGTTGATGGTGGTCGAGCGCTCGCCCTTCATCACCAACTCCATCACGTGTCCGTTGCCCAGTCGCACCACGTAGTGCAGAGGCCAGTGCAGCTGTAGCAGCACCTTCGCCATCAGCTCGTCGTCGTGGCCCACGTGTCGCGAGAGCGTCCCGAGAAACATCTTCACGAGCTCGTCGTCCGCGCACTGGCTGGTGGCGAATATCGTCAGCGCGGTCTTGCCCTCGTGGTTCTGCGAGTGTACGTCGGCCCCGGCTCGCAGCAGGATCTTGATCGTGGGGGGGTGGCCGTTCGCCACGGCCACCGTCAGCGGCGTGTCTCCCGTGTTGTTCTGCACGTTGATCAGGCCGCCTAACTCGATCAGCTGTTGCACCATGGCCGCGTTACGCCAGCCGGCCGCGTAATGCAGCAGAGTGCTGCCCGTGCTGTCCACGGCATTGTGCAGGTCTTGCTGCTCTATGATCGTGCGGGCTTCCTCGTCCTGCGCGTGCTGTCGCAGCATCTCGAGCACCCGCGCCTCGAACGACGCCAATTGCTTCTGCAACGTACAACCGTAAAACATGAAGGCTCCCTATTCCGGACAACCTATTCTCAAAAACGCGAGCAAACAAACATAGAGATGACGCTCAAGTTACCATTTTGCTTAGTCACTGGTGTCTACCGGGAACAGCTCAGAATGAAACAATGTCTCCACAATGTTTCTGCTCTCCTGGTTCCAAGTGGACTGCCGAATTACCACCAAGCCATTGCATCAGCGGGGATAATCCTGCGTTAAGTTAAGCCAATTAATTCGGCCCATGAAGAGTAGAGAAGCAAGAATAGCCTCTCCACTCATCTTAACGGACGCTGTAGGATTAGGAAGCTTGATGACTTAGGAAATCGACTGCAATTAGACAACAGCTTGCGTCCCCGTTTTCCTGCTAGACACATGCCACATAAATAGACAAATTTCACATAGCTCTTACGATTTACCAAATATGTTCAAGAATCACTATAGATTTCATTTTCAATATTTCAAAATTATCATTGCAGGCAACCGCCAAAATATTTATTTTATATGCTTTAGGATTTGCAATGGAATGACCAGGGAATTTCTCGTAAAGAATTCAACACAAGTTAAATATACTTGAGAAAAAAAAGATATCTTTATTATTGATCAATGCAGTCACAATTTTGAACGCATAATTATTACGAGTATGCAAAAATTAATCTCTGCTCATCTCGTAAAATAACTTTTCCAAGTCTCTGAGATTGAAATAACTAGCGATTTGGTCAGCGATATAAGGAAAATTGGTGTAACTCAAGTTTGTAAATTTACAAATAATTTGAGCCGCTTCCTTTCTTGAAGTAACCATGTGATTGGCCGTCGACACGCGAATCTGCAATACAGTCTTGAAATAATAACATGTACAGTTTTCGGCAAAGCGTTCGACTACCGAGTAACATTCACGGTTGAGTAGATAGCGCTCGAGTTTCCTTTCACTTGCGCTCAACAGGTCGAGCAGTGTTATGGATCGATAGACTTTAACCGTAAGATCTTGCTTACGAGCCTCAAATTCGGCTTTGAGCGCTAAATTGTTTTCGATCCTGTCGTGAAACAGTTCCATATCGTAAGGCCCACGTTTTACGAGAAAAGCTAAATGGGCGATGAAAAGCTCGAGGAAGTCGATCTGTTTAGTCGCGCAAAGAATCTCGAGGATCGTGTATTTCCTGGGGTCGCAGGGGTGCAAATGGGCCGTCACTTGAATGTTCGCGCCGCGCTGCAGGAGGATCACAATGCACTCTCTTTGGCGCTCATTGTGCGCAACGTGTAGCTCGCAAACTCGGAATAACACTGTCTTGCCCTCGTAATCCAGCAGCTCAATGTTGGCGCCAAACTCTAGCAGAAACTCTAGCGCCAGCCGCACACCGTGCGATATAGCACACAACAAGGGAGTCTTCCCCCTAATATCGAACACGTTCACATTCAGCTGTCTGCCCCTCAGCAGTTCGATAGCGCCCGGCTTTTCGTTGTATGCGAGTAGCTGAACGACATTTCTCCCGGCATTGTCGACTACGGTTATGTCCACGCCGGTTCCCAGCAAATATTCCACTACCTCTTTCGATCCCCGTTGAAACATGAAAGCAACGTTATTCTCGAGCAAACCGTCCTCGGTTATCAAGCCGTCATAACGCCGAAGAAGCATTTTCACGATCTCGAGCTGTCCTTGGCCATCCTCCGCGTGATTTGCATACACAAAATACAAAGCTTTACAACTGTAGGGCCCTACTGCAACGTGCGCGTTTGCGTTGTACTTGAGCAGCATCCTCACATTTTCGACGTCGACGCACTTTGCGGCTACGTGTAGCGCGGTACAGCCGAAAAAGTCGGCATCTTCTTCGTCGATAACAGCTAAATAATGACGGTCTAACAACAGCTTTGTTAGATTTGCATTTCGTAGCAAAATTATTTTAGGCAAGCACCAGTCTAATTCGATTATTTTATCTGCAATTTTCTTCTTCGAAAGATTGCAATTTTTAAATAATATTTGCATAACATTTTTCATTTCATAGCAGTCGTAGCAACTACTCGACGTAATTAACTGTAATACATTAATACGGTATATATCCTCTAGAAAAATATTAGCACCGGCTCTGAGTAACATTTCACTAGTGTCCTTGCAATTACGATCTACGATACTTAACATTAACGGTGTCATTCCATCAAGATTTTGGGCATTAACGTCGCTACCCAGCTTAATTAATTGTTCTGTTATAGCTACATTGTTCGATTCGGCTGCATAATGTAGTAAAGTATTAGCCAAATTGTTTACAGCTAAGTGCAAGTTTCCTCTTACTATGATGGATGTCACTTCTTCGTCGTTTATTCTATTTTTAATCTGCGCAAGAAGCTCCTCGCTAAATATCGCCATATTAATCTGAAACATAGTCCGGTGATACGTTATTTTCGTCATCTATATGATTTTATGATTTATACCTGTCATTAGGGAGAGTGGGAGAATATGGACTACCTAGACTATTAACAAGACTGTATACTAGAAAACGTTTAACAACATTTTACAATTTTATAAACCTGTGGACAATTTTGAAAAAGTTACAGGTAAAATGGATCGCTCAAAAAATTCTTATAGAACAAAATCATTTCATTTATCATTGTCACACATTCTCACATCGTAAGAAACGGCTTAGTATATAGATACAGCATATGTGAATAACGAGGAGCAACGGGGAACTCCGCTTAGTGTAAGTACAAGTTGGCGACCGTGGTCTAGTAGCAAAGACGTCAGACTTGCAACTCCAAGATCGTGACTTCTACTCTAGGTCGCGTGACTTTTTAATTTAGTTTGTAAGCATTTATTCATATGTAATTCTATCTACAAAGACCACATATTTCGTATTAAAGTACAATACGACATTAAGCCTACTCAAATATTTTGTATACTTATTCGTACTTTTGCATAGAGAACTAATATTAATTTTTTTTATTTATAATTAAAAATAATAAAATTATTTCAAACAAAAATTATATAAAACAGTTCACATATCCATTTATATGATTAAAAAATCGTAAAACTTTTTAAATAATAAGAAATCTATATCAAATTATACATTGTATATTTGTCACTATCTTGCATTACCAACGTAATTTGAATTAATGAAAAGAACTTATTGAAGCAAAGCAATATCATATAATAAATTGAATATAACCAAACTTTTTGGTTGTCTATATTACTCAACATTGGTGATCCATATTTTCCCCGAAGGTCTTTTATTCAATCATAAAAGCATAGAAAAGCTTCATATCGGTGAAAAATAATTTAGAAGACGACATTGTATTTGTTAGTGACCGAATAAACTAAAAGAAAAATACCGATATGATTAAGTAGTTTACCTCAACGACGAACATACCACAAAGCAGTCATGTGAAATACTTGGGAATTCATTTAGACCGGAGGCTTACATGGAAAGAGCCTATATTTAGAAAACGTAAACAACTGGAACTCGAATGGAAAATAATGTATTGGCTCAATGGCTCAAATAACATCATCAGAAATAATCTACAGTATCATAAGTAAAAGAAGAAATCGAAACGTTTTATGAAAAATACAACATCAGATTGAAAAACCACCAAAACAAATTTATTAGCATACTTCTCACGACAACGATCACTACCACCAGACTAAAGAAACAGAATCTGAGCAATATATAATAAAACCAAAATTATTAATAAAATATAATACACATATAAGTCAAAAATAAAAACCTAGTACTCACTAGAGTATTATGTTTTATACTTTGTTAATTTCCATAATAGCAAACACATTTACTTATTGTCTTATTTCTTAGATAGATTCATAAATAAACTTTGTGTGAATAAAAAAAAAATAAGTATTTTACACATATTTTATAAGCTGAATAATAATAATAATTAAGAAAATTAGTACCGACTACTTGAAAAATGTCAAGTCTATAAAAAATACCAAGATCATGGATGCTATCCAAGAACTTGACATAATGTGCAGAGTAAACTAATAAATACAGGGAAAAAACTTCGAGACCTAGGATACTCTCCTTTATAAAAAACAAGAGGGTGTCCATATATTACCGCGAGGATCCATGTTCCCCACTCTCCCTCACATCTCAACATCTTCACGGAAATTCTTCGTAAAAAATTGCGGTATTTAACGGAATCATATAGTACTGTATCTGAATTCTCAAGCATATTTTATATCGTTCGATGTATATTTATAATAACGACAGCAAAATAAATAACGTGAACTTACCAATATTATTGGTTATATAAGAAATTGAAGTCCTTCGCAGATCTTTGTGCCAGATGTACTTTCTGTACTGATTTAGGGAAGAGGAATGCTTGTGGTACATATCCCTGCGTAACTGAATACAACCAAGTGATTACGTAGAATTAAGACGTTCATTAGCTTAGGGAATACGTATCCACTAGTTTTCACTGCCGATTATGTATTATATAACATATAATGTAGAATTTTACTGATAATCCGTATATAGTTTTTAGTGTTTTCGGTCGGCATTGATTGTATCATCAGATCAGCATAGACCAATATGAGAAGTTACCGAGGAACAAGATAAGATAGAGATAGAGATCTACAGAGATCTCATCAAATGATAATCTACTAGGAAGCCCATCTAAATTAACTCATATAGAAATGAAAATGGTTCGAGTTTATCGTTGATTTATTTTATTTCTTTAAAATTACTGTACACTTTCGACCATATAATTATCAGAACAATACAACTTTTTTACTAAAATACACGATACAAATTTCATTTTGCAGAAAAAACAGCTGATTAGCAGAACATAGTTAAAAATAGGAATTGACTATACTCCACGTCGCATCGTTCTTATAAAACTTTGATTGATGTAATTATTGTCTTATTGCATATTTCAAATGTAATTTATACTAAAGCTGCGCAAATAAAAGGATAGTTGTCTATTTAACGGTCATCACATTCATCGTCAGATGTAAATGCGTCTATTAGATTTCTTAAACTCTGCTCGTCCAAATAGTTAATTATCGTGTCAGCTATGAGAGGAAATATTTTATAATCCAATCTCATAATCCTGACGATGTGAATAGCTTCAGATTTGAGCGAGGCAATCTGACTGGCTTTTACTAAGCGTTTTTTTAGTACGACTCTAAAATAGTAGGAGATAAAGGTATTGTTTATGCAAGCTTGAACATTGGAGACGAATCCGTCGAAGCGCATGTAACACTGGAACTTGGGCTCGGTGACGGTCAACAGGTCGAAGAGGTCCAAAGTGTCGTGGACCTTGCCGATGAGATGCTGCTTGCTGCGCTCAAAGTAGTTTCTGAATCGATCTTTGGACTCGATTCTGGTGAGAAAGGGCTCGGGCACGGGCGTGCCTTTCAATTGCTGGAAGGCAAGGTGCGCCAGTACAATCTGCATTGCCCAGTAGTTGCACTCCTGCGAAAGCAAGCCGAAGATTGTCGGGCGGCCGTCGTTCGTGTCGTAGAGTGGGTTCGCGCCGTATTCCAGAAGCGTGCAAACGCAGCGCCTGCGCTCGTCGTCGCTGCCGGACGACTTCTCCAGGGCGTAAAACAGCGCCGTGTGACCTTTAAGATTGACGAACTCCGTGTTGGCGCCCTGCTCGAGCAGAAAGTCGAGCGCGAGCACGTTGCCGACGTTCGCCGCGTGCATCAAGGGCGTCACCCCCGAGGAGTTGCACACGTTCGGGTCCAAGCCATAGCCGCGCATCTGGTCGATCACTCTCGGGTTTTTGTTTCTCGCCAGGAAGTGCAGCGCGTTATTCAGCTTTTGATCGGTAATTTCGAGATCGAAGCCGTGCTGCAGCAGCATCTCCATCCCCCTGCTATCGCAGTACTTGAGCAGGCTCTCAAAATCGCTCAGCTTCTCCAATATTTCCAACTTTTGCGCGAGGAGCATCCTCAGAATCCTGTACCTGTCCTCCATCCTGTCCTGGTTGCAGTCGTACACGCAGGACAGCGGCGTTTTGTCGTGGTTGTCTCTGGCATTTTCGAACGAGCCGAACCTGAGCAGGTACCTGACGTTGGCTACGTCGACGTTCCTCACGGCCACGTGCAGCGGGGTCGCGCCGTTGAAGCCCGCCTTGGTCATGAGCTGGATGTTGTAACCGCGCCTAAAGGCGAATCTGGTCACCTCCACGTCTCGCACCTCGATAATACGGTGCAGAGACCAGTCAGCCTCGGCGAGTCTTGCGGCGATCTTCTCTTTGATGTCGAAGCAGTCATCCTTGACTTTCTGTATGAAAAGCTTGAGAATGCTGGTGCTCGTCAAGCGCTGGCCGACGAAATGGAGCGCGCTTCGGCCGCGGCTGTTGCGCAGATAAATGTCGGCGCCGGCGTCGATCAGCATTTTCGTTTTGTCGTAGGATCGACATTTGAGAACCGTCAGTATCGGCAGCTCTCCGAATTCCTCCTCCGTGTTGAGACAGCCCGACTCTTTCAGTCTGTTTACGTACTCTTGAAACAATTTCGGATTTCTGATCGACAGCACTTCGATATTCGGCCCCCTCGGAACGCCCTGCAATTCGGTCCTCGCTTAATTCAATGTCACGACCTTCATTGGACTTCTCTCGCCCACCCAACAACTACTTTATGCCGTACTTACCGGCTCGTTCAGGAAGAAAGTATTGCTGGACATATTTTTTTACAGTTCAAGTTTTGAATCTATGATACGGTCAAGCGAACGATGTCGTCAGATCGATATTTGCCATTCCACTCGAGTTCACATGTGTACATTGATTCTATATCTTCAAAAATTAGCAATTCAAAAATTCCATTGGATCACATCAAGTACGAACTAAGAATTCATATTAATGCTTGCCTCAGAAGTCCAACTGAGAATATATAGGAGGTAAAATACCGAGCCACGGCCAGGCTACAGTACTGAGTTTTCGCGGACTTGAATCAAGAGACGACACGAACGTAGGTATGAAAATTATACTGAAAGCTGGCTAAATTCACGCCATCTATCAATGAAAATTCGATGTTACTCGTATCAATTAACGGTTGGAGAAATTTATATTATTTTATTTTCTATATATCATCTGTTATATGCACAATAGGCTATTTCCTCCAGAGTATAATTTAATAAATTGTAGTAGGCTGAGTCATTTTGCAATATTGCGAACAATGTATATAAGTATAACAATTAATGCATGATAGTCCTGCAGAGAATGAGCCAGCATTGATTAAGCTTGTAACAATAATTTTTTCTTTCGATACTGTCGCCGATGCATTTTTCACATGGCGTCCATTTTAGCATCGCAACTTCTAATAACGACCACACTGTACTACTATTACCAAAATTAGCAGAAACTCTCGGCATTCAACTGCTCGATAACCCCGAAATTCTCTTACTCCCGAGATTGTATTACGCGCAAGTGATCAACAATAGTATTAGCTTATAAGTCAACTGCGGATGATTCGAGGCCGTGTCGCAGTTCTATTGGCTCTTAGTTTTTTTTGTCGTAATTGAACGATTACCAAGTTTCAATTTTGCCTGAATTTTGACTCTATCCGCTTGTTAAAATTTCGATACTTCAAAACGAATTTATCTCGTTATGTGACCCTCAACTTTTCTCTCATTTTCCGCCGTGTCAAAAATATTGTGGATTGGACAATTTCCGTCGCTAACAGTTTCTCGTCTAAGTCAAAGTGACTTTTCAATTACTTCCCACTTCAGAACTGCGTCGATAATTGCTGAAAATAGCGACATTCTGTGACTGAACGCAAATTAAAGCATTGAATCAAAGCTGATAGATTTGATAAATTAACGGTTTCGATATTAGACCCTTCGTCTAGCTGTACAGTGCAAGCATCAACGATGTATTCACCTTCCACTTTTACAACGCAATAGCTCAATGACACTTGGATTTGTATTTACTTCTAAGACGTTTATATTGCAGCATCAGATTTGCTATTAGTTTATTTCCAAGTGTCAATTTCACGTTGTTTAGGATGATGTTATTATCAAATTCAATTCAATGAATAACGATCGTACATACAATTGAGCGCATAAGCGACAACTTTACATTTTCGACGTCAACAGAAAATAATGTATTGTCTGTAGTACGATGATGCCACGTTGATCCGTTTTATCAATAGAGCGTTTACTATCTATTATCGTTTTAGTGACATCTACATTTCTTAGCAGAACAGTATGTTAAAGAGACCATCCATATTGGAATATTTCGAATACTTAATAACACAATAAATACTGATTTTTTCGATTCAGCTGCTACGCGCAAATCAAGTATTGATTGATAACATTATGTAATTTTTTTTCGGTATAATAAATATTACTTTATCAATTTTGTACTACTTTTTTTATGAAATAAACAGATTGACGGTTTATGGATTGAACTTTGAGCAGAAACATAAAGTTTCCTTCTATTTAATTTTTTCCGTGTCATTTACTGTATCGCGACCTATATTTATCGTTACCTGTAAACGTTGTCATTAAAAGTGACTCAGATATTTTTACAAAAGGCATTCTGGTAGATTCGAGTTTCAACTCATCAAGCGAAAAAGTCTATCATCACCAGTCACGCTTTGCCCACCACCCTACCACTTCCAGTAATTGCACTCTTCGTGCGAGGGCGCCTTGGCTTACCCTGCGTATTTTTAATTTGTCAAATACCAATGAGGCATTTTTGACAATGAGAAGATGGACTACTATTCGAAATTAATCTCCGACATGGACCTCGAGGTGTATTAGCTTGGAAACAAAAATGAAATGTGCTACGTCGTAATAGTCATGTTACCGAACCAATATTTTACTCATTAAACTAGCGTATTTCAATTTATTTCTACATTAAATAATTACGTTTAATTACAATTTCTTCTCAGATTTACTATATTATAGAATTAAAAAGACGAATGGGCCTGAAGGATTTTAATAAATGATGTCGAAACGTTGAATTTCTTTTTTTCAAATTTTTTTTATTTTTCATATTAGTTGAGCACTTGCATCTTGATCTTAAAAATTTGTTAGAACGATATACGGCAATCGTCCTCTTTTATAGATCAAGCAAGTTAAGACTCACATTCATTTTATAATTTTTTTTCATCAATTTTCTTAACATTTTCTCCCTTGACATTGTCCTCACGGTCAAGAAAATCTCATGAGATCTTGCCAAATTGATTATGATACTAATTGAAAAATTTACTTTATATTAAGATTTGTGATGACTATACAAATCAAGGACTAAAGGAAGAGAAAAATGTTACTACGTGATAGTCTATATTTATCGTTACTTTTTTTTGTTTCTTATAAGTTGTAGAGCTCAACGATCACAGATACACACAATCTAATCTCACATATGTCATATACAGGGGGGGGGGGGGGGAGTCGTATCGTCACACTTGCAAACCAGTTGAAATGAAAAACCTACGGAGAAGCTCGCTAAATTTCCCTTGAGTAATACAAAAGTTAAGAGAACTTTGAGATTTTCGATTTAGCATCATAAGAAAATTTCACACAAATTTTTTTTTCAAAGATATATTTTAGTTGAAAAATAGTTGAATAATTTTTATAGGTTTCGCTTATAGCTAAAAAATTGTTTTAATTTTTAATAATGAAGCACTTGGTTGAAATATTTTCATAAGAGTGCGTAGCAATTGATACAAATTTAATTATAAGATTCAGGATCGGATACCAGTATTACAATTTTTTTATAATCTATTGTAGTTTTTTGTGATATATATATATATTGCAGATTTTTGAATAATTAGTTGTTAATGTATTGTGATTGACAAAAACACATAAGTTGGGCGTTGATTAAGATGATATAGACGAAACGATACTATTAAGTACATATTCATCGTTATTAGGTTGGCTTTTTTTTGATAAATGTTGACTATAATACTGGCAAGTGCAGCGCTATATCGCAGTGTTTATGTCGACAATTAATATATTGTAAGATTATTCGATAAATGAGACATGTTTTTTTCGTTTATATACGGATAATACATGCGCATATTCACTTTATACTAGTGCATACACGTACGTTTTGGTACGGTTGAATAATTGTTCTTGCAATGCAAAACGGAAAAATTGTTCAACGTTCTATTTCGAAAACCATAGGATGCAGATTTAAAAGAATGCTTTACGTTCCCACATTAATTTTTTTTAGTCAAAACCTTATTGAATGTAGATCTCTCCTATTGCACTTCCTCGTTAAAAACTTAGCGCCTCTTTAAGGACGCTCATTGAACACGTTTCATTGCGAAATATCTCAGTCAAAACCAATAAATGAATCAGGATGAAAATCTCACTCTTTACAAATAATAAAAATACATAAATAATATTTTTATGTAAAAAAATCTTACTAAATGCTATTTGAAGTACTTAAAAATTATGCTAACAATTGTTCTGCTGACAATTGTATTTCTCTTAAAAAATAAATACTTTTCGATAATAAAAAAGGACTACGAATAAAACACTGATGAAAGCAACAGTAAACCATAATTTGCCTAACTAAAACTCACTACACCCAGAAAACTATCTTATAAAATATCAGTCTATACATTGAATTAGAATAATACAATTTTCAATAATCCCAAAACAAATCAAAATTTCCACACGTCGGAATAAAAATTACCTCACAATAAAAATAAGAATATTTTCTGGGTGCAAAAAATGACACTCATTTAGTTTTAAAAGAGATCAAAATAAGAAAAACAATTTTCAAGAAATTGCTCATTTTCATCCAAATCCATCATTGAGCGACTGAGTTTCTTGCACAGATCGCCCCGGACGAAAGCAAGAATGGGAACATCAAATTCGCCATCTTTACGCGAAATTGCTAATCGTCCAACACTCGCACTCATACAAAAAAAAAAGAAAGGAGCACGGAGAGATAAATCTAGAGCAAAACGAAGTTCAGGCGGACTTATGTCCGCGCTACAGTTTACTTTTTTTCCTCTTTATGCACCCGTTTCCACATACAATGTCCCTTATCAGCGATTAGGGATTATCGCACACGCACACACCTCTGGACCGCATTTTATGTAGAAAAATTACAAATGAATAAATGAGAGCTCGAAGAATTTGCCTCAGAATTGCTATCACCGTTTTTGAAAATACAGCTAAGGTAAATGTTTTTTCATGTTTTTGAGCGCGTGAGAGTCAAAGTTAGTGCATGTTTCAGTTATGTTTCGTTATTTCGTCAAAAGGCTCTCACTCACTAGTGATTCTAAATGAGTGAATTATGGAGCTGTAACAATATAATTATAATAAATTCTTTCGTTATTGTACGTTTTGCTTATCTTTATCATATAATATATAGTTTATATGTGATGAATTTCATCAAAATAATAAGTTCAATACTTTCGATAACATTTACTTCTAACGTAAATATACATTGTATCATAGATAATACAAGATCTTCACTTTGCAATGGTCAATAATCGACAAAAAATGTATTAAATTCTTTAAAACAAGAAATATAATTTTTTTTATAATTACATAATGACGTCTTAATTACAAAGTAATTATGAAGTAAGACGAATTTGGCAAGTTCGAATGAAATAGCGCTAACTTAAGAAAAAAGAGTTTCATTTGTAACTTGTTAAATTGCCCACATCAAGAAAAATAATCTCCTAATTAAAATTACTTAAGTATCTTAATATTCCACCGTATACCAGCGAAATTTTTAGAAGAATATATTCATTTTTTTGTATACCTAAAAAGGTTCCTAAATATAATCAAGAGGTCAGTCATTGCCTCGAGACAATCTGCTTGTAATATACATAGTCGCGTATTATTTCCAAAATTATACATGATTATATGTAATTTTTTTCTTTATTTCGTCTTATTTTACAATAGTAGCCGAAAGTTGTGCACTTTGTGATTCCGTCAATAAATGAATTCATTCATGATAAGAGATTATTTTTCTTAAAAGATAAAGTATACCTCTTTATTCCCAAAATAGTTCCTAAAATGAAGGATAAAACAAGGTACAAGACCTTATCACATGGCTACCTTATTGAAGGTGTACGTCTTTTCCTATAGTGATCTTTTCGTATTTTGCAATAATTGTCTGCATCATTGACTCTGAATAGCCGCTCAAACGTGCATTGACAGCAAACGTGTTATATGATTTAAAAGCGAGTCCATTACTTAACAGTTTTATGCTAATTTGATTCATTCGAAAGAGATTCCAATTTATGTTTCAGTATAAGATTAGATTGATTGTAATTGAAAGACAGGAGCAGTGAACAGCGCTATCAAAATTTAGACAAATTAAAAAATGAACTTTGATTGTCTAAAATACCTATTAGTTTGTTAAAATTATACACTAAATGGAAAAAATTCATTGTTTGGCAATAACGAAGACATAAATGTATGATAATAACATAATCCCCAACAAAATTTCACTATCAGTGCACGCGCGGAGGAAAAGCTCATCAATCTTTCTTTTTTTTCAGCATCAGCAATTCTCGAGGCCAACTCTCCTAAAAGCTCTCTCCTGCTCTAAGTCTCTGTGTCCGAGTCGACGGTTTATCGACGCGCGAATGAATGAACGAACGAACGAGATGACGATTAATGAGACTGGTGATAATGAACGAACGTCGCGTTTGATTCGGAGTTTGTTGTCGCATTTGCTGGATGCCTCTCACCGTGGATCTTCACGCTCTTGATCCACGGCTCATCATTCTCACCAACAGAACACCGACAGCTCGTTGCCGTGCTCACTTGTGTGCCTCCACGCCGTCACTGCTTGTGTTTTCAACTGGAACGAACAATAATACAGGTTTTTTTGTAACAAAAAGTGTATTGAGATATTTTTAAGATTTTTTGTTGTTGCTGCATCATGAAATATTTTTATATTGAATTGATTGAAGATATTCTTCGTGCATGTTCGCAAGCACGCTGTAAATATATACAAGTAGTTGGATTTTTAGACGTACTTCGAAAAATTGTCACGTATCGCGCCAATAAATGCCATTCAGTGTTCCAATATTTACTTTCGAAGCAGAGACAAAGCAACCTAAAAATATGTGTATTCCTGTTTACCACCGACTTCGTTTAAAAATCCCCTCCCTCTGATGAAAATTCAAGCCTCCATTATTTTCAGTCACGCTCGCAAAAAAAAAAACAATCTCTCGCATTTTCAAATCCATCTTCCTTTCGAAAAAAAAACCTCATTACGGTATGCTCTCTCGACGGAAGAAAAAGAAAGTAAACCCGAAAAAGTAAAGCACAAAAGGAAAAGTGAGACAGCGTCGGTGAAAGCTTTCTGTCTCTCTCCTCTCTCCACTCTCGAAAAAGCTCACACGTGACAAAGAAGACGCATCAAGATGGCAGTGACCGGGGCGTGGCGTGAAAATCGAGGGTGTGTATGGGAGAGAAGAAGAGAGAGAGAAAAAATCGTCCGACCATTCAAGGCAAGCGCTGTTTTCGGTACGTGTATATATATATATATATGCGTGTGTGTGTGTGTGTTTGCACGCGCGTGTGTGTATATGACCGTATTGGAGGAGAAAGAGAAGAGAGGAACCGTACGAGCGATCGTACTATCAGTTGTACTCTAGCCGCCGATACACTCCAGGGACACGCGCGACATGCTTCTCTTATTTGTTTTTTTTTCTCGCTCTTTCTCCCTCTCTTCTAAACTTCGCTCGGGTTACTCGGCTAATGGACAAAGGCAATGGAATCGAGGATAGTCCGAGTACTAATTGAGGTCGATGGCGCAGGGATAGAACAGGATATTGGAGTGCATCCGCCGGTTCGATCATTACAATTTTACTCAAGATCTATGTTATTATATACAATACTCGAAGGATTTGATTTTGATTCTAGGAGTGATGATCTCCTTTGTTCTGCGCTTTGAACGGCTGCAGGAGTGATGATTGCTTAAAAGCTTTACAAAGTAAACAATTCATAAAGCTATTTTCGTAATAACTAAATAGAAGCACTCGAAAAGCCAGAATTGTATTTTCCAATAATTCTCGGAAAAAAGACAAAAAAGTAATTTGAAGCGATTAAAGGTAGCCTCGTTAGCCGCAATAAATAAGGTTATATAAGGAGGAATTGTCGAGAGAGAGAGAGAGGAATATAATGTTGAGGCGGTTTGTCGACGTCACTGAGCAAACTTCAACGTGGCCTGGATAGCTGAGAAAATCGATTTTCGTTCGCTTCGATAGGTCGGTCAAGTCATGGGATTGGCGCGCCGAGGCAAAGCCGAGCGGGAATAGCCAAAGCGAAAGACAGCGGCGCGAAGTAGGCGAGCAAAGAGCCACGTACCTGCTGCATTTTCTCGAAGTCGAGGCAGGGCCTAGGTGGTCGGTGGCGCTTCCTCGGACTGCAGGCGCTGACAACGTCGACGTCGGCGAGGTCCTGCGCAATGTGCGCACGATGCGGATGCGGATGATGCGAATGCTCGTAGTGCGAGTGAGGCCTCGGCCGCGAGCGCGGTCTGTGGTGGTAGGCCGGCCTGTGCAGGTGGTGCAGGTGCTCGCTGGCACTGCTGCTGCTCGGGACGATACACGGCGGCGAGGAGGAGAAGGCCGCCGACGCGTGGAACAGCTTGGGCGGCGGCGACAGCGAGCGCACCGGCCGGTAGGCGTCCTGCGGCGGCGAGCTGCGGAACTGCACCGGCTGCGATATCGCGCTTCCGCTGCGACTGTAGCAGAGGCCCTGTATCTGCCGTGCACACATGCGATCACTTAGCTTCCGCGGTACTTTATGCTTGGAGCGTGGACGTTGCCGAGAGTCAATGGGAGCGAGCGAGAAACCGGGTCCCGCGTCCGGAACGTCGGCACGTAGCAACGCTCCCGCGAGGCCTGCTTCGACCGTCCTCCGAGGTAAGGAGCGCAGGCAAGTATCGGAAGGACCGCTGCGTGGAAGCAGTTGCTCGACACCCCGGACGCGATTGGCAAGGCGAGTCGCTGACTACCTACCTCTTCGTCGCTGGATCCAGAAGCTTCCCTGCCGGTCCTACTAGCCGGCGCCGAATAGGCGGTGGTCCCGCTTGCTTCTCCGTCGTCGTCGCGCTGCCTGACTTGGGTGCAGCTGCTGCTTCCGCTGTTGGCCTCCGACCACTTCCTCTTCTCGGGCACGGCGCTCGGCCTCACCGGCAGCGGCGTGACCGTCGCCACGGCCTCGTCGTCCTTCGGCCCGTTGATCACCTCCAGCTCCTCCTCGGAGCTGTGCTGATCGCCGCTGTGCTCGAGCCTCAGCAGGAAGTCGTAAGACGGCGCTGGCTCGATCGGCGGTGTCTCGGTGCTGCTGCAGCCGCTGCTGCTGTTGAAGCCGAACGGCGTGGCTGTTGTCGAGGGTGGCGACGCGCCTAGGTCTGCGTCCAATGGTACTGCGCTGTCGCGAGCAGCTCGGCCCTCTTCCAGACTGTCCATTGCTGCGGAAACACATCGGTGACTTTTTTTTTCTTTATCGCCTAGGGACGACGCTCGCAAGTGTCGAGCGCTGAACAAATCGCCACTTCGATCAAGTGCTGGGAAATTGCATTTCATGACAGTCGTGCCGTAACTCATACGCGGGTACGAGGAAGTTACGCGAAGTTAAAGCGCTTTGCACGTCGTTTGCCAACGTATAATTAGCGCGCGCGCCTCTATTTTTAGAAGATCGCGCGAGTACGCATTCACAAGCGAGTCGCGCAAATATAGCCGAGGAGTATCTTGACCTTTGCCGTTTGCCGTGACTACGCCCCCGCACTTAATATGCACCAGGTGACTAATTTTTTCTCCTCGAAGCTCGCGGGGCCGCAGATCGAAAAACCAACTGCTCTCCTCTGTTGGTCCGAGATCGACGGACATGCATCCTGTCGAGAGTCGACAGACCGCGGCAGTACGAAGCCGCGACTCGCGGAATTGCCCTCTTTGGCGCTTGTACAGCGGTGGCTAATAGAGCTTTACAGAGCTTTTCCGCGGACGTGAGCTTCGATCGATCGACGCGCGCTCGCCCGAAGGATCGGTCGGCGAAAGCGAGAGAACAAAAGGGGGCGGCGACGCGCCTTCTCGAGGGCCTATAATGAAAATTAACAAGTGCAATTGAAGCGCAGCCTTGCGAGGCTTTCGGCGCGCAATCAATAACGCCGCTGCGGCGCTGTGCGTCACATAAAAACAATTTAAAAAGAATAAAAAATTTCTTTTTTAACGTGCGAGCGTATTTAGCGACGCACGAATGCAAATGAGAACGTCGCGCGGTAAAATATCGCCTCGGGAATTGAAAAGACAACGTATGAATTTTCATTATTTACTCGCCGGCTAACAAGGCTCGAACCCAAGCCTCGTCGACGAATTAAAAATCTAAATAATAGGTCAAAGTATAATGGGCTGCTCTACCTCTCTCCACTTTGCGTCCGCCCGATCAATTTCGGGCGTGGATAACGAACGCGAGGTCTCGAAGCAACGACGCGGAAGAACGAGAAGCGTATCTTCGGCCGACGTCGTCGCCGTTGGCGTCGCGCGGGTGAAGATTCCTCGTCATTCGCCACCGTCTCGAACGACACGCGGAAGAATCAAAATAAAAGAGAGCCCATGGACGGCGGCTGATCGAGCTGCAATATGATAAATAGGCGGTGGCTCGCGTTGATCGACGCAAAGATTTTCAACAAAACAGTCATATTTCTCGTCTTTCTCAATTCGTATCTGGTCGACGAACAAAAGCAAAGCTTGAAATAATCCCTCCGTTGGCTAGCAGCAGTCGTTTGCTCTTGGCTACGCAAGGAAATGTCATTTCACGTTTGGGAAATGCACTCTCGCGCGTGCTGCAATCTCGTAGCCAACGACGAGGCACTTGTGGTCGTTGACGGAAATAAAATATGATCCGATTGCCGAAACGGAAAGAGACGCTCGAGCGATGATCGACGAGTTAGCCGCGAGATGAGAAAATAACGAGGCACGACGATGCGCTCGCGATTTTAAATAATTAAGTAGATTTGCCAAGGCGGAGATAACGGAGAGGGGAAGGGCAGACGGTGAAAGAATCAAGCGTGCAGACTGTACGACGACAGGTAGAGGCGTGTACATATCTACGCGCGAAGAGACATGCGAGCAGAGAGAGACGAGGAGGACAAAGCATCAGCCTTCCTCAAATTATGGCTTAACATTTATTAGGATTAATTTAATTGCGCGTGAGCGGTGGAAATATTAATTCGACTGTCGAGTCGGAGAAAAGAAGAAAAAAAATTGGCGTCGCGTGCCAGTGACATCCAGGGGGGAATCCAGGTTTGGGTTACACACCTGCCGGGATGTTGTCTGCCCCTCGACAAACTTTCGCCACGCGCGAGGGTTTTTCTTGCGCAATGCAAAAAACGATCCGGCATCGCGACTGATCCCCTCGTAATCGAGGTAGAATGGAAAAACGAGAAAAAAAATAGAAGACTCGACTTTGACCGCGTGCATCAATCCCCCTCCCCCCTCCCAACTTTCGGGGAGAAAGAAAAAAAAGAAAATTGAAAATCCCAACGACGCGCGAGCCGATAGCCATTTTTTTTCTCGCTGCCTTTTAAAAACTCGCCGCGCTCTTCACAAAGCTTTCGAGGGTGCTAAGAATGACGGAAAGGGGTGTGCTGGAGCATTGATTTTTTGTTCTGGCCTTGCGTCCGTATCCACATCAACGTACACCCGAGAAGATGTATGCGCGTTTCGCTGCTCGAATCTCGATGGTCCGCCTTCAATTGATACGAGCAATATCCCTCGACAAAGAAAAGAAAACGAATTTGACTTTTCAGTCGAGGGACGTGTGCATAAGCTCGGCGAAGTGCGGCAGACCGTGAACTTGAGGTTGCCGAGCGAGAGGCAGCGGAGGTGCTCCGACAAGAGTCGTTGGACGCACGTGTCGCGCGGATTGATAAACGCGCCGGGCGGGCGACTCATTAATGATTTATTCGCGCGCACGCACGCGGCCGAGGCGGAAGAAGAGGCCGCGAAACGACATCGCCGATCGATATCGGAACGATCGCGCGAGAAAGAAACGGGGCTGATCTGAAAAATTAATCTGCATCCCCGATGCCGCTCTCGCGTCGACATTAAAAATAACAACTCTCGACGTCTGCCCTGCAAATTGGATTACATGCATTATTCATGAAATTCCGTCGGTCGCTCGCTTGCCCTCCCTTTCGCAGCCGCCTGCAGTAAGATCAATTCGAGCCGCAGATTAGTCACGAAATATTATATTATTGGCCCTGCAACCGCCAAACGTCTCCGCTTCGATCGGCTGCGCTGCTTCTTATTTTCTCAATTTACATGCATTTGAAATTAGCTCGCACGATGCGAGAGAAGGTATTCATAGGGACACCTCGGTATTCTTGGACGAGAGTCGTTCTTCGCCAAGGAAGGACATTTTTATTTATTCGACTTGTCGTATTAGAAAAATCGCATCGAGAGATTTATTGGTGTGCACTGCGAGGAAAATCAGGTTGCAGTGCATAACTTTGAACGGGACTAACCTTTGTCTTTACCGACAGTCAACTGAATTAAGATTTTGCGTAATAAATAAATAACGAATGACCTATGAAATACGAAAAAAGGAAGTACAATCCATTCCGTGCCGCACGATATTAAATAAGTACCCTCGAAAATACTGAATAATGGACTAAATTGTTTTTTTAAAACAAATATATACTACCAATCGAATACAAATCTACTGGTAAACTGATTAGATAACACATGCAAAATCGTAATCAAATAAAATTACATTTAAGCTCTCCAATAGTCCACGTGACTTGTGACGTTTATAGCGCTCAAAATTGATTTTTTCGTTGTAGTTTATGCAAATAACTTATACAGTAGGTTTATATACAAAACTTTTATAGCCTATGCGATTACATCGATGATCGCATAACTATACGACATAGTGGGGACTGAGTTCTGTTCAAAATTTATGCCAGAAGATTGAAGATTACGCGCGAAAGACTGTGTGTGTGTGTGTGTGTGTGTGTGCGTGCGTGTGTGTGCGTGTGTGTGCGCGCGTGTGTGTGTGTGCGCGCGCGCGTGTGTGAGAAAGAGAAAGATAAATTAGCCACAAATTGAAACATAATTTAGAAAGAACATCGAGAACTTTTCTTCAGAGCCGTGCTCGTGCGAGCATTTTCTCAACTTTCGTGACGTATTATTAATAACGCTATAACTTTAGTTTTAACAGTGACTTGCTTTGCATAGATAACGTTGAAAAAAAGAACAGTATTTTTTCTTTTAACCACAAGTCGCTAATTTATTATGCACATATTATCATTTTTAATGACGGCAAGCTCGCCTGCAGCCTTCGAAATTGCGAAAAATGGAGAGAAAAAATTATGGTAATTTAAAAAGTGAGTCGGGTCAAATGTCGTCAACCTGAATTTTCTAATTGAATTTTTGCAACGACAACGGCTCGATGTCACGAGGAGAACGCCCTGTAAGACTCGATGCAACGAGTTTTCTTTTCTTTTCGGCCGGTTCTAAACTTACCGGTAGAAAGCTCATCAGCGACGTCACCTCCATTTTGGAATTCATCGTCCGACTCGGTGCCAGAGTCGTGATCATCATCCGCCTGGAAAATCAAAGCGATTTTGTTACTAAAATTACTCTCCACGTCAATTTCAAAGCGAACTCATTTTTCGAAATTTTTACCGCCCCGACGTGAGAAATTGTTTTGTAAATAACAGATAAGCCTCGAAAGTAGGGAGCTACTCGTTCCTGGTCTTACAATTCACTTTTACTGGATTTTCACATTGATTTGAAACATTAATAAATCAAGTTATATTATGTCTTGTAAATCCAAGATTAGATTGAGAGATTGTCTCAGAATCTTCGCGACGCTTTTAACTCGGTAAATTTTGATCGAACGACAGTTTGAAAATAATTCTTGCACTGACAATGGCTACAGTTTAATATCTCCCTGTTCAAGTATTCAATTAAACACACTCAAGAAGGAAAATTATTGCATTAAAAACATGGCTTCTTGGCAATGCCGCACGTAACTCATCTCGGTCAATATAGTCACGAAAGTATTCCTGAATATTTCATCAATCATCAAAATATTTTGGAACTTCAAAGATACAAACAGTACTCGAAGATATATACGTGCCATTCAACAAAATACATGCACAGAGAGAGAGACACGTGTTTGCGCAAGTTATTTCCTCTGTCTCGTTATCTCGCGCTCTGAAAATAACGATCGGCGTCGTATACGCATATCTGTTTAATTTTGAATGAACTCGCGTCTTACCTATACACGCACGTGTCCCCCCCCACCTCCGAACAAATACATGTAAACTTACTCAAGTATCTAACACGTAAAACAAAGGAACACAAGCCGGTGTGTAATATTGCGATATACACCTTGTCTGGATGGAGTTCCTCGTTGAGCGAATGAGTCCTGAGTTTGTGCGTGAGGAATTTAAGAATACGTGACGATGATCCGGATGAAGACGAGGTGGACGCCGCCGCTGCATCCTGCTCGTCCATATCTGCCGCCTTCTCCTCTCTCTACCTATCTCCTTCCTCTCGCGTCCATTCACATCCTCGAATCATCTCTACTACGCCATCATTCTCCTCGTTAGCGTCGTCACCATCGCCATCCTCGCCACCACCGCCAGCAACGACGCTTCTAGCACCGCTGTTGCTGCTACTGAAACGGTAGATGCACTTTCACTGAACCGAACCGACAGAGAGGTTATGTATGCTCTCCTTGTCGTCGCAGTCGTGTCCTGCGCGAAAGATTTTCGACGGCGCGGTGGCTCAAAACACGGACGTACATATACATACACACGCTTTATATAGGCGAGTGCTATGTATACGCAACAGAATGAAGTGAGACAGAGACAGCTCCAATTGCACGGCCCTCTCTCTCTCTCCCCTTCTCATTCAACGTGCTATCCGCTCTACTCCCAGTAAAACTCTTTCATGAGCAACGACCGAAGTATATGCGCGCGAAGTATGACCGCCTGCCCGTCTGACTATTCCTCTACTCTAGCGTTGTCACCACCACCGGCTTTCGTGTTTTATGGAGGGGAAAAAGGACGATGGAGGATTTTCGGTGAGAATAAGGAAGAGAGAGTCAGAGTCGATAATCCCCCTACCACTGACGATCTGTTGCTTTGAACGTGAACAATTTTTAAATGTTTTTAATCGAAAATTAATGTTATTAACACAATGTGATTATTGATAAAGGTCATTGTAGTGTGGCAAAGAGAATGATCAGAAAATCTAGACATTGATGAATGGTTGTTGAACTCTTCGATTTCGCCAAATTTGTTTGTCATTCAAGCACTGTCTGAAGGCTGCAATTTACACCGGCACGCGTCTTTGTACGATTTCCATCCTGTGAAACGTTAAACCTCGCAGGATAAACATTTGTCTCACATGTGGGCGCGTTGTGTTGCGAAAAATCTTGATAGAATCTCATACGTGACTGCGGTGAAAAAGAAACTTGCGATATATATAAACGTGAATAATTCCTGTATGATACCTGATCACGCACAGTAAGTGTAATCATATACTTGGCTTTCCATTATCATCGTCGACAATCTGTGTTTTGCGCGCCCCCAACCGCTCGCGAAACAGAAGTTGCGCAAATCAGCCGTAGAACGGAGTCAGAATTTAATCGTTCGTGTTCGCATAATGGTACATAGCTTGGCGCGCGACTTAACGTTGAATGGTTCCACCAGCCGTGAGTACAACAAACGTATACGCACAGGAGCGAACGATGCCTCCACCACCTTATTTCGCGAATACTCTCTCACACTCTCGCGTGCGCATTACCCCCACCATAACATCCAGCAGATAAGAGAGCGTGTACACATTGGCGATAGCCACCGATGTGCTGCGCCGATGCCTCCCTCTCCTCCTCGTCTTTCTGTCTGTTTACTATTTTTCCGTCGGATTTTCAGAATTTCCCCCTTCACAGACTCCGAGTATTAAGGTATTGAATAGCGCACTGTTAGCCCATGATGTGCTTCTTTTCTTTCTTGCCTGCTCGTTCTCTCTCCCTTCGTGCAAGCGTTGTGCAGTTCCTCCTCTTTTTTCCCCCGGAGGATTTACGAGAGACTCGAAGCTTTCTTTCTCTCTCCCTGCAGGCTGTGGGAATTTAACCGTTCAAGAGGGAGAAAGAGCGAGCTACGCGCGAGGGACGCGGAAATTGGGATTCCGAGTTAGTTTTCACGCTTATTTAGCTTCCCAGTTGAAAACCTATAAATACGTGGAAAGATATTTAGCTTGATGAAACCGTAGTCCGTTTTTACGTTCTTAGAAGTGTAAAGTGACAGCTCAAAGGTGTCTCAAGCAAAAACATCAATGATTTACGCGAGGTATCGATTGAAATTTTTTCCAATTGCGTTTTAATGCCAACGAATACGAACATTATTTTCTAATGCTGAAACATGTACCGATTGATTTTCAAAATGCTTTACAAAGTTTCTGAAACTTGCTCAAACCAGCTTATTTCTGTATTACTTTGAACATTTAATATGTCTATATCTTACAGCATCCGAAGTACATAATCCTAACAACGGCGAATTACCTTGTCAAAAGCTTTTCACGATATAACCTACAAATGATCTTTATTCTTTAAAAAAAAAAAATTTGGAGCACAATCTCACTCAACTCCCATAAATAACAATGAACCCCCTTCAAAAAAAAAAATTGCACTCGTCTTTTTCGTCAAGGTCTCCGTTGCCCGGGGGGTCATAAAGAGCATATCGACAGAAAATAAAGGGAAACTCGCGAGGTATCCCTCCATTGATTTCGTCGACATATAACACGAAACCCGGGCGCCTTGTTGAGAGAGGGAGAGAGAGAGAGAGAGAGAGAGAGAGAGAGAGCGAGAGAGAGAGAGGAGAGAGAGAGATCGGGCTCTGCGTTGCGCGGGGCAGGAAAAGCTTTTACTACATTTACTACTACTAGAGTACTACGGCGCGCGCCGCTCAATGGGCGCACGTACGTGTGTCTCTTTGTTCGCCTCTTGCCCAGGACAAAGGAAAAAGAGAGAGGGGGGCGAGAGAGCGAGAGATAGAGAGAGAGAGAGAGAGAGAGAGAGAGAGAGAGAGAGAGAAGAAAGCTCTTTACTAATAACGACGACGACAACGACGACGCTGATGAATAAACTTCTATATCTTCCTTCTGCAGCACACCACACGCACTGGTTTGCAACTTCACCGAACGTGCGATGTATATCTGCTCTCGGAAGAGTTTAAAGCTGGGAGAGAGAGCGACGTGACTGCAGCCAGTGTATGCGGCGCGCACTAGGATGCTGCACACTCTCGACTGCTGCTATCTCTCCTCGCGTACACGCGCGACTCGCAGCGGCGAGAGCAGAGTAAAGCGAAGATGTCGGTCGCGTACGGGCAATGGCGCTCCACCACACATACGCGCGCATGCATCGCTTTACACACGTATACGGAGTCTGTAGTGAGGGAGGGTTACGCAAGTGTGTGCGGGAGAGAGAGGGAGAGAGAAAGAGAGAGCGCGCGCGAGCGAGCGAGCGCCAGTTAATTTTTTTGCGACGCTTGCGTACTACGACTCCCCACGTGTTTTATACTCGAGCGTACGCGACGAGCTTCCCAAGTGTGAGTGCGTGCATGCTCTCTTTCTCTCTCTCTCTCTCTCGCTCTTTCGATGCTGTGCGCGACGACTGCGCCGCCGTGGGAATGCGTCGATCGAGAAATGTACGGCGGAGAGGGGGTGGATAAGACGACATTCCTCGTTATGCCTTCACTACTACTGCGAATTGTTTCTCTTTCTTTTTTTTGATCATTTATGTATTTATTTGATTACTCGTTAACATTAAGGATAGAAAAAAATAAATATACAATGCACGGTATTTACAACAATGATTATTTACACGGCGAATCGTTTTTAAAGCTAAATACTGTTTCCGTAAAGAGTCAGAGCTGAGTCTCGGGCTTGCGCTTGCTACAAGCTTGCGTCTGCTGCTGCTCGCGATTGTTCCACATCATGTCCTCGTGATACGTGATGTGCCTGCTGCCGTCCTTGCCCGTGGACCCGTGTACTTTGGGCGTTAAGCCAACGCACAGCTGCTGCTCTGTGTCCGTCTCATCCTCGTTGTCGGCGCTGTCCACGTCACCTGTGAACACACGCGTGATTGACAGATTAATTTTAGCCAACGCGGGTTGTCGCTTTTTCGAAAAGAAAAAAAGAAACCGAGAGCCAAGAACGGACAAATGTTTGGGACTTTTGAAACTCGAGTAAAGCGCTGACATCGATGTCTAAAGTTAGAATGATTTATTGGCGCTTCTTTTAGTTTTACGATGAGCGCTTAATAAATTGCCTCGATTTTTTTGCTTTTCTTTTTTTTTTTGCGCATTTTTACTTTAGAATCGGCCAGATGCTTAAAGAATTTTCAAAGTTGGATTTGGTTGCACGAAGAGTAATTTTCAATTTTCTTCCGATGTAAGTCAAATACATGCCCACACGTAAATATTGACACGGGCTGTTTATAAACAGCCCTGCGTTTACAAGCACAGCTGGAGTTTTTGCATATTTAAAAATAGCGCGTTCTTTGTTCTTTTTTACAATATAACAGATAATGGTGTAAAAGAAGTGGCATATGTATATATATATGTATATATATATACATACATACTATATATATATATATTTCACGTTTCGAAAGAGCATATCTTTATCGGATAGTACTGGGATAGCTCAGCGAGTACAGAATAATACATATGCACATTGATTTGAATATTTGTCTTTCTTAACTTATCTATCAATAAATGTCGTATAAAAAGTAAAATCTGAAATGTCGATCAGTAAATTTATTATTTTTTGATTAAAAAATCGGATTACGTGGCTTATAACACTTCAATCGGCAAGAATAGATTTGTTGGATATACAGTGAAAAATTAAAAATAACAAACCATCGGAACTATTCACAGAAGGTAAGTAATAGCGTGCGCCCGTTAATCTTGTAGGCGCATCTCGTCGTTCGTTATTCTTATGATATTTGAATTCTCGTGGTAACGTGTAGCTCCGAGGCAATGATATTTGACTACCTTCGATATCACTAACGTCCTCGTCACCATGATTCTCCTCTTTAAAAGACTCGTCTAAATCGTTTTCATTATTGCACAACCTGCTTATAAACGAGAATGACCCCATTAATTTTACGAGCGAATCGTAGGCTCGATTCGAAATCAAACACTATTATTCACCTGTGATTAGCAATCATCGGCGGGGTCCAATGCGCATAATGATATGGCAAACACCTTGGCGCAAGTAAAATTTCCGAAGTCTCCATTGCTTTCTTCGGCGACGTTTTCCATTCCGGTGCTGGATGTGTCGAGGGGTAGGACGGCGGTGGCGGCATCAAGCAATGCATCTTCACTGGTGGCCACGCCGAAACGCCGTTATTCTTTCCCTGCACTGTCATTGCGTTTGGCGATACCGACAGAGGTGTGTTTGGCGAAGTGTGCAGTTTGGTCGGCGGTGGCCGTTGGTTGGACGTCGTAGAAGACGTTGATGGCGGCGGGACTAATTTGCCTTCCTTGATTTCCTCCTGTATGGCTCGCAGCTCGCGTAATTGTTGTTGCTTTTTCTCGCGAAGTTTCTCATGAATTAGATTCACGCTGAGAGAACCACCGATCGTCATGTCCGGCTCGTTTTTCTCGTCGACCTGCAAAATTTCAATCGTTTATTCAAAAATTCGTCGTTTCCACATCACCTTTACAAACGATAAATGTCGATTACGTACATTATTTAAGCTCGGAATTGGCAACGGTCTCTTCCAAAACGGAATTAGCTGCGGTCCGTTCACATTGTTATTGGCCCATTTATTAGCATCCCCAAGTGTTGTCATGGGTATGGTGTTAGATTGTGGTTGCGTGGGTGGCGGCACGAAAGTCGTTGGTTTCTTTTTTTTTCTATTTGGATTAGTTACAGCGGGGTTAGCGAATCGACAATTGAACACGCCTGGAATACCCCCATTGTTGAGTTTCACTTTACGCACAGCACAGCCGTTGCTCTTGCCGTTAAAACTGTTCATGTGCTTTTCTTGATAAGGGTTCTGAAATCCATTATCAGATCGTCGGAAATTAAACTTTTTCATAGTAAACTCACACATAAAATTAAATATTTTTATTGACAAGTTTATTATAGTCCATGGCTTCGAAGTAAATAAAAAATGAAATAGCAACGATCGAATATCTACAATGAGATGTTGAAATTGATTGCTTTGGTATAATGTCGCAAAACGACAATGACAAAATTGCAAAGCTCGATCGAACAAGAGGCTCTTTCACAACGTTAAAACTGAATGATCTTTAGTCACGCACCTGCCGAGACAACGTCGTAATTGCGTTATTGCCATTCATCCTTCCTCCAGCTTCATATCGCAACCGTCTGACGTGAAAGAACCTGTGCAAAAAAAGCACTGCCATTGAAGCGCGGAAACCGGCAATAATTCACTGGCACGATCGACAAATATAATCTCACCTGTAGTACAGTCCCATGAAGAAGAGTCCACCGAAGAAAAGTGCGAACAAGATGGATATGACCGTGAGAGGATGAACGTTGCGATGCAGCTCGCTGTTGGTTACGCCAACCAGCCACACACCCGTCAGCAGACAATTCTCCAGAAACATCACCGAGTAGAAGATGAGCATCTTCTGACGATGGTTGGTCTCGTGCAAGTTCACGTACGAGAAGACGTAAACGAACGCTAGCATCGAGGCGATGAACAGCTTCCTCGTGACAGTGAGCTGCTCTCTGCCGTTGAACAGGCCGTCGGGTGTGAGCAGCAGCCAGGTGAGCATCGACAGCCAGTGAAGCGCAATGACAACGAGCAGCCATTCGGCGCCGTATATCGACGCATAAGCAACCAGCGCACCGACTCTCGCGCTCACGGTGCCCAACCGCCATGCCAGCTGCGCCAATACGCCCAGCCACGTGAGTACCAATCGCTCGAGATTACGCAGTCTCGCCGCGCCCTTGCTGAACGAAGCCACTGCCCAGCAAACGCTCCAAAGCGACAGACCTGCCGACACCGTGGCCAGCTCGCCAAGTTTCGTTTCGCCCGGCTGGGCTGGCCGAACCATACTGGCGCCTTCAAAATCCGCCGAGCGGTACTCGGTCGAACCTAAACCTAGGGCTAGTAGGTAGGCCTGCAGAAGCAGCATTGGCGCTGCCTCGCAGAAGGCGTGGATTAGACGCAGCATGCATAGCTCGCGCACCTGCAATGCAGAAGCGTTTCGTTGGGCTTGTCACATCCAAACCGGGCTCCGTTTCTTTCCACGCCACTTATCAACCTTTTTCTGTTTGTTATTTTTTTGTTTTTTTTTTTTCGTCGCGCCCTTCCAAATACGCCCGTGCCGAAGTTTCGCAACCACGCGTGAAAACGACAAAGAAAGGAGAATCGGGTCGATAACGCGCAGAAGCTTGCCGAGTTGATCGTGTGCCCCCGCGACTTTCTCTCCATCGACATCATTTGCTCTCGATAACTCGGAAACGTTACGCGGACTACTTGAACGGCGAATCCAGCTCGCCAGTGTGCGTATACTCACTTCGTGTTTGACGAAGGTAAGGTCGACGGGTATGAAGAGTTTGAAGTATCGCCACAAAACGCTGGCTTGGCTGAGGTGAACGAGCAGTACGCATCCAAGCGTCCAATTAGCAGTCTTTTTTACCCCATTAATATCACAGTCCGTGTTGGCGTTTGGCCGGAGCTTACCCCTCGCTCCCCACAGATACCACTTGATGCTCATTACCTGCAATCGAATTGGCATGAAACCGCTGTCCGATCAGCATTCTTTTTTTTCTCTCGTTTGGGCTTGCAAGCAGGGCTTGTTCGCGTCGACCGGAAAGCAACGAGAGCTTAGACGATCTTCGCGTGGATGGCGTTGCTCGTAACGCTCGGCAAAAGCGTTTGCGCGTTTGCCGTGCAAGCGTAAACAATTCGTCCGAGCGAAGGAGTCGCGCGAGAAAAGAAAAGAATGCGAACGACAAACAACGCGCTTGAATGATCGCAGAACGCGGAGTACGTATACGAACAGGATCGCGCTGCCGCTGCGCGCGCGCGTCTTTTTAAGCTTTTTCGAATTCTCGCTGAATGGGCATTTTATGGATGCATGAGTAATATATCAGCGCCACGGGCAATGCTACTTCTCGAAACTTGCATACATTTCCATACACTTTTACGAGAGAAGAAGATGCTATCTAAATATTTTCTCAAGCTTACGTGGACAATAATGAGGCACAAAAGAAATCTCTCATTTATCAAGCTTGAAGTTCGAGAGACGCGCTCGGGATTGTTGGTGGTATTATCTTTACAGAGATTTGGCCGCTTTTTAAGGGAATCAGCGAGCGGCTCGCGAAAGCAAACAAGGAAAATGAAAAACGAAGAAAAACAACGCGGTTCCGCCGATTTCGGAGTGTTTTTGAAATCGCGGAGTTCCAAATATCATTGTTTTTCGATTCCGCGAGCGCGTTCTCGTAAAAAGTACTTGGTCAAGCATCCGCAGCAAGGATTCCCGAGATTTTTTGAATATTCAAGCGAGATTCCGGTCCATCGGAATGTTGGTTGGCACGAGCGCGGCTTAACGATCGCGAGCGAGAGAGCGCAAGGAGGCGGCGAGCCCGTAAGCCCACATGCACGGAACCACGTTACCTGTGAGACGAGGAGCGAGGCGACGACGAGGCAAACGCTGATAGGGAACAGCATCCTGGGCGCCTCGGGATGATAGGCGAGGGCGTAAGCCATTGCGAGATCGAAGACCACGTCGCAGAAGTAGGACGCGAGCGAGATGATGTTGAACAGTACGTCGCACAGCGGCAGAAACTCGTGCTGCTCGACGCGCTCGGCCATGCCGATCTCGCGACACCCATTTGTTTCCAAATTGCAACTGTTTACGTGCACTCGACCGCCACGCTCCTGCTCACCATCGCGCCACTGTCTCCATGCAGCGCAGCAGCGTCGTTACAACTGGCATATGGAGTCGCGGCGGCGAGAACATCTAAGGTTGGCCGACCTGAAACCTCCTCCTGTCTCTCTCTCTCTCTCTCTCTCTCTCTCTCTCTCTCTCTCTCTCTCTCTCTCTCTCTCTCTCTCTCTTGGACCCAAAGGCATCCGAGGAATGCCGTCTTGCCGCCAGCGTTATTATAACTTGTTGCTCGCTGCCGCTGCGCGCTCTCCTCCACACACACGCGTGCACTCGAGCGCGCGCGTGTGTGGACTTACCTTTCCTATACCTTCTTTCTTTCTCTGGTGAAAAGAGCGCGACTAGTGCGCCACCACCACCGACGCAGGAATGCCACACGAACCCTTACGGTAAATCGCGACATTTCGACGATCGTCTATATACTTCTTTCTCGGCTTTGTTTTTCTTTTGGCTTTTATCACTTCCTTTTTTTCTCTCCTCGCTTGAATTCCAGTCCGAAAGAGAGAGAGGATTTTTTTAGTGGCGCATAAGTTATGCCGCGATTAGAGGCTTCTAGCCGATTAAGGTATGACGCGCGGCCCGCGGGCGACGTTATTTATTATGCGCTGCGCTTATTTTCTCCAAAGAGAGGATACTCGTAGACCGGATTGTCCGCTGACGAAGGAGGGGACACACAATGCGCAAAAGTCTCGAGGCCTGTCTGTTTTAACGAAAATTCGTTTATTACAGTTTTCTTTCGTTTTTATGTACAAAAAGCGTCCGTTTTCCGCTTTTAAGGATAAACATTCAGAGTAGTAAAATAAACGAAGCTCGAAGATTTTATGTCGCGTAAACAGCGATGTTTTTTTTTGTTGTCTATTGCAATAGATATTCACGTATTCACAGAAAGAAGATTATTGTGCGGAATAATATATAACTGAACTTTGTTTTGTGCTTGCTCTATAATCTTACAATACAAACACTTATTAATGAATATAAGCCTATAAATTGCAGCTTGCGATATTGGTTTGTGTGTGTGTGTGCGTGCGTGCGAGCGTGCGTGCGTGCGTGCGTGCGTGCGTGCGTGTGTGTGTGTGTGTGTGTGTGTGTGTGTGTGTGTGTGTGTGTGTGTGTGTGTGTGTGTGTGTGTGTGTGTGTGTGTGTGTGTGTGTGTGTGTGTGTGCGCGCGTGATATTTATCATAGTTATTCATTAAAATTAACAAACTCAACAAATCTTTTGTAAAAACAATAGTGTCACTATTATGCATACTCGTTTTGTAAAAAAGATTGCTTGCGACATCATCGTTGGATCATATATTCATGGAAACAATTGTACAGTCAACGATGCGTCGATGTCCAACCTGCGTAGATATGAGTTTTATATCAAACTTACAATACGATCTCGTTTTTAAAGTCTCTAGTTAGCTCTTTGTGCGGCAATATTATAGAATTCAGCAGAATTTTTTCGGAAGCCAGACTCACGCAGGACCCTGAAAAATAAGAATGATAGAGGGCCGTCTTACATAATTATCTAGCGCCCGCTTCAGGCCGCCGCGAGACTAGTGTTTATCCCTAATTCAATAGCGAGGCTTTTATTTTTATGTTAACGTTTACAAATCACTGGCTTTTGAGTTTTCGAATGATTTATCGCGCGCATGCAAAGCGCTGCGGCTTGTTTATCTCGCCGAAGCGTCTTTGGTGGTGTTCGTGCGCTCGTACAAATTATTAGAACGAATTGACGAAAGGCCCGCTTCCAATTCTCGAGGGACGACATTGTTATTGGCATATTCTGCGCGAACGTCATTTTTATTTTCAATTTGTTAAAACGCTGGGCCTCAATGAACCCGATGTGAAAGTTTACCAAAGCCACCTCGAAAGGTAATACACAGCGAATGAAAGCTCAATGATTCGTCGACTTCCAGATCGCGACAGTAATGCTGCGGACGTTTGAAGGAAAAAATGATAATTACCAAGGATCGTCGCCGAAGGGTTGAGTTGTCCGTGATTGTTGAAAAGTGGGCGATTCTCCATCTTGGCGAAAGGCTTGTCGGGATTGGGGTCACAGGGTGTGCCTTCGACACGCGCCCACTCGCCCACGCAGCTGTCTTTGCCAACGATGCTATAGAGGACGATCGAGTGCGCTTGGATGCGCGCGTTATCCATCACTATCGTCTCTCGGATGCGAACTCCCGCGCCGATTGACACGTTCGCGCCTATCGATACGTTTGGTCCCAACTGCAATTTGGAGAAGTAACCATTGGGTGAGGCAAATCATGCGTAAAATCAAAATCAATTGATTACTTTTTTCGTCAGGTCAGAGAATATTCTCCGCTCTGCATAGGTGAATGCTTAAAGATCGTTAATTTTTAAATAAATTTGATTATCGCAAGTAAAGGTATCTGCCAAACATTTCATTTGATAATTAGATTATTATAATATTGAAAAACTTCATTGTACAGTTACAATTCTCTGTAATCGATGGTCAATTATAACTTATAATTATTTACTGTAAGAATGGAATGTAAAGTGTTCAAGAGTGGGCGCCATTCATCGGAGAGACTGAAATTGCTAAATTGACGCATTAATCAAACCCTATTCAAACGTATGATAGCAAACCAAAATACCAGGGCGTTTTGCTTCCGACAGTTTAATGCGACGAGTTGAGTATACTTATAACAATTGTAGCAATTTTCAGCGAAATACACTAAATTTACATAGCAGGCTTAATTAAAAACTAAAAATAACGCTTCCTATTAAAATACCTGTGTCGAAGTGTTGTTTAAAGTCTAAACTAGCACGTCACATGTGCTTCAATATTATTATTTCCCAAACTAGGAAAGGTAGTGTTCATATAGTCAATGATGCTAGTCTCTCGATTTTTAATTATTCTTTGTCTACACAAGTGCATTTGATATATTTTCAAAGGTTTCAAATAAAGCGACAAGGGTTCAATCACCCGTAATGGTAAATTAAAAATAAAGTTATTTTTATGCCTATAGTTATGTACAGCTGATATTACTTTATCTGATACTTTTTTAATTCTAATCTCACGCGATTAGATAATAAACTTTTTATATCGGTAATCAATCTTTATGGATCAATAAATTTGAAGTATGACATTAGATATTCAACTTTCGAATTATAAGAAAATTCATCTCTGTTAATATTGCTTGGTATTATTAATTAACTACCACATTGAAAGATCTTTCCGTATGTCACATATTGTCTGTTTTGCAATTGTTAAAGCATGTTATATTACTTAAAGATCTTTAAACATATGATTGTTTTGTCGTATCTCACGTTTATTTTGTTAAATATTTCATTGATAAAGAGACTGCAAAATTTAAAGAAAAGACAAAACTATTCTTATCGAAAAATGACGCCCATATCTCGTCATATTTGTCCAATAATTAAATAAACGATGAGTCATATCATGAGCTAAAAATACTTACAACGGCAGTGGAATGAATTGACGCTGTAGGGTGAATGTAAACGTCGCCTATAATTTGACATTTGCTAGTTGTCGCCGAGGCTAATCTCTCAGGCCTATGCAGTTTGTAGAGAGTTAAATAATGACGGTTTACATAAATGGCAGAGCCAGCAGTTTTCACCTGCGACCACCAGTTTGTCACTGGTAGTGCAAACAACTTCTCACTACTTATCAATTTTGTCATAATATCTTGCTCTAGCGATATGTAACCAGAATCTTTGCCATAACCATTTGCTATTCTAAAATTTTTAAATAATTTTCAATTATTATTACAAGATTATAGAATTGTTCAGAGTAAAAATAAAAATTGCTAAGTAACTTACGTCTGTTTTGCTGGAGGTCGATCAGAATAAAAAACATCAGCCATTCTTTGAAAAATTTCATTGGTTGCTATATATATACCACAGCTAATTTGCGTTGACACAAATGTTGAAGGTTTTTCTACATAATGAGCAACACAGCCTTCATTATTAAAAACCAGACAGCCATAATTCAAAGACTGCTGTCTTGTTGCTTCTGTTGACATAATTGTAAGAACAGCTCCTCTTAATTTGTGAAATTGTAGGAGTTCTGCCAGTGGGAAATCAGCACAAACATCACCATTAAAAATAATGAAACTGTTTTCTCCCCCAGCTTTTATTTGATCTCTAAAGTGGTACATTGCTCCGCCAGTACCTAAAGGTGTAAATTCTTGTAGATATCTAATAATAAGGCCATTGTTGCGAGACATTTCATCAGCAAATGGTTGAATGTCTGCAGCATTATAGGAACCTATGATTAGAACTTCATTAACACAAGATACTTTTTTACATGCTTCAACATGATGCTGAATCATAGGTATTCCAGCAATTGGAAATAATGGCTTTGGTATATCCAGTGATAGAGGCCTGAATCTAGTACCTAAAAATGGGCAATTTTTAGTTTATAAAAATCATTACATTCCAATTTTGTCTGTTGTTTAATTTTTGGATATGTTAGATACTTAAATAATATTACCTTTTGAAGGACCTCCAATAAGAATAACAGCCTTCATAATGAAAATAAGCGTAAAAAATCAAGCAACTTCTAAATTTTGCCTAAAAGAAATAAAAAAGGTGAAAACTAAAAATGTTCGCTATCACAATAGCAATCAACTATTTTTCAAAACAAAATTCACTTGTCACAAAAGGAATGACATTTGTAATCGGACAAGCCTCTTTTTATAGCAACTATACCACTTTTCTTCCATAAAACACGTTATTATCGATCAAATAATGCTTCTGTAAACAGTGCATAGGATCTCTTGTCAATAAACCGCGAATCTTTTCCACGTTTATGGATATGTTTTACTGTATTATTGCTGAATCCGGATCCTGATGACGTGTAAACGAACGATGACTATACTATATAGCAGTACACCACTAAGGTGTGCACTGCGTGCGCGCGCAGCTACGTAATATATAACAATGAACAAATATATATAATACACTATCCTTTCGTTCGTGTGAGTATGTTTACATGTGTAAATGACGAACGCGGGAAAGCTGATTGTTATTTAGTGGCAATTGTTTGTAGTCAGGTAAAATTACTCGTTGCATATTTCTCTTGAGTTTCATTTGATAACGTGGCACATGAGTGCCGGCACATACGCCGGTACATTTTATGCCAAATCGCAGTGTTGGCGAATTTTCTAACCTATTCATAAATGTTTGTGATTGTAATTATTGCAAATGATCATGCAAATACTGAATAATGTCGATTTCTCTTTAAACATGATGTTTGCAATTTGATTTTTGTGATTCATTAATGTAATATTTTCTACAAAGTAAATTATAATTTTACATTGTCAATATTCAGTCAAACGTTGTGCTCATAAAGTATGTAATTATTTCCAGTTTCATATAAGCTACTACAATGTTCAATCAAAGTACGACACTTGCTACTACAACACCTTCAACTGCAAATCCTATGAAAGATTTTGAAGTTGTTTCACCACCAGATGATTCAATATCAAGTTTAGCATTTAGTCCATCAACTATTCCTCAAAATTTTCTAGTCGCTGGATCTTGGGATTGCAATGTCAGATGCTGGGAAGTTGAACAGTCTGGAAAAACTGTTCCCAAATCCATGCAAAGTATGACTGGACCTATTTTGGATGTTTGTTGGAGTGATGTAAGTATTATATCCTAAAAGATTGGAAGAAAAATATTTCAAGCCATGTCAATGTTAACTTTATAAATTGACTTTGGCAGGATGGAACCAAAGTTTTCATGGCATCCACTGATAAAATGGTTAAATGCTGGGACTTAGCTTCAAATCAATCAATTCAAGTTGCAGCTCATGATGCTCCTATAAAAACTTGCCATTGGATCAAGGGATCAAATTACACATGTTTAATGACCGGATCTTGGGATAAAACTTTGAAGGTTGATTATTATACTATGTTATCCATATTATTAAACATTTTATTGTTTATTGATACTTTAAATATTCATTTCAGTTTTGGGACACTAGATCACCAAATCCAATGTTAACAATTAATTTGCCTGAGAGATGCTATTGTGCTGATGTTGTAAGTATTTTAAATGAATAAATTGCAGGAAATTAGATAATAATCAAATATTTATCAAATAACGTTAGGATTATCCAATGGCAGTGGTAGGAACAGCTGGAAGAGGATTGATAGTTTATACATTAGAAAATACTCCACAAGAATACAAGCGTATTGACTCACCTTTGAAACATCAACATAGATGTGTTGCCATTTTTCGGGACAAAAAGAAAGTACCAACTGGTTATGCATTAGGTAGTGTAGAAGGCCGCGTTGCTATTCAGTATGTCAACCCAACAAATCCAAAGGATAATTTTACATTCAAATGTCATCGTTCAAATGGAGCGCCTAATGGTTATCAAGATATTTATGCGGTATTTTATTTATTATTTCTTTTTGTACTTTTTCTTTAGAGAATCTATACCTAATGCATTCTCAATATTGTTAGGTCAATGATATAGCATTCCACCCAATACATGGCACTTTGGCAACAGTTGGTAGTGATGGCACGTTTAGTTTTTGGGACAAAGATGCTAGAACAAAATTGAAGCCATCTGAGACTATGGAACAACCAATTACTAGCTGCTGTTTCAATCAGAATGGCCAAATTTTTGCATATTCTGTATCTTATGATTGGTCTAAGGTAAAAAGTAAATTCCATATTATTTTTAAGAAATGGAAAATATCGGTATTAACTCATTCATTGTTAATTTTTTTACACAGGGTTATGAATTTTACAACCCTATGAAGAAAAACTACATTTTCCTCAGACCTTGTTATGATGAATTGAAACCGAGAACTACATCGTGAACATTTAGAATTAATTCTCTGTATATTTTAGATGTAACTTTTGTGAAAGAAAAAACAAATTTTCAAATAAAACAGTTTTTTACCAAATCATATTGTTTTGATGATTGATCATATCGAGTATTACCAACTTGTGAATGGAGAAAACACGGTATTAAAATTATTAAATTTATATAACAGATTTTATTTCACAGCTTTTTTCTGTTTTCATACCAAAATGTCGTACAATATATTAATAATTACTTTACAATTGAAATAGACATTTATGTGGTATGTACAGTCAATTATACGATAAAGCAATTATTCGATGAGTTATAGATACATTAACAATTTTTTGGCAAATGTGAATAGTCTTCACAATTTACGTTTATATATTTATGTACAATGTCTTATTTTTTTATTTCTCTATATATATTTAAAAAGTTTACGTAGTGTAAAACTGCAGTTTTGTTTTTAAAATACAACATCGTAGTTGGTAATAAAATGTTTTCAGGAAAAATAAAAAAATAACTGTACAAAAATTTATGAAATTATAATTACCACAAGTATGTACATTCTAGTAGTAATGTTTTGTAGAATGTGAAAATCGTTAATTTACAGATATTTTTATATTCTTATGTCCTATGACATTAATCTGTACAGTGATTTAATAATTAGACGATTATACATACTTCAAATATCAACATTGTATTAATTAAAAATTTTATAAAGCAAACTTTGGCTTCAGTTAAACACATGTTTTTTTTTAATTTATTTTCGAAGAGCGATCAAACTTTATACGAAGGTATTACAATATGCTTAAGAAATCACTGTGTAGTGATTTCTATGAACATTTATATCTCACTTTTTTTACAGTACGTAAAAACATATATGCATCTAGAACATATCTGTGACAATGTCGAACGAATTATCATCGACTGTAGACAGGAAAAATGATCTTTGATTTACTGAAGTTTTATAAAGCAGTTGATTACATCAACAGTGAAACAATCTGTTATTATAAATCATCGTGAGCATGTTTTCTTTTTCGTTTACTACCGACGGTTGACTGCTCGTAATTTTCCATCGTCAACGGAACTTCATTACTGTTCTTATCACTAGAACTTTCAGAGTCTTTAACTGGAACAATAGGCACTGATTTTTCAACTGCTTTTTCGCTCTTGTCTTTCAATGATATTTGTTCGTTTACATTTTTTATTTTGTTACCATCCATTCTCTTGATTATACTTGATTGTACGCGATCATCAACTTCGATATCTCCTCTCTGTGCTTTTTGTTTAACAGAGCTACTTTCATTTTCGACATTTATCTCGGTAGGTAATTCAATGCGTACGACACCTTTCTTCGTCTTCGAAATCTCAGCCGTTTTCTTTGTGTTTGTCGTCGACTTAGAATTGACAAAGACACTTTTGACAATCGACAGATCCGTTTCGTTATTTATGTAGTCGTATATAGAAAAAATGTCGATTTCCGAATTGCCTTTGGATGTAACGTTTAAGCTTAAATCAATGATGTAACGAATAACAATAGGCATATACTTTTTCATAAATTTCTGAAACTCCTGCGACTGTGCACTATTAAGTATATCGCCAAACTTTTCAATCATGAGTTCCGTTACGTACGACTCGCTAAAACCTTCAGACTTCATGACTGAATCTAAATCGGGAAACTGTTTGATATTATATGCAGCATCTCTAAATAAATAAGATAGCAAATGTTGCTTGTTGATTTCGTAACGAAATTGAGCATACAAAGCAACGATTGTTAGATCAGGCGGTACTTCGCTCAATTCTTTCATGAACCAGACAATTTTTTCTGATATATTAGCCTTACTAAGCGTCTCCTCGTCTATGCCTCTGTCTCTCATGACCAACAAGTAAGCTTTCTCGATTCCCTCGGTGTGTATTACAAATCCTTGATTTCGTAACATGGTACCAAAGAGTTCATTTACCAAAAGCTTTCTCATCAGTAACCAATTTGTTACGTCAACAGGTACACTGTTAAATAGTTTATTTAAGTCAAAGTTTCTTTGTATATTGGTGCTTATTCGAACCAACTTTTCTGACGTTTTTTCTATGTCTGCTTGAAGATAAGCGTAAAGTAATTGCTCTTGGTCAGACGTTACACTTTCAACAGCTTGATTCAATGTTGCAGTTGATGGTGAATTCTAAATGGAAAAGAAAAACGCCATCGTTCTTTCATTTCAGTTTTTGAACTTATTATAAATGGAAAACTTGCGATTTCATATACGCACGCAAACTAAAAAATATATATGCAACTAAAGCGTAACATAAAATACTCGATTAATAAGACGTAAAATAACAAACATTGACGATAAAATCATAAAATAGAAAAAACATGACTACTAACGATAAGACGTGCGCAAATATTCTTTTTGTTAATTGGGAAGACGTTTTACGTAAATATATATCCTTACATGCATTACAAAATAAGCTCTTGAATGTAAATGAATCAGTCCTTATAAGACAAGCAGCGCTATCTCTCGCAGCAAAAGATTAAAGCTCTTTACATAGATGACAGTTAAGCACGAAACAATACAAACCTGCGATGCTAATTGTCTGCTTAATATATCTTTTAACGTGCCCTTCAATTTCTCAAACATTGACTGATCTGTCGGAGCTTTCAATTGAACTTCGTCTTTGGGCAGAGAGCCTCCTGTAAAAAAAGTAATGCAAAACATTATTAAACAATGTCCATTACAGTTCGTGGTAATATGCTTATATTCTCTACAAAGGAGTAACTACCTATGGTCACATATAAATTGCCTCGAGAGTCAACAAGAGCTTGAAGTAATTGTTTAGCTTCCGCTTTGAAGAGAAATATAAAAGGAATAGTCACGTCGTCAACGTGTTTTCCATCACCTGACATGGCAAACATTGGTGAATTGTGAACACTGGATGACGGTGTATTGTCAAATACTATTCCCGCTATAGCTCCTGCCTTTTGTAAAATTCTAGCCTGTAAAACGCGCAATGCTACTGTAAGCTCAATGAAAACTATCTATTAAAACGAAAGCTCTTAAAAAGTTATACCTTATCTATAAACATACAGTTGCCTCTATCAACAATAACAATCATTCCTTTGTAAATCTCGGAATTTCGTAATTCCTCGCATCCAAAAGTTGGAATAGCAAATAGAACTCTTCCAGCGATCTTTTTGTTTCTTAAATCCCATCCGAATTGTGCAGGTCCAGCTAATAAAGTAACTTTTTGCTGTGTGTTTGGTTTAATAAAAGTAAGTTGCACTGGTTGTGTTTCTTGTTGATGTGACTGTGACTTGCTCAATTCAACCATCTCTTGCATGAACAGTAAACCCTCCTCGGCATCTTGAGGTGATTTGGCATTCGAAAAAGTGTGTAACAGTTGAATGCTGCCGTCACTGAGGGTAAGAATGGTAATTCCCATATCGCTAAGGAGTTTCCAGTGCTCAAGGTTGGACGGTATGAATTGTGAGGCACTCAGTCTTTTCTTTGCTAGTCGTTTTGGACAAACATCTTCTACCATGTTACGCAAAGGTTGGCGTACTGAAGCTGGGAATAAATGTACACTGTTTGGACAGGTGCGGTCTGTTTCTTCTACGTGGACTTTTTCTCGTTCAATATCCTGAAAAATATCCAAAATGTAATTTTGTTATAAAATAAATTTTCGCAAGTTTTTTGTATAACAAGATATTTACCTTTGTAGCATTAAATCTTACTGAAGCCAAAGAAAGAGGCAAAAGATGACCTTCAGTAGTGAATACATATTCATCCAAATTGAGTATCAAATCATTAGGATCGGCGAATAGGAGGTACAAATACTTAAAGGTTTCCGAGAGTACAAAACTGTCCATAGTGTCATCGTGTTTATTTGTTCTCACGTCGGAAACGGCAGCAAATCCACAGGTCACTCTAGCATATGTTTGAAGGCTTTTGAGAACCTTGCGACCGACACCTAAGTAGTAATGATCACCCGTTGCTTTGTACAGGAAGTATGTAGATTCTAAGAACTCTGGTCTCAAAGGATGGTGACCCCAATGAACCTATAATTTTTGTCATTGAATATTTAATTATTTTAGAAAGGAGTTTGTAATTGGACACACTAATTGATCATCTCAAATAAAAAACATTGAATTTAAAATTAAAAATCAAAAAATTTAAAAGAAAGAAGAATAACTTAAACAAGATAACGTAATTAGAGGTGATCAATTTACATGTCTAATGTCTCACTCCCCTTAGCAGTAAAAGGAATAATGTTAGTAATATTACTTGAAAGTCAGTGGTAAATGCTTCTGGAATAAAATTATGCCTTTGCATAACTTGATACAACATTTCATGTGTTTCTACTGCTGGTTTAATGTCACCTTTTAAAACCTATAGAAATAATATTTCGTGAAAATATTATAAAAGAATTAATAAAATAATAATCTAAGTTGTACCTGCAAACCCGGCCAGAAAGCTAATAATGCATCCATAAAATTTTTTGAATTTGTATTTGGCCTGTGCATATGAACATCTAATAACATTGGTCCTTGACTAATGTATTTCATTATAGCAGAATAGTGTTTATTAAAACGACCTAAGTATTTTTCATCACCTGAAAGATAATTAAATCACTACTACAAATGTTCAACCTTGAAACAATAATTACCAATGTGCAAAAATAGCTTACCAAGGAGAATGTAAGCTTTTAAACAATATTCATAATAAGAATCAATTCCAGCTCCAACACCAGAATCTCTACGAACCCAGTCTCCAGAATTAACATTCAGTACAGAACCCATCAGGTCAGTTCCTCGATGCCTTAATTTCCATAGAACGTCCATAGCTTTCTGAGCCTTTTCCTGTACAAATATTGAAATTATCATGCTGAAAATATCAACTGGTTAAGTAGTTACAACAATTTTTTACTTCAAATACTGTCTCTCCAGTCAATCTTGATAATGCAGCCATTTCTAAAATCATACTACCAGCGCATGCTGTACAAGTTTCTCTCATCATTTCTGAAGGTACTCCTTTCATACCAGACTTCAAATTTATCTGCAAGTCAATTAGTTTGTGATATAATTCACTTTTAAAAAGTATAATATATAGTATAATATAATTCAAATTTTTTCTTCAACATTTGTGAAAAAAACTATTCAGAAGGTTGAAACACTCACTCTTCCAAAAGGTATTCCAGTAGTTGTGTTAAATGCAGGTAAGAATCTGTATCCCAAATCTTTGGCTAAATTCAACAGTTCACCTTTATACCAAGGTATAGCATTTTCTCTTTGCTTTACATAATCTGCTAAAACGTGACCACTCAAAAGACCACTAAAAATGAATAGTTTATTAAAATTGTGATTTTGACAATATATTGAATTTCAATTAAATGGTATACCCTAATATTCGTATATTTGTTTCAAACAATGAAACTATAACATCTGTATCAAATGTAACACCCTTAATAACAAGCTTCACAGCTTTTTCAAATTCTGCTAAATCATTCATTACCTGGAATATTTATCATCAGTTATTTAATAAAAATAGTTAAGAGAATTCCAAATAATTTTAATTTTTATTGAAACTCACCACAAGAGTATCAAGAGTATCAACTAATGTCAAGGAAAAGCTGAAATAACAAAAATATATTTATAATTTATCTTATCTCACTTGCAGACTAATATAGATAAGAAAAACATTTTTCACATAATATTTACATGTAAAAAATGTAAGAAAAATTCTTTCTGACATATAAAAAATTGATAATAAATTATTTTCAACTCACTTTCCAAGAACAGAATCTATGTCTCCTCGATCTTGCTCTGACCCTCTATATCTTCCTTTACAACTTAATGGCATCAATTCATCAGCAGGATATGCATTATCCATATAAGCATTATAGGCATGATAGAACATTTCCTTCGCTTCTTGTCTGTACAAAATGAATTGTTAAGCATCTATGCTTAGTTCTGATGAGTTTATCTCCATAAAAAAAAAACCTACTTAAGTAACTGTCTTTCTTCTCTGCTCATGTATTCTATCCGCCCATCATCAAACATTTCCATAGTTCCCTGGACTATACATGCAAAGGCCATCAACAGCATGCAGCCATGATAAGAAAGTGATATTATTGCCATAGTGAGCTGATTTTTTATGTCTCTTGCTTTGTCAAGAGGTCACTATTAAAACAATACTCATTTTTGGGTTCAAAGTGTGCGTCTTGCAATCAACTGAAGTCAGTTTTTTTCAATTGTACCACTGGAACTTGAGCATCTTTCTTTTCAGCTTCTCTGTAATTGACAAATAGATGTGCTTATCAATCAAACTCCAGACATAAGATCTTTAATTGAATTGGGCAAAACATTGGAAAGAGAGTGGGAAAAATAATCAGACATCCCTCAAGAAAAACTGAAAAACAACCGAATAACGAGTGTCTCATCACGCTAGAAAAAATTGTAAACTCGTAAATAAGCATTGATGGTAAGAACCTTCAAAAACTATATCTCAATGGTTAATCGAGGTCAATGTACACAATCAGAATCTTCAAACAGATGGCTATACAATTGCTTAATTTTTGATCCTATGAATAACAAGTATCGCGTAAAAAATATAAGTTGTGCTGATGATCGCGCTTACGATACTCAAATGTACATTACATTATATTTTTATCAAGGACGAATGATGTGGCGGCGCACGATTTTGCGTGTGTATGAATGTGACTGCTTGGAAAGTCTTCTTTACCAGTGGAGAAAGATAGTAGATCCGATATGGCCTTTATTCGCTATCACATCACAAGATGATGATATTTTTCCAAACCACTTACGATGACTTCAATCAGAGCTGATATCCATAAACAATACTTTATTATTGATCAATACTAACATTAACTCAAAAATTCAGAAAGCAACAGACGACGAATGGTATTAGCGATATTGCCTCCGCGTCTTTGCAAAATGTACATACACTATAGCGAAAAAATACGAGATAAAAACCTACGAAAATATGGCTCACCTTTGCGCGCGCAGCTGAACGTTAAGTGTTTTAATTTTTATGATGATTCGCATCCACCGTAGTAAATTTTTATAATTTTCTATATTATAATTGATTGTCCGCTTGTCTTTCAATAATAACAGTTTTTGGTGTTTAATCGTTCGTTACAAATTTTCATTACAAACTTTCGTTGTTGAGGTTATATTTTCAAAGATTTTTTAATTGTTTTCAAAATAAATATAGAAGTTTAACTTTGTTGTAAAATACATTCATGCTTATTGGTATCTTGGAAACAATAGATTTTTGTAGCAGTAATATTGTGTAACCAACTTTGTAACAGAACGTTTATTTTATCTTTGTAATAGTTCAAAAAATATAATAAGGGTGTTTACAGAAGAATCTGACACTTTCAAAGTAATATTTTGAACCACTGCGCAGTCGCGCATCGATCTGTGTGAAGACCACTGCGCTATAGGGATCTTTGAGATTGAGACACATATTTCGAAAGCAAAAAATATATAAAAAAAGAAATCAAATAAATTTCATTCTAATAACTGAGTATATAATTGTAACCTAAACTTTAAACTGTTAAGGTTGCATTATTTCAAATAATTGATTTTTTTAATAGCTTAGTATTGAACATTAAAAAGAAATAATAACAATAAACTTTTAAAGTATCCCGTTAATAAAATATATAAAGTCATATTTTAACAATTTTATTTATATTTTGAGTATTTAATTATTTATATCTGCTACAAACACTAGATTCACTGAATTTATAAAAAAATATAAAAATTCTTGAAGTTTTAAACTTCATTTTGCTGTGTGAGTGTGCAACTGTCCAGTGCGCCGACTGCATTGTGCAAAAACTTGGTGCCTACACCTGTGTGAATTAAATAAATTTATGTTACGTTACACAGTAATCTTACGGTTGTAGTCGTACGAAGTGACGTATTTTGATTAACTTGTTTGTTGGTTGATTATACTAGATATATATGTAGGGTAATATGCCTTGCGACTAGTCGTTTTCACAGTTATGTGTTTTACCAATTTTATCAATTTCTGCTAATTAAAGAAGTTCCAGCTTACAGGTAGTATTTTTAAAGCTCATATTTTTTATCAACATCCGACAAAATGTTCGGCAAGAGAAATAAGGAAGAGAAGAAAGAACGACGGCCCAGAAATCCTGATGTTCTAGCTCAGGTTATTTTTTAAAATTTATTTGATTTAGCAGCATTGTTAATGTTAATGACATCATCTTGTGAGATGTTTTTATTGCACAATTTCGACATTAATCAAGTATTTTTTCTTGTAGTTTGGTATTTTTGAAGTCCCAGATTTAGATGGCATTGGTGGATCAATGGATGATGGTGATGATGAGGATTTGGAGGCTGAGCTGGCTGCATTGACTGCTGGCGATGAACCCAGAAAACTAGCTCGTAGAAAACGTAATTATATACAACCTTTTTCTGAAAATTTATTATAAAAACAGCAATGTTTATGTTTATGTTATTACAATGTTTTCAATTGTAGCTCCTCCCAAGCCAGTAGTTGATATTGACAAATTAGTTAACGAAAGCTTGCAAGATATTAAGTCTGATGAAGAATTGTCAGGTGACGACGATGATCCAGAACTATTGGTAAATTAATCTTAAAGCTTATACTATTTAAGCACAAGCTTATGCTTATGAAAACTTACACCATCTTTAAAAATTAAAAAATGTTTGTTTGATAGAATGAGTTGAAAGCTATCACTATGGGTGAAGTTGAAGAACTTGCACCAGATACATCTGAACCACCATCAGATGTTGTTACAAATGAGACTACTAAACTATTAGAGCAGCGCTTGGTAATGTATAAGGTTGCTGAAAAGAAAGCTAAATCTGAGAATGAAACGAGTAAAGTGAGACGATTTGGTAGAGGAATCAAAACATTGGAACATTTGCTGGCTACTAGTAGGGCAGGTGGAGAAATTGATCAGAGTGAAATTCCACCTGAACTTTCACCATCTGCAATAGGAACTGCTCCTGAAAAACCACCAGCAGGTAACATTTTTTTATTAGAAAAAAATAATAATAATGAGTAGTTATAACAGTAAATTTTATTGATATTAGATATACTAGCCCCAAAAGATACAGTAACCTCACAGTCAACATCAGCTTCTGAACCTATTTCTCCTGAAACAGAAACAGTAGATCAGTCTACAGCTGAGCCAGAACAAAAGATTGAAGAGTCATCACCAGTAAATGTAGATACTGAAAAATTGAACATTCTAACAAATCGTCAGAAAGAGTACAAGATTGCGGCTCTAGCTTGGAAAAAAGTTGGCAATCACGATGAGGCTCTGAAGAATATCAAAATTACTAAACAATTTGATGCTGTGATAAATGCAGTCTCACATGGTGAAACAGTTGATTTGTCCGATATGCCACCAAGTCCATCGCTGCCTGGTGTATCAGCTACTGTTGAGCCAATATCTGATGATGGAAAGCAGGAGAATGAAAGCCAGCAAGCTACTCAACCTAATCCAGCTGGTAAAACAATTGTTCAATTGTTAACTAATCAATAGTCTTTCATGAATAAACATGGTCTTCAATTATTTTAACAGTAGAGCCAAATATGCAATCACTAGAAGCAGCTTTGAAAGAACGCTTAGAAGTTTATCGTCGCACCAAGACAGTCGCCGAAACTGAAGGAAACTCATCGAAAGCTCGACGTTATGGTCGCATATGCAAACAATTTGAAGATGCTTTAAAACTACACGCTAAAGGAAAACCAGTTCTTGTAGAAGATTTGCCTGCACCTCCGGGTTACCCTTCATTAACTGCATTTAGTGAAGCTAAACCAGCATCTGTTAAACTAGCACCGACCATTGTAGAACCCTCAGAACCAAGAGAAGCAAATGAACCGTTAAAACCGAGTCCAAGACCAAGTCCAAAACCAAGTCCAAAACCAAGTCCTCAGCCGAGTCCTAATCCGTCAAGAAAAACTCCAGTTGTTCCTCCTCGAACAAATTCAGGTATATTTTAAAGATTGCACTTACATTTTAATGACTACAACAATTTTTATTAATTGTAATGCATTATTTTAACAGACAAGAAGAAAAAATTGACAACACGAGTTGATAAACAAATCGAGGCGCTACAACACCGTCAACGTGAATTAAAAATAGCTGCTTTGAAAGCTAAAAAGGATGGTGATATGGAGTTAGCACGAGATTATTTACGGCAAGCAAAAGGGATTGATCCATTAATTGAAGCTAGCATGTCTGGTCTACCAGTAGACATGAAATCTATCCCATTATCCCCCAATGCAAAACTTCAGTTAGACGAAGAAGACACTGAATCTGTGAAACTCAGTGATGACGGTTTTACTATCATATCGTCGTTGGATTGTTCTGAGGCTACTGGTGATGATAAACAAATTTATGATAACCTCGAAACTCAGTTAAAAAAGCAGATTAAGGTAAATAATAGTGATAGTAAAAAATGTGTGATGGATGTAAATTTAGCATTTTTTATGTGTTGTAGTGGTGCCTGACTACAAGAGATCATTGCAAAGCTCTTGGTGATGTACCGAGTTGTAACAAGTGGAGTCGTTTAGCATTAGAATACACAAAAGATTTAGACATGGTTAGAGTAAAAAAGAGAGATGGTCTTCCACCTCCACAACATCATTATGAAATCAAAACGTATTCCATCGTGCAGTAAGTTACTTCAATTCACTTTTTTTTTGTTTCAATGTGTGTACTTTAGCATACATTGTAATCTTTTTAGGAGCTGCACAGATCTAACTGACGCAGATATAGAAATATCAATAATTAGGGGTATAAATTATACCAAAGAAAATGATACTTACGTTATATTTGAATTGCCGTTGCCTACCGATACTCCATCGACTGATACAACTTCAACGATTAGAGATACTAATAGTCCAGAGTATAATGCAGTGTTTCCATTGACTGGAATCATCGATCGTAAATCAAGACAATGCCAGAGGGTTTTCAAGAGACATGCTTTAAAATGCCAAGTTTGGTCTAAAAAGTAAAGTATACGTTCTTTTTTCAAAATTAATTTTACATAAATTAATAAGAATATACTGAATTTGTCCACAATCATAGAACCGTGGTATTTGTTATTTTGTTTTTATAAAAAGAAATTTTTCGACATTCAGATAATATGCAATCATTATTATTATCGTTTGTTTTGCATGATAATAGATAAACATTACTTGATTAACTGATTGAAGAAGTTATTCATAAGTAATTATGCTTCTTGCTGCAAATGCATTTATAATTTTGGATTTTTGTTTAAAAGCTTGTTTTTATATATCCATTTATCATCATAAGGTTTCATCAAATTTCAATTGATGCTTATTTTATGCTCGAGAAATGTTCAACGTGTAACATCAACAAATTTTGAGTAATGAAAATGTATAGTTAGTTCCTTAGAATTGGCCTAATTAATTGACTACCATAGATACCTAGAATAGGACGTTGCTTGCAGATGCTCGTGGAATCCTATCCTGTGTTGCACTCATCCAAGGTATGCAAGTTTCACGAGAGTGTCAAGTAGAATAGCTTGATAATGGATCGACGATATTTTTGTCGGTATCTATTTCGCTATTTATATTTTACACTTTCATATTAACCTCCTATGCAATTTGGTTTGTTCTTCATATTTTTTTTATTATATACAATTTTCTTTCTAATTAGTAATTGTACACGAGCAACTCGTAGAGCAACGAATCTTTTTATATTCAAGATAGGTTATCGAATATTATTTAACGGTCATGTATATTTATAATTTTAGAGGATTTTTCCGGGCTGACAGTCTTGTAGGAACTGTGAACATCAAGCTTCAGCCGCTTGAAACTAAATGCATCTTACATGATTCATTTTTAGTAAGTAAATTAGTTTATCGCTGTGCATCTATATCAATCAGTTAGTAGCAGTTATTAAAATTAAAAAGAATGTTACAGTTGATGGATGGACGCAAGGCTGTAGGCGGTAAATTGGAAGTGAAAATCCGCCTCCGAAATCCTATTCTCACGAAACAAATTGAACAAAACACCGACAAATGGTTAGCAATCGACCACTAACGTTCACGCCTTATAGATGCTTCTAAAGCCTTTTCTCGCTATGGGAAACTTGTAAATAATAATCGAGATTCTCCCAGCTGCTGCGTAAAAAACAATACTATGTAAATACACAAGCGGGAAAAGTATTATTTTTGTTAATCGCCCGTTGTCGATATTGTCATTTTAAATTACTATTTTACGTGGTGATTATTAATTTTTATATTCGCAACACAACGCTTTGTAAATGTTCTTGTATTAAAAAAATAAGAGCGAGAAAAGAATATACGATATTCTGTGATGAAAAACAAAAAAAGAAGATATTATTCAACAAGCGTCCCTCTCGTGCTAGGCAGAAAAAAAAAGTAATTCACGCAGCTGACTTGGCATTTTCCAAGGAACAATACATCAGGTGAATTCCACTAACAAACTATTGTCCGGTAATCGTTCCTGCTGCTAGCTATTTTGGATTTGCGGCCTGCACTGCGGGAGGCAACCCCCTCCCCCGTTTTACTCCTCTCGTTGTTGGTTCTTTGATTCTCTCCGTGCTGTGGAAATTCGCACTGTGAGCAGCAGCGCGGTAAACGCTTCAAGCGGACGACCCGTGTGTGCGGCTGCAACTATAGACTATTGTGCGCGCCAACACGCGCTTGCTAAAGGGTTTAAGTGATGCGTAATTCAAGGGCTATTCGGCTGCTGCTGCTGCTGCCGCGCCATTTGATACATTTTACATGTTGTCTGTTTCTATTCACGGTGTATCAATGGTTATTTGGCTTATATTTGATTTCGATATTTGCTTCCGATGAGCCTTGTAAATTGTATTTACACGTGTTGCGCAACTGGTTTTCTTTTCTTCAAATTTTCTTTCAAACGCATTTGCAAATTGATTATTAGACATTTAAATTAATTTTTGTGTTATTTTTTTATAGAGATTACATCCGAACGTTTTAATTAGTATTATGAATGAAACAATGTATTTCATCGTTAATCATAATCTATGTATGTTAAAAAACCAATATTTCTTTTTTGGCGTATGTAAACGTAAATTTGAGAGACGAACGTCTTTTTTAATAACGCGATTCTCCTTACCGTTAGAACTTGAAATTTATAGCTAAAATGTGAATGCTATTTAGAGACGAGTACAATTAATGTTTTATAATGGATCATTTCTCCTAATTAACGAACTACGTTTTCTCCGCACCGGCAGCGAAAGAAAAAAATGGTACGTATCTTCAATGAAAGAAGTCAGCAGCCTCGCATCGATTTGACGTCACGTGCATCGCGCCCTCGACGAGCACAGCGCACCGTGGGACGTCGCTGCAGCTCTGCTTGCAAGTGCACGACAAACACGCATTTCTCGCACCTCAGCATGCAGCCCCGCGTGAAAAAGGATAGGAAGACGGAGCAAAGAATCGAGCGGCAGGCGCGCAGACGAGTCGCGAGCGCGCGAGTTTGCCGTCGAATTACTAACGGTCCAGCAGCGTTGTTGACTTGCGGGCTAGCGAATTAACGATGTTTACCGACTCTCTCAACCCTTTCGCGTTGGTCCGCCGAGAGAGAGAGGGAGAGAGAGAGAGAACAATGGCTCGCGTATTTTTCCTCGAAGGACACGTGCGATTATTTGGCCTGCGCGTGTATATATACACGTACGCGTGCTCCCTGCCTTATCGCCGCTCTACGGCGTGCAATGGTCGCTCCGGCCGCATTATCTAATTGCCGCGCGAGTGTGTAACGGCGCACGCGGTGTTTCCAGTCCAATAAAAAAGCGTTCGTGTGCCACTCTCCAGTTGCCTACCGCGAAGCCGCGCATCTAATCTTTGCAATGCGCGACAAAGAGCGCCTTCCTTTTTTTCTTTTTGTTAACTTCATCGCGGCTACTGGATATCGCGAATGAGCTCCGGCGGGCTTGTGTTTCAAAATAATCGTGTCGGTTTTGTAGATCGACGTCTACGGAGAGCGAGATTTTTCGATATGGAAATAACAATGTTCGGGCGCTTTATCGGCACGGTCTTGTTATCGGCAGCTGCTCGCCGTGTTTAGAGAGGAAAATCTTTGAATTGACTTCGTTTGTTTGCGAAAATTTTTTCGTTTTTAGAAATTGTGCGTTATCAAGCTGATAAGTTATTGTTTTGAAGACTCACGATGCACACATAGTCTTCGATCGACAAGTTATTTATTCGTTAGATGTGCGAGAACACGATTGGACATATAGCGCTGTTTATCTCGCGGCCGCGATGTTTACAAAAACTCTAGTTTGAAGTGAAATCGAGTCCGTTCAAAATTAACTCCACGAAGATATATGTAACGACGTCGCGCACTTGTCAAGGAAATGCGACGCGGTGAACTCATTTCTTTGGAAATAACTTTGTGCGCAATTTCACGGTCCTTGCAATCACGATGGTCGCGCATTATAGAAGAGCTAAACAATGTTTTACCTGTACATTCCAATCAGCTCGAAAGCAGATCTCTTCTATTTGCCAATCATTATAGCCGCTGCCGAGCAAATAATTGCGCGATGGAAATACCACGGTGCATCCATGCGCACAGGTACACCTCTCTCTCTCTCCATCAACTCTTTCTCTCTTTCTCCGTGTCTATCTCGGGTGCATGCATTTCGCAATCTCAGCGCTTACATCTCTTCGGCCAATATAATGAGCATTTACACTTGAATCACCGAAGCGCGAAGCCTGTACAAACTCTTCTCTCTCTCTCTCTCTCTCTCTCTCTCTCTCTCTCTCTCTCTCTCTCTCTCTCTCTCTCTCTCTCTCTCTCTCTCTCTCTCTCTCTCTCTCTTTCTAATTTGCCGAAAATAAAACTGAATAAAAACGCTCGGATTTCCGCTGACGCCCGCTATACGACGAACGGTGTCCGCGTAAAGTCAAAAGGCCATCCGACACTTCAGAGTCATATAAACAACGCGATGCTCCTTGATTTTCGCTGACGAGCGGGGAACGTGTAGATTTTTTTTCGTTTCTAAAGAGGTTTCGAGTGTCGAATTTTTGCGTCTGCCGCGGTGGGCTAATGAATTTGTCGGAATTGTTATGCAGTGCTCTGAGAGAAGGGTAAAGGCGAAGAAGATGATCGAAGTTTCTAATAACTAGTAGTACGAGTCAACCTTTGAGTTAGGAGTTGGTTTATCGGCCCTCTACCTTTCTTCTTTTTTTTTCTACAAAAATATTGTTAAAACTAACAATTTTTACAAATACAAAAATATTGTTAGTTTTAACATAATGACGACGTATTCAATAGAAATGCTTTTACAATGAAGATTTATGTGTGATTTCGTTTGATTTCCATGAACTTTTTAATTGAAAGAAGATCTTTTTATTTTTTGTTTGTCTTGTAGATTATTTACACATATTCCTAATTATCTGCGGTTAATTTTTTATCGTAACTAATAGATTGATTTTTTATAAGTAGAATCATGTATCAAAATATAAAGTTTCTTATTATCTCGAAATTATAACATCAAGCGCAGTTTTTTCTCGAATAGAAAATTTTTTTCTTTTAGAATGATGCAAAGATTGATTTTATTATGTAGCTTCAACTATGCGTTTTAATTACTTTCTAATGGCATAAATATGTGACGACTAAAATGTTTTTTAAATAAAGATAATGATAGACGAACTATATCAAATTACTCGCAGTATTCCCGACGTAGTTATCATTTTCTAAACAGATCTAAAAGGGAAATGTCTAAAATATGAATTATTACTTTTTGTTAATATTGTTATACATTGAATGATTGTTAAAAAATGTTAAAAAATTACTGGCTATGAATCTTCAATAACAACTTCAAAATTTTTGCAAAACTTTTCCTTATATTTAACGAATAATGATGCAATTTTCAGTCATGTAACGCACATTATATAGTTTAAAATAACATCATTAATTTTTCTATGAACACTAATATTAGAAATTGTTGCACTTAGAACAGTATCATTTCAATTCTTAAGCTTATTATACAGCAAGTTTTTGATTATTGATAATAACTCTCAGATTAAAACTAAAACAAATTTCAAATAAGAGGAAACCATATATAACTAATATCGTCCATTACCACTTCAAGTTTAAATTATTGGATTTTCTTCGACAAACCTGAGATATTCCCGCGAACGGTAGTTGAACGTTACAGTCGTAACAAACAAAAAAATTATACATACAAAACAATTTTTATTTTAATAATCTCTTAATTTGGCACAATTCATTTGCAGCTTGATTTGACACAATAATCTTGCTACCGAAAATGGAACTGAAATAAAAAAATCAAAACTCAAACCCGAGGATAAGCCAACACGATTCGTAAGTTAGATTAACTGTTAGACTAACTCGTGATGCCGAATAAAATGGAAATATTCATATTTACGAATATTTACTTATTAGTGTTTTAAATCATAAAAAAAACATTCCTCGTGCAGCAAAAAAAAAAGAAGTCATTCGCTCAGGTTTTTCAACGAAATTAATTCTTTTGCCAGATCGATCGTGCCAAGTTTTGTGGTTACGACATAGAGGACTACACTGTACAGTCCGAAAACGATTATAATTCAATATTACACAGAAATAGTGGAAGTCCTCAAAATCCTCCGAAAGTGTGTAAGAAAGTAGTGTACGTTCAGCGTAGTTTCTTGATGAGTACCGACATAGTTATGGTAAACGGCCTAGGAATAGCTTTTGATAATTCAACTGCAACTTTATATGAGGTATAAAACAAGCGTAGCTCGCTGCGATGTTTCTGTGTTAGTGTATTTATTGGTTGACGCTGGATATGACGTATAGCTTGGCAATCTCAGAAGAAATGTGTACTGTCGATCTCACAAATCTTTGCTACCAGCGGATAAAGAGTTTTGGAACTTCAGATACACGTTAGTTTCGCTGTCTTGTATTTTTTTCCAACTGTTACGTCTTGACAATAATCCTAGTGTTTATGGAAATTGAAATAAGTAAAAGTCATAAGTAAAAGTCATAAGTAAATGCAGGCACAACGGCTTCCCGCTGGGCACTGCATTCGGCTTTGCGCCTTTCTCGTCTCGCCTCGAAAACAACGACAAAGTCTCGCTAGTAATCAATATTGGAACTGTCATCACGTGGCATCACAATATCAATTTGCTCGTTAACGCGTACGGTTAGCTAATGAAATAAGTTGAGGCTAGTGGTTCAATGTCACGCACACTCTTTGCGATAGAAAAACGTAGCCAGCGCTGCTTCTTATCCTTAGAACCTGAATGGCGTGCTGAAGATATACAATTTCGACGTTCAATTAAAACACGTTGATCCGATCAGTGTTTAATAATCATGTCTAACATGAAGTACGACCGTGTACCGGAAAAGAATTGATATATTTTATCAATTTATCAATATCGAAACTCTACTTATTTTTTCTAATTTCTTTAAATAATTCTATCTAAATTTTCTTCAAAGGGATCCTTAAGGAGAATGCTATCGATTTCCCCTGCTGGAAAGTTTTATGAAAATATGTTTCATCTTGCTCAAAATATCAGATCTGGCATGTGGCTCTTGACATCGGAGTTGGCGAGTATGATCAAATCGTATTCTTTATTAATAATTATATTCACGTAGGAAACGTGGCTCAGTACAATTACGGAAGCGAAGGAAACATAAAGAAGTATGGACCTAGAAACCCTCCCAATTAACAGTTAGAGAAAATTAACGACCCTCGTTGCGATTCATTACGGGCTATTAGCCGATCCACGAGTGGGCGTTTATCGAAATTCTTTAAACTTTATTGTAACGATCTAAGTAGCCATCCATATTTTAGAGTCTCAACGAAATGCAAAAACAATGGACAAACGTGATATTGTTCAAGGAAATCGACATCAAGTATTTTGGCTACTTTAACATTGTACTCAACAAAAACGTTAAAAAGATCCTGTCCGACCATTTCATCAATTTCATCAACGCTTTCAATAAGTGGTTCTGTAAAATCGTCTTAGCGAATTATAGATCCAAAAGATTCTATAAAATATTAATTGCTATCACTGTTTAATGTTGTTACTATCATCATAGTTACTGTTATTGTCATATATAAAATGAACTTCAAAACTCGATATACTAATTTTTACCTATTTTAAATCAATTAAATTGATAATCAGATCGGTTCATTACTTATTTTTTTAAGATTTTACAAATTTCATGAATTTAAAAAAAAAATATGAAAAAATATCAAGGTTTAATAACTGAAAATATATAACTTAAAATTTTAATGTCTGGTTAAAAAACGTATACGATTAGAGTATTGATAAATATGTAATTTAGTTCCGAAATAATTTCCCGTGATTTTATGAAGTGCAAAAATTATGCATTCATAAAAATAAATTCGTCAAATGAACGCTCGATAACTTAATAATTTTCCCATGGAACAGTTACATATAAAATACAGTGTCTATAATCTGAGATACAGTTTAAAAATGACATCGAACAAGGAGTTTCCCTAATTTTCCTTGCAGCAATGGTGAAAAAGAACGTCTGTGTTTTTCGGCTCTAAAAATGACAGGTCTTCGCGCATATCAGCGATGATCCGAGAATAATTGGAGCGCAGAGGCAAATAGAGTCCTCGGCCCACGAGCTTTAGTCTCCCCCTGTTCCCGTCGGCTGACATTTCATTGTCATCCGTCATCGCGCGCGCGCGCGCAGACGAACAAATGAGCCGCGGTCTCCCGAGGATTATCCGACGATTGCTCGCTTCTTAACCGTATACATAGCGCGGGTGGGGGGGGGGGGGCAACCATGCGAACGATCTAGTGATATTATTCCGAGATTTGTCTCCTAAATGCGCGTTTTATACTCTCCTGCCGTTTGGAAACAATTATACCTGTCGCTTATTTGCCCTGCGGATTTCGCCCCCCCCCCCTCTTTTGCTTCTCTCTCCCTTTCTCGATCTTTCGGATTTTCGTGCTTGAGTGTTTGTTTGCGGCTACTGATTTGTCGGAGTAGCTATGATACTCATGAATTGATACTTGTGCAAGACCTATATTCGCGAATAGTGAATCGGGATGGATCTGAGCTTTTTCATTAATATAAATATAAAACTTTCCTATTTCATTGGGATAAGAGGACATTTTGAAAGATCGATTTCATTAGGCACCACGTTCACGACACTGAATTGACGAATAAACTGTGTTTCCATGACGATTAAAATTTTATTTAAATTCTTCATTTGCACTTTGCTTTTGTGAGAATGTAATTTTCACTGATAAAATGTAATTATTTCATTTCACGGCACATCAACCGACAGTCACATCAGGGAGGTGAACAATTATTTTGCAAATTATTTATTAATTATATCTGTCGGATATATGAATTTTATCGCAGAAGATATTCTTTTTTTACCAAAAACGCGCTGTTCAGTCGCACTCCTGCCTAGTTTTCGCCTCCTGATAAAAACTTCACGCGAAGTATAATGCATGCAGCTTCGCATCGTCAATGCAAAAAGAGAATTAATATCCATTTCGTGGCCTCTTCAGCTATTCTTGTTCTTCCCGCGCGAGTTCACATGCAGTGTCGTTCTCGTGCAGCCAGGGCATAATAAATTTTACCCACCTCTCCCCATATATATTAAATCGGCTCGCCTCTCTCTCTCTCCTTCTCTTTCGTCGCGAGCTATATGAAAATTCACTTTCTTCCGTTTGGCGTCGCGCACGGAGGTAGGAGAGCGAGTCGTGGTATCGATGTGCAAGCCATCGGAGACTCTGCCGACTCAGCACTCTTGACTCCTCCCCTACTGCGCCGCTTTTGCTCTTCTCTTCTCTAACTCTCTCTCTCTCTCTCTCTCTCTCTCTCTCTCTCTCTCTCTCTCTCTTTTCCTCACTTGCATAGGTACCACTCGACTGAGGGCTACTACAGCGCCGCGTGTTCTTAAACTTAACCCCTTTGCCGCCTCGACCGATGCCTACGAAAAGCCCACTAGTTTTTTTTTCCTAAGCTTGGTGTCACTGAGTTTTTTTTTTAAATATTGTTTGTGATTATTTGGTACGTTGACGAGGGCGTGTTACTTTTCACACCTTTTGAAAAAGTAATTTTAACTTTGTGGAAATTTTGGATATTATTTGAACTTATACATGGGAATTGCTTTTTTCAAACGGATTCGGAAATTTCTCCGATACTCTATACAACTATAATTGATTGAAAAGTTCCAAATGTTATTGATTGATAAACAATGGCCTTACGTAATAAAATGTCGTTTTTGCTAGATTAAATATCGAATCAAATTGTTCAAATAGCTGGGTATTATTCACACGTACATTGAATGTGTAACTGAAAACTGAAAGTTCGGTCAAACAAGCATGGCGACTATGTACAAGTATACGAAAAAGGGTAGGGAGATAATCCCATTTTCTCCGTTCGTCGTGCAACCCTTTGAGCGCCAGCCAAACACTCCGTATTTACCAACAAAAAGTCTGTCGAACAATCAACAGAGAAGCGCGCGTGAAAATTTACAAAACATCAAAAGTCATACTTTACAAAACATCGATTACACGAATTGCAATAAAGAGGCGCGATATCGCGTTACAACGCCGAGACAATTAACCGCGAAACGAAAGCAAAAGTGCGGTATAGCCGAAGAAGTGGACTCGTCAACGATAGGAGGGAGGGAGGGGAAGAAGACGATCTGTGCTGCTGCTGCGTCGACGAATTCCTTTGGCTCTCACTCCTCCAGTCGGAATGGCCAATCCCGTCTTGTGTATGTGTATATGCGCCACCGTGTTCTGGGTTTCGGGTTCCGTTCCTCGCGAAATATCACTCGCCTTTTTTTTACAACGGAGCTGTATCATCTTTTATTTATCGAGGAAAATCTTGCACGTCGTTTCTTTTTTGTTTAAACAAACGAGTAACTCGATGAGTACGCACGTAAATCACCTTTGCTTCTACTTTCGCATCAGCATAGGAACGTTAATTTACAAATAGATGTGTAAGGCTTTCAGAAAGACAAACTTTCCTTTCCTTCGTATCTCCGAGTTCAATTGAAATTTTGTTTTAAAGATTTATCGAAATTCAGTGAATTTTCACGCATCGCGTAGGAGCATTTTTTAACAAAAAATTGATCATTCACACAGCCGCGAGAGAAAAACCCAAAAGTCTTGCAGCTATCATCCAAAAGCTCGCGCATTTGTACTTCCTCCGGCCGACAAGTAGTAATACCTACTTGTCGGACACACTACATTGAAAAGCCAAGCTTAATCGATCGTAAAGTTTAACATAATCGCGCGTGCGCGCACACACAGCTCGAGCTCAGCTATAAAATCCCATCAAGTTCCGTTTTTTGCGCGCGAGAATAAATCCCCGCAGGTAGGGGCGAGCTGGGCAAAAAATCGGGCGCCGCCGAAAAAAAGTCGGGCGGGCGATAGCAGGTAGGCTAATCTGGCGGCGCGGATTAACGGCGAGCGGACGCGCGAGAGGCAAGGTAGGCGTCTATCGCTCGCCCGCGGAATTAGCATAACGAGGTGCGCGCGCGCCAATGGCGTGGCGGTCTCACGGCGACCAATCGCTCGCCCCCGTAGGCGTCGCCCCGAAAACCCGCCCCCTCGAAGCTCCGTCGGCCGCAAGCTCGCCCTGCGCGTCGCGCCAGTGTATCGGCGGACGTGCTCGCAGCGAGCGCAGGCGTGCGAGCGCCAGCCCAGACTCTGCCAGGCCTCGTCAGTGTGGGTGTGCGCGCCAGTGCGATCGCGTCGTCGCCGCGCAAGCCTCACATGCCGGAGCACCGCCGCGGCAGCATCATAGCGACGAGCGCCGCCGAGGCGGCGCCCTATGTCGTCGACGAGGTGGTCAAGATGGAGGCGGAGGAGCACCTCGCGCGCGAGTACGTGCAGGACTTTGTGCTCGACCACCTGGACCCGGGCGACGTGAAGCGCGAGGCGGCCGCCGCGCTGGCGGCGGCCGGCGGCGCCGACAAGCCGGCGAAGCCGCTGCTGACGGCGTTGGTGCGCGCGCCGGAGGGCGCCGCGCTGCAGCAGCTGCGGATAGCCTCGCCGCAGCAGCAGCAGCAGCAGCAGCAACAGCCGGCGATGCCCGGGCCGCTGACGCCGCCGGCGCACGAGCTGGAGGGCACGCATGGGCTGCCGCTGTACGGACAGCCGCCGGGCGCGGTGCAGGTGCAGCAGCACGGCGTGCTCGTCAAGCTGCCCTACGGCCCGGGCCTTACCACGCTGTCCTCGCATCCGGGCACGCCGCCCGACACCCCGCCAGTCTCCGCGTCCCCACCAGCGTTGCAGCACTTGCAGCGGTTCGAGCGTGGACTCGAGAGACTGCAGCTGCAGAGCCAGCATCTGCAGCAGCCGCCAGCGCCGCCGCCGCCGCCGCAGCAGCAGCAGCAGCCGCAGCCGGAGGCCATTCTGCCCGACGGAATGCCCTGGCTGACGCAGAGCCTGCGTCAGGAGCCGCTGGACCTCAGGCCGCACTGCCCGCAGGAGCAGGCCGGCTCCGAGACCGAGATGGACGCCGAGCACTGGCCGCCGCACCATCTGCCCGACCTCGTGCAGCACCACCACCACCAGCCCGGCACGCCGCACCCCGCCGCCCACCTCGTCAGGCACCCCAGGCACAACGGTCAGTCACTCGCCACGCCGGGGCCTCCGCACTTTTCGTCGGCCGACTTTCGGATCGTTGCACCCGCGCCGCTTTTCGATTACGCGGCGAAACTCGGCCGACGAGCGATGTCCGCGATCAGACTGCGACGCGACGGACGCGACGATCGCCGACGACGGTCGGCGTTCGCCGCGACGCGCCGAGTCCCGGGCGGCGGTCGCCCGCTCGTCTCGCCGAGATGGACGAGCGTCTGCGGATCGCGGCGACGCGATGCCACGAATATGCCGCGCCGAAACGTTCTGTCTCGCGCTGCGCGCGTTCGGGCGTCGCGCGCCGCGGCGTTTCGCGGCTGAAAAATGAGCACGTGCGATTGGCGCGGAGTCGTGAGCTTGAAGTGATCGAAGTGAAGCGCGGCAAGCGAGATACTCGCGCTAAAAACGTGTATCGCCAGTTTTTTCAGTAGTAAAGGTCAGGCTTCGTACGGACGGCGGCTCGCTCTCTCGGCATCGCGCGCATGGCTACTTGACGTAATTGATAAATCCTAATTATACGCGCGCGCGCTGATTAGAGTGATCGCGCGCAGCATTGCGCGGCCTGACGCCAAATGTACGAGCGCTGTTAATCTTTTGCAGACGGCTACATGATGGGCGGACACATCGAGTACTACTCGAGCAACGGTCCGAACAATGGCATGATGCCCATGCAAATTGAAGACGCCGGGATGCCGATGCAGATGCAGCAGCAGCAGCAGCGCGAACGGCAATTGCCGGTCAGGCCGTTGAGCGTCTGCTCGGGCAGCTCGTGCGGTCCTGGACCGAACAGTCAAAATGGTGGACCGAGTCCCGTTCATCGTGCCTCCATGCATCTCGGCGGTCCGCCGGTGAGCGGCAGTCACGAGGATTTGCTCAACGACGACTTGCTGATGTCGCTAACGGTCCGGGAGCTCAACAAGCGGCTGCAAGGATGTGCTAGGGAAGAGGTACCTAGACTGCTTTTATCGTGCTCCTTCGCTTTACCGCGCTTTACCTGTCCGTCGGATTTCTGCTGATTTATTAGATTCTCTTTGCACTTGACCAAATATCCATGAATGAAGCCAACGCAAACTTCCTTTTTGCAGATCGTTATTTCGGAAATTTCATTTTAGTCGATTGACGATGTTTTTCTTTCGACCAACAATTTCATCCGGCTTTCTTCTTTATGCTCGGAAGTATTATTTCGATTTATCTGAGTTTGCCTCGACGACAAAAAAATGTATTTTTCAATTTCTGTGAAAACTGCGTGAAGCTTCACTTAATTTTTACGATGACTCTTTTTTGGAGATTCGTTTCGCATTCTAATATATATGCCATGTTTCTCTTTCGAACGGACTCTGATAAAGTGGCAGAAGAATCTGTTTAGAATCAGAGTATAGTTTAAAATTCACCCCTTGGGAGCCCCCAAAACCGTTTACAAATACCCTTCCATTTTCTCCACCTCCCTCGCGCGAAGACACATAGACACGCTTCTCGAGCTCGACTGAAAACGAAACAAACAACTTAGCCCTACAAGTGCTATAAAATGGACCTCTGCGTACTTATGCTTGGCAGATCGTTCGCCTGAAGCAGAAGCGCCGCACGCTGAAGAACCGTGGCTACGCGCAGAACTGCCGTAGCAAGCGAATGCAGCAGCGCCACGATCTCGAGACAGCCAACCAGAATCTGCAGCACGAGCTGGACATGATCAAGCTGGAGCTGGCAAGGATACAACAGGAGCGCGACGTCTACAAGCAACGCTACGAGTCCGTCTTGAGGCCCCGAGCGCAGCAGCAGCAGCAGCAACAGCAGCAGCCGCCGCCGCCGCAGCAGGCTCAACAACACGCGCACCCGCAGCAACAGCAGCAGCCCGCGAGTCCCGAGGTGTACCTGTGACAGCGAGCTCGCTGGACCTGAGGCTGCCGGTGAGTGTGACGGCCAAGCTCTCCGTCCGGCTTTCCATCGTAGACAATGATTTTTTCGTTTCTTTCTCAGTCTGTTATCTCCCTACGAACACGCGTCTTCTATAGGTATATGAGTCTTCCTTCACCCTCCCCCGCCCCCGGCGTCATGAACGTTAGAGGTCGAGATTAGCTCGTTGTAGATTTTTAATCGTTATGTGCAAAGGGCGTTTTCCCTGGATCACCGAGCAACTGGATGAAACAGTTTGGACGGATTATGTTAGGTCGATTTACACGGACAAGCTTCTTCATCTGATTAGCGTACGATTTGCAATTAACTGGGGGTGTGCATAAGATTAGGTTGTTGACTATCGTTGTTTTCTTGTCGTAAGCTGAAATTGTGATTTCGATTTATTGGCTATTGTCTTTCTTTCGTGAGTTTCGATAGTTAGTATTGTTTTGTTAAAATTTCCGGAGACTTATTAATTAGTGAAGAGTTTATAATACAACCGTTGAATTGTGGGTTATTGTTGAAATATTGTTTGTATGTTTGATAATTAGTTTCGCGTTTGAAAACTACTCTCACAGCGATAAATTTCTATCCTCGAAAAATGAAGGTTCGATCAGAAACGCTCAATCCAAGAAAATGCCCTTTAATGCCTCCCTCCCCCATGTCTCGTACGAATCTTTGACTGTTTGTTACGCGCATCGGATGCGCTATCGACAAAAGTCAAAGCTATGACATTGTATCAAAATTGTAAGCACCGATTATCGGTACGAATTCTCATCTCTATTTCTCTCTCTGCCTCACTCTCTCTCTCTCTCTCTCTCTCTCTCTCTCTCTCTCTCTCTCTCTCTCTCTCTCTCAATTTTTTATCTGTCTGATGAACCAAAGTAGAGGAAATTGCGATACCCTCTCGTCGCTGTGGCTCTCCCGTCGGACGGATCTACTTCAGCGCATTCATGCGCGCATTTTCCTCTTTCACACACACGCGCGCGTGCGATGGACTTGGTCTTATCGCGTGCATTTTAATCGACTCGAACTTCGCGATAACGCTTCAAACCGCGCGGTTTGACCTCTCTCGTGTGCTCCCGTGCACTCTTCACTTATGTCATCCACGTCCCGTGCACGCGTTTTCGCGTTATATCTCGGCGTTCTCAACAGAGAGAAAGAGAGAGAAAGAGAGAGAAAGAGAGAGAAAAAGAGAGAAAGAGAGAGAAAGAGAGAGAAAGAGAGAGAAAGAGAGAGAAAGAGAGAAAGAGAGAGAGAGGGGGGGGGGGGGGAAAGAATGCACGAGGTCGCGTTGAGCTGCGTTACTTTGTCTACTTTTCGCAATGGCGATGCGAACCAGAGATCGCTCATCGTGTTTGCGCGCATGCCTCCTTTTCTCGTCGAGCGGGTGTGTCGACGTGTCGCGGCAACAATGTCAGGGTTGATAACGCGCGAACGTTGCTGCACATTTCGATTTATCGCGAGATAAGTTCAGTCAACTTTGCATCCTTGAAATTGTAGCTCCAGCTTTATCTTGATATCCATTGGATTCGCAAATATATGCAACAATCCGCTGCAATTTCTCGGATTTACAGAATTTAATCTGGCGACAAGCGATATGTTGTAAGGTTCAATAACATTTTCAGCGATTGCGCAAGCAGTTGCGTGCATTTTTCTGAAATTCTATTTATAACGTTATCCTTACTTCATGCAATGCGAGTCTACGCGTACCATCGATCGCGTGGGTCAAGGAAATGTAAGTTCAAGTTCAAGGCGCAAAAAAGAAACGGGCAAAAATTATTATTACTGCATTGCGACGATATACTTTATCAATTCCAACTGGTCTTGGATTGGACTCTCATTTGAAGTTGTCGACGATAAAAAAAAATGGAAAATTGCTTGAAGGTAAATCGGCGTCGTGCGAATCCACACAGGCTTCGAGTATCGCGTGTCGCGCTGTCGTATAGTGCCAGCGTATTAGCGTTGGAACGCGTTACAAATATTTCGAGCGGCGCAGCTCGACTCAGTCCAACGCTGATCAGCGCGAATTTCGGGAAAAGGAGATCCAGCGCTCGGACACACCCGCTCGAGCACGCGTTCCGCTGAGACGTCCGTTGGCCAAAGACTGCGACATAGAGCGGGCACGCGACTTCCTCAGATGGAGATCCTCGTAGAGGAAACTTATCACTAGATTGTAAACGGTACGCGCGCGCGCGCATGGCCCTCTTACAGGTGCTCGCTTTTTTAGCGGCGTCAACGCCGGAACGCAACCAACAATTATTGTCGTAGCGCAAAAAGAAGAAAAACAAACAAAGATTTGTAACCCAGAGCTTCGTGTCGGCGTGTCAAAGCGCGCACGCATCTGGTGCAATAACGAAGGCGAATTCGATGGATTTTGTAAATAAGAGAAAAAAAAGATACGGACTTGTAAATCTTAGCGACAGTGTGTCAAACTTACAAGTCTTATATTCGTCTGTCAATATAGCGAAAGTATTATTTTTATCTGTATCGTCTGCGAATTGTTTCTCCTTTTAGCAATGTAAGCTTTACAGCGGGACGAATATTGTACATTGCGACGGTGAGGAAATAATCATTGTTATATATCTGTTGACTCGTATGATTTTAATGGCACAAAAAAGTAATAAACAAATGACGTACGTTGAGAGAGAGAGAGAGAGAGAGAGAGTGGTTTTTTGTAAATTGTAATCTACAAATATCACACTGATAATGTGAAGAAATAATGGGAAATGACTAGAAAGCGTGGCTTTGTAATTATAAACGCGCGCACGCGTCCAAAAAAAAAAAAAACAAAAACAAAATAATCAAATCTATCTCTTTTGTCTCTTGTAAATACAGAACATACACGAGCGAACGAAGCAAAAAGTTATTATAATAATTGAAGAAAAAGAAAAAAAGTATAAAACGAAATAAAGAACGTCGCCGACGACTGTTTCAGATATAATCCACGCAGCTGTGTCTTTCTGACTCCTCGCTTTCCCGCTCCCGTTCGCGGCCGTCCTGGAGAATTTCACGAGGCGCAACGGAAAGTTCCGGCGATTCGTATTTCGCGAAGCCGAAAGCTGCTGAGCCAGCGCTTTTCGAAGCTCCATGGTTCGCGCACACCACTCTTCCGTTCCTCTCGGCGCATGCATGCACGCGCGCGCGCGCCAGCCGTTCGCGAACTCGTCTCTCTGCCTTTTATATATTTACAACGCGTGCCAAATATGCGCTCGTTATTGTCGTCGCTCTCGCCGAAGACTTCACCTGTCGTTTTTTCATTTTTTTTTCGCTCTCTGCGCGGCCTTGAACTTCGTCATCTCGACGCGATTATGAAATATTTCGATTTGTTTGCGTTTCTTGTTTCTTTAGGATGCAAATAGTGCAACGACCAGCCGCACCCCAACCGAAAATTCTACGAGTTTCTCGCAAAAGTACATAAATGTCGCGTAATACTTGAGCGCGTCGGAAGCAAGCGTTTAGCATACGCCTCTCTCGCAAGGGTAAGCCCGAGTTTTGCATTCGAGTGCCGCGACGTGGCCTATCTGCGGATCATCCCCCCCTCGTTGCACATGTAGCGTGTAGTAAGTGCGCACCTGACGACCAGTGCAGCGACTGGTCGCGCCGCTCGCTCGGATCGCTCGCCTTTTGCCGAGCTGCTACCACTGCTAGCAAGCTCTTGTTGCTCTACAGACTTATATACCTTGAAGTTCGCGGATAGGCGTTGCGATTGGACGCAAGGTAAGTCATGAGATACTTTTTGCCTGACGATTTGGACTTGTAAATGTTTGGATAAGAGAAGTCGATGCTTCAATCGTGTCTGCACGTAAGTAATGAGTTATTAATCAAATTATTGCTTCTTATCGATCCAAACTACTCAAAAGCTCTTTTCGATTGTGGACCTACAACAATTTTCCACTACTGTTCAATTACACTAAGGATACTTTTCTAAATTACTGTAAGCGATAAATATATCATGTATTGTTATTGCAGTATCAACAATCACACCATCGCGAGAAATTAAGTTTTATCATTTTAGCTCTTGCTGATGCTGAGAAAGGAAAAAATATGCCAGGCTTAGATTCAAACTTTCTTCACTGTATCAATTAAATTAAAATATATAATATCTTCAATTTTATATGACAGCTTGATAAAAATGGATATAAATAATTTATTTATAATGGACAAATAATAATTTTATTTTTCATGACGCTAATATAGTAAATTTACATTATGCTGTGATGATGTCATTAAATGTCATTCCGTTAAATGGAAAAATGAAAACTATTGTTATGAATATCTTTTTATCACTTGTATGATACATGCGCGGCTTTGACAAAATCATCAAATATGGTACTGCGAGGTGAAGTTGAGTAATTGAAAATCACTTGCGATCAACCAAGCCGTAAATTACCATCGTGTTGCTACAGTGCGTTTTTTTTTATTTTTCATGGCGAGGTCATAGGAAACTGGCATCTATATCAACATTTCAGTCGACCGTAACTATCGTTATAAAATAAATTGAAAATCTAGTCATGTTCATGTAACTATAGTTCTAGCTTTTTAATTTTTTCATACGCTGCAAATAGATCCTCCACAAGGAATTTTCAACTACAATTTAGCATTTTAATGTTAGTCCTAATTTATAAATATCTGTTTTACTTTTTATACGAAACGATCGAAGAACATAAAATTTATATTTATTCTTTTTCATAAAAACAGTGGAAACACCTAAAGATGTTCCAAATGGCTAATAATCAGTGTCGTTGTTACTACTCTCAGTATAAAATTCCCACTGCGACAACATAACAGATAATTATCTTAGCGGTTACGTGTAGGCGTGGTCCACTACAAAATTTTAAAATTTGATTAGTTTAGGAGGAGCAGCTTTGAATTAAAAGAAGTGATTTGTTAAGTAGATAACTGTCTATTCCTGTTTAAAATACATACTTTTGAATGGCTGTTAAGGTTTATAAGTCGTATAGACTTAACCGGATTTATGAAAAATTAATTCAAGTAAAAAAGTATTTGGTATTTTTTTCAAGTATATTTACAAATATTTTAATACTGACAGTTCAAATTCTCATAATCGTCATTTTTCTCAAAACAATAATTGTCAAAAAATAATATTATTCAGAATAATATAATAAAATTAATTAAAAAGTACATTTTTCAATGTAAGCTACGTAAATTATTTTGCCAGCAAACTTATTCAAGTTGGAATGCTCAAGTCAATAAGCAGCGCTCACATTAAAAAAATCAAAATAATCAGATGTACACGAAGAAGATATAAATGATGTCACATTGTACTGTAACCCAATACTGAAGTTATTGATTGATGAACTGTTCAACTTCGTTCGGCATCGCACCAATGATCAAACAGAGATTCTTTACGGCGATGCTTGTACGAATCTTCTTCCTCAGAAACGTTCTTAATTTGCAAATCCCTAGCCACCTATGTGACACTAAAGCAGCATTCAATAGCGTACGACCATCTAGATAGTCGAAAATAGTTTGAAACAACTCGGTCGGTAGTTCACTGATCGCTTCGTCGGTTTGCTTGGGCTTGTTGAAGGACTGCAGCTTTTCAATTGAATGAGCCATGGTACAGTCACTGATGCGAATTCCTCGTTTTACCTGTATGAATGATAGCAAGGGACGGGACTGACCGTGTGCGAGAAAATTTTTAAAAGTATATTAGAAACTGAATCATGTCCAGAAAATCTCGTTCATCCTAGACACAATGTAACATATGTACTTACGATGCAAAGGTCAAGTTGTTGAAAACGAAATGGATTAGTTTTCGAGACTCCGAACTCACGATACTTGTTGTGATACTTTCTGTCTATTAGAAGCATTGAATTACCTAACCATTCAGACTAACCGTATTCTTCTCAGTAAGTACATCTGAACTGTCTGCATCCGTATCTCACCAAGATACTGGAGAGATTAGCGCTCGGCAAAGCTACATCTCGATTAAGCCCGATAATACGATTTAGAAGTAAATAAAGAGACAACAGGATTAGATTTAATTAATGGCCAGTGAAAAGGGACGGATTAGTTATGAGAGATTATTACGATGTACAAGAAAAAATTCAGCTTCGTTAAGCGAGTAGTAATGGATTAGCAGAGCACGTAAGGTAGGGGGGAACAACTGTTTATGATGTACGTGGACGAATTAGTATTTGAACATTTCTATGCACACTGTCTCAAATTGAATCAGTCGACGTGTGAGAGTGTACATCACACAGGATGAGTTGACCATACCGCTTCGGGTTCGATGGTAGAATGCAGATCTTGATTTGCACGTCAACGATCATTTATTCAGCGCATACTTAAGCGCAAAATTATGCGTGGGACGAGAGCTCCATGTCAGCAAAGTCTCACAGACATAAGTGATAACCATCTGAAATATTTCTAACAGACAGTTTCTAATAATGTCTTGTTATTAATAAGTCTAAATAATGTTTTGTTCGCCGACGTTCGTTTCGATTTTGAAATCGCCAGAAGACTTCATGATTATGCTATGAAACTGAATGATACATTTGACTATGGATTTGAACCATCCGCTGCGATAACGCTTCTAAGTAAAAAAAAGATTAGCACAAGCGATTAATTTTAAAATTATTATTTTTTCGAAGAAACTACGAATATATTGGATTTGATCTAAGGAATTTTTCTTACTTCATGCTGATTCTTATTGGAGTTTATATCTCAAATGAATGTTTATCCAATTACTGTATTTAGGTCAGTATGCACAACGAGTATCCCCTAATTATATTGGAAACTCTTAGCATAATATCTTCCGAAATGGTCCGTAATGCCCGGATTCAGCACATGGATCAACTATATTGTTCAAGGGTAAGCTACTTTAAATTGTAATTTTGGAAGTAGATAAGCAATAATACATTTAATCGATTTTTGGTACATGTAATTCCGATAAGAAATATTTGATAAAATGAAATAAAATAAAATAAGCTGAAAATTACAGCTCAATTTTCACGCTAAACAATGAAAAAAAAATCTCAAATTATATAAACCGAAAATGAAAATGCGAAGAACAGCAAAATCCATACGTCTTATTCAATGAACGGAACGATAAACGCGTCGCGCGGATAGCGGCTCTGCGCTCAAAGGTCGCGCGGCAGTCGTCCGTCGGGTGTGTGCAGCAGCATCAGCAGCAGCAGCAGCAGCAGCAGAGTCGGAGTGTGACGTCACGCGGCGTGCCGCTGTTCCAGCAGAGTAGCGACAAAACTGTGCTGCTGAAGCACCCAAAGAGAGATTCGACGACGCCAGCATCTTTGACGCGTGGATGTGATGACGATGCTAGGTCTGCCCGCCGTCGACGTTACTGATGACGCGGCGGGAGCTTGCGCGAGCTTTCTTGCTCGCTTGCATGTGCACGGAGGCCCCCAAGGACAACGATGTTGTTGTCCCACTGGCTTCTGGCCTTTTGCTCTCGATCATATGTTCGCTCGATTTTTTTTATTTTTAGCTTTTCTCTCGGATTTTTTCTCGATTCGCTTTTTGTCTCTTCTCTTTGATTCCTTCTCGATTAGTTTTGCATTTTTCTTGTTACTGCCTACGTCAAATCATTAAATTTTTATAACTTGTCAATGAAATAAACAATCGTAAAACTATCAAATTCTTTTCACTCGTGTGTAACATGCTGATGTGCAATATTCGAGATGTTCATTCAATCGCCGGTTTACATTAAGATTGTGGATAACTCAAAATACGTTTTGTTTTAAATGAATAATTAATAAACCAATAAACCAATAAGCCATTGTCGATAAAAATATTCGACTGTTAGTATTGTGTGTATTTTAGGTATTTGTCCATTAAAAATACTGTTATCGAGTAAAGAAAACTCCACGTGTTACCCAATAATCCCAAAGTTCATTCGACTCGAAGGAATCGCGTCGTGAGCATAACACATCCCGATAGCAAGAAAGAACATCCTCGCCTGCTCGGCACATCTCGATCAACGGCATCAAAATCTCAGTGGCCAGAGAAAAAAAAAGAAAGAAAAAGTACGCGTGATCAACATACACGTATCTAAACGAGCTCTGGCTGTTTACACGTCTCTGGCTTAGCTAAAGATACACGCGCAATACACACACGAGGCCGTACCCTGACCCAGTCGTCGAAGAGATAGCCTGGCCGAGGCGCGCGCTGAGTGTGCGGCGGCCAATCGATAGCCGCTAATCAGATGAGAGAAGAGCCTCCGCGTCGCTGTCGCGTCCCCTTCGGCTCGGCGTCGCCGCGCCGTCATTACCGTCCTCGTCGCCCGAGAACAGAGTGTACCGGCCTCCCCCTAATCACGGATCGTGAGCTGAAAGTCTTATCGGCCGTCCGGTAATAAAGTTCGATGCGCTGCACTGTACGGATACACGTGTTACGTGTATTGCCGCGCGGTTAGCACCCTTTTCTTCTCGTGCGCCTTTTGTGCCGCGAGAAGCGACGTTGTTATTGGGCCGCGTCCGTCGCGATATGCTCGATAAGATCCGCCGGCGGTGTTTCGCGTTGACTGCGTGGCTTTCTGGATTGGGCGCCTCCGACGGCGACGACAACGCCGACGCCGATCGGTGTTCTCGAAAAGTTCCTCGCGGATAACTAGCCGAGGAGCGGCGCGCGAGACTCGCCGCAGCCTGGAAAATCTGCATGGAACGGGAGAGTCGGCAGTGCGCCTGCCCGGGATAGAGCTATATACACGGTCCTCGGGATTGGCGGCTGCGCGCAGGTGCGAGGAGGTGTCCGTTCTCGGAGCGCCTCGTTGTATCGTAGGCGGGGCTCTGCAGCAGCTCGCCGCTGCACGCGCGTACTACCACACCTACGCGCGCCGCTGTGCAGTAGCCGAGAGGGCGCCAGCTGGAGGTCCGAGCGCGAATCTCGACACCGAGAGAGCGTAACGAACCGCAATCGAATGAGACGCTCGAGTTGTAAACTCGATTTTTTCTCCTGCGCCCTCGCGACGAGGGTTTTGTTCCGCTATTTCCTTTTTCCTCGAGAGAGCGAGAGAAAGACAGACAGACAGACAGACATAGAGAGAAAGAGAACGATAAAAGGGGGACGATGAGTAGAGTGTGAGTCGCAAGAAACGTAATTTTCTGCGATGTGGCTGACCGAATATGCTTGTTTACTACTTGTAGAGTCGGCTGATTGTGGATTGAGAAGAGATCGATGTTGATGCGTGGTTGCGTCTGGGGGTTATGTTTCAGAGTGAATGAATGATTTTTTTGTGAAAAAAGGTAATGTCGACTGCTTGCTAATATCCGTATTTAGATTACGATGTTGTCAAGTGACGTGTGGGAAATAGTTGAATATAAATATATATTCTTTTCGCAATGCAAAATGCTTTTAATAGTCGATAAACTGTCTATTTAATCTTTTTTTTTTCATGCTTCAATCGGTTCATCGATAAAGTTACTTATTTAGAATATTCATGGAGAAAGTCAAATTCTATTACAATTGTACAACTACTTTAGAACGACGAGAGCAAATCATTTCAATTTCAACAGCACAGCAGAAAATGGGAACATAAAAAAGAAGCGAACTGAGTGATAATCACGATTAATACGTATGTATCTGACATAAGTCGTACGTAAACAAAACGTCAATTGGATCAAATCAAAAGCTTCAATATCGGTAAAATCGAAAAAGTCAATCAATGCAATAATTCAGCTCATCCGAAGCATATCCCCCCCCCTCCCCCGGTGTAAGTATAATAATAATGATCGCGAGCACAACCCTTAACAGCGGACGTGGTATCAATCAGCCGCGCACACATGCGCGCCTCGATCATTTCACTTCGGGCGGACGCGCCGCTAATATAACGGTTAAATGTCTCGGCAATGATTTAACGACGCCCCGATAGGCATCTGTGTGCGCTCCGCGCGTGTGTGTCGGCCGGATATCTATATTGCCGATATGATAGCGGCGCGTCCTCTCCATTTCCACGATCCTCGCGCCGATTCGTTCTCGTGCGGTGCGGCCCGAGCCCGACGGCCAATTCCACCCCGCTCCCTCTTCCGGCCGACTCTTTATACGTGCACTGAGTTCGATAGTTTTCGTCTCTCTCGCTAGAGAGAGAGAGAGAGTAAATGGACGTTTACGCAAACTCGATTTCAGCCCGCAGGAAATTTTACGGGGAACGACCACTCATTTCAATGTTGGCCCAATTATAGTTTTGTCTGTCAGAGAATGATAACCAAGTACATCGATTTCTCTTTTTACGTTCGTTGTTAGCTACTTCTAAAAGAAACACATGGAAAAAAAAGAAGTCTATGTTTACTATTTTGGAGAATGTCCGATATTTCCCAATTGCCAAACTTTCATCTCTGACGCGCGCTATAATTTGGATAACAGTCCTAACTAACAGGACGATTAATGCCAGCTCTCGTCGCGACGTAACTGCCGTATTATTCAATGACGTATACGCCGAGCGGCCAAGCGCGCAACAAATCAGCCACATATCGATCACGCGTATACGAAGAGCAGCCGCGTGCGCGCATAAAACTCGCTATAACCAAAAAGAAAATACCTATAGAATACAAATGTCCGTTGCATTTACGATGGGCCGCGGCTTAATGGCTAAACGAACGCATACGTAAGGTGCTTCTTAGCATTTTTATGCGGTCGCTGCTGCTGACAGTTTATTTTATTACTGGCCGCGCCTTGCTGACCATCGTTCGAGCCACGCGGGACTGCACTAGCCACCGCGCAAGTCGAGTCCACGCGTCCCTTTGAGCCTTTCGCACGTGCTCCCGCCGATTCGATTTATATAGGTGTGCTGCTGCTGCTGCTGCTGCGCGTGGCTGAGCTTCAATATTAATATATTGCTATTCTTGGCAGCATTATCGTTACAACTCTTGTCAAGGTTACGACGCCTGGGTTTTATCTTAAAT